TTTCCCCACACTTCTTTTTCATACACTTCCATCAATGAGAGATCAGTTACGAGAAAGTACGAGGCAAATGGGTTTTGGGTATCTTGGAGGGATAGGAGACGGAATTATCTACGAGAATCACATATACAATACATCTATCTGATGGCATTATTTTCCCACAACATCGTTTCCACGACCACCAATGCAATGCGTCAAGTGAAAAGAGGCTCCCACCTCGACAGCACACCAAGCTTTTTGTCCCCATTTTCTTGTTTCCTTTCTGACTCGTCCTTTTTTTTTTTTTTTTCCGCCTCAAGAGGAAAGTCATTTGTCGTATTAGTCTGATGGGTACAGTATGTAGGTCTGTCTACCCAAGTGGGCCGTCTGCATGCAGGCTTGCTTGGCTCTCTGGCCCTCTTCTTTTCTCCATCACAGCAAAACGGTCATGACAAGAGGCCGACTGCCTGGACGGCAAATCATCCAATTCGATTTTGTAATAATATTTTTTGTCACCATGTAACTCGTCCCCCTCTCAACGCCCCTCATCCCCCCCTCTCCACAGTGACTTCTTTCTCGCAATCTTACCCAATTCGCACGCCCGCATTAGATTCACACACAAGAGTAGATCGAAGCGGAAAATCCCACAGCACGTCGGACCAGCACACCTGGGCAGCGAGAAAAAGAAGACCCAATCCGCTTAATTTTCGGGCCCACAACCAAGGGTACGGTGTCTCTGTAGGTGTGGGTGTATTGTCTGTTTTCTGTTGTACATACAGGCTGTTGTGGTAACATCGTAGGAGGAGGAGGAGGAGGCCCGGCCTGGGGTGCTCGGCGGCAAGGAATGAGACGCTGTTTGGCGGCGAGGAGAGGACATGGCGGTGGGAGAACAACCCATGTACAAAAACAGTGCGCGCCAGGCGCCGGCAGCGCGCGTGATTGTACGCTCTGCGCCTGCCGCTGGTGCTGCCGCCGCCGCTGGGCTGGCCTGCAGACCTCCTTGCCCATCTTACTAGTATCATACTACATGGTTAACGGTGAGTATTGCCGGGGACTACGGCTGGCTCCTTGTTGCCTCGCCTTGCTGCCGACCGAGCGGCTTTTCGTCCGTTTTGAGCACTCGTGGTTCTGCCTCTATGGCTGCTGCTACTACTATTACTACTACCACTACCGCCACTACTGTTCGCTGCAGGGTCTTGTCTGTTCTGCAGCGAAGGAGGAGGAGGAGGAGGAGGAGAAAAGAGAGGAAGAGCAGGGGAGGGTCTCGGATTCGGCTGAGGCAGCCGGAGATCCTCCGTTTTTCCCCCCTCCCCCTGTCATAGAAATTTCCTATGGTTACATGATGATGTTTTCTATTTCGTACACGATCCTCCCCCCCCCCCCCTCTCTTCTATGTATCTATGTATCTTTGATCTTCTTCCTGCATGTGTATGTACGTGCAGGTATTTCGGGTGGTACGTGCGTGCAGAACGGCATCGCTCCCTGGTACGGGAAATGTGTAACCAGGGGCCTGCAGCGATCGCCTGACCGAGGCCTACGGAAGAAAACCGTACGATATGTACAGCGAATATTGCATCTTGCATCTGCATCATCCGGGATGCGAGGAAGAAAGAGCAAAACGTCCCCTGGAAAGGCGGAGAGGGGAACTGGGGGGGGGGGTGGCTCAACGGTCTGTGCCGCGCAACGTTATTACGAATACCGAATACATGCATCACGATCCATTTACTATCTCCTCTCTTTTGTCCCTCTCTGTCTATCCCAGTCAAAAAGGTAAAAGATATCAGGTATGAGGTGGGGGGACAACGGGAGGAATGATAATATGAGAAAATAATGATCTGTCTTTGGGGGGTGGGCGAAGGACCCTGGAAGAAGGGGGGGGGAGGTTTAGTTTCGTCCTTAGACGTGAAGAAAGAAAGGGAGTGGGAAGGAAAGAGATGTTTGCGAGCGAAGTGTCAAGCGAGATTTCCGCACGCTGGGCTGGCGATTCTGGCGTTGCCAGCGGGGTGGGCACGCTGACCGTCCATCGTCCTCGTCCTTCTCCTCCTCACCGAAAGCAGGGGGGAAAAAAACCCCCCAAAAAAAAAACAACCACGACGCAACCCCCGTCTCACCGATGGACTGAGTGGTCTCAAACGTCTTTTTTGAGAAAATTATTGAGGGTTTTTCCTTCTTAGCGAAATGGGGCTCTTCGGTACAGGGACCGAATTGGCCGCGGATTTGGCCGTCGGATATAATGGTCCAAAGGCTTACAGCAGGAAATATAGAGGAAAAGAGAGAGAAAAAGAGGGCTATATTGCCATATTATGGAGCAGAGGCGGGGGTCCATACATGTAACGTAGATGGGACGAGGCAGGGTAGGGGGGGGGGGGCGTGACAAGGGAGAAAGAGTACGCCATACAGGTACAGAGACACACACAGAGAGAAGAAAAAACATAGAAAGAGAGAGAGAAAGAGACATGCACAAGGTGGAGAGAAAAGTAGCGATGAGACTACTGGGGGGGGAGGAAGGGTCACGAGGCTCTTGAAAAGGCGTCATTTTGTCCGTGACATACATGCCACCGTGGTATTACATAGTGCTAGCCTCAGCTCGCGAATCGCAAGCGAGGTAGGCGCAGGTAAGTACAACTTCTGGCGGGGAGCACGGGGCGGTCTGTGATTTGAACCATGCTCAACGGTTTTTGGCACACGGTCGTTGTGAGAACGAGGCTGGCTGGCAGTGGAGAAAGAATATAGGACATGGGGTTTTGATAGACAACGAGGGGGAGAGAGAGGGGGGGGGGGTACTACTCTATAAAATACTTTGCACATATGTACATACAACAAGTGCACAAATAGATACTCAAGTGTAAGAGAGAGAGAGAGAGAGTGTGTGTACTATAGTATGAGTGTACAAGAGACAGCATGCATGTGTAAAATACCCACTTTTCTATTGGATTGCCTCGGCCGTCTGTCTAACTGATGGTGTTGTTTTTACTTTGCTCATGAGGACAAACACACACATACACACACACACACACACACACACACACACACACACACGAAGAAGACGACGGATGGTGCTGGCTTTGTTGTTGTGTGAGCAAATTATCATCCCTCATCGAGCCACATTTGCGCCCATCTTGACTGCGAAACATGAGACCTGGGACGTAAGTCTCATCTCATTGGTACAAGTTAGGTCTTATTTTTTTCTTCTTCATTCTATTCTTCATACACGTTTCGCTGACTGCATTGACCCACGCGACGATCCCGTGAGGATGAGGGAGGATGCATGCCACAATCACCCCCCTCCTCTTTCTCTCGAGCCTCGGATAGATCGTCATAAGGCTAGACAGGTGGATCAGACATACCTTGGAAGTAAATGTGTACGTGTGTTGTATGTACTCATGCTACAAGTGTATGGTCGGGGTATCGCTGTGGCTTGAGCATATACTCTATAAGTGGGCACGTTAAGAGGGGCGAAAAAATGAGATGAACAGCGCGATACTATGCATCAACTATAACTGCAACGGGGAACGTGAGGCGCAGATCCGACGATGCTCATGACGACCTCGGTCGTCTCAGGATTTGTTGCTTGCTTTTTTTGGGTTGCTGACGGAAATCGGTGGAGAGATTTGGGTTAGGGGAAGAAGGGGGTGGACAATTTCCCCTTGTCGGGAGCCCCGAGAGTTGTCTGAAGAGGGACAGTGGCGAGAAAGAAAAAAAGAAAAAAAAAAGAAAGAAAAAAAAGAGGAAACATTGACGTGGATGTTACTCCACGGTCCTGAAACGGCCAGTAGAAAGAGAGTACCAGAAGAGGACACGATGGACAGTCATGTTCGCGTCTCTCTCGCCACCTCTTGACGATCAGGTACGGGCGTGGCTGGGGAGCTCCCTGCATGTCAGATGTTCTAGGGTGGCGCGGGAAACATTCCAGAAGGAAATTGGACACACACTAAAATCGGCCGACGGGCCTCGTCATTTGCTGTGCGTGCGCATGCGTGTGCGTGTGTCTGTGTGGTGTGTGGGTGGTGTGGTGTGGGATGTCCGAAGACAAGAATAATAATAATAATAATAATAATAATAAAAGAAAGAGAGAAACAAGGCAAGTATTGAAATATTACCCCTGGAAACATTGCCCGGAGGAGGGAGGCAGAAAACAAGCTTATCCCACCTCCCGCTTCATGTACCTACTACAGTACAGTAGTACCACATAGTAGGTGGTACGTGTCCTGGGGAGGGGCAAGAGATGCTCTAAAAATGTTACATCAAATTTCGGGCTGCCCTGGTTTGGCAATCCATGCGGATGCCAGGGCATACCTCCTCTCTTGGAGGGAGGGCAGGGAGTTTGTGACTGTGGAAAAGTACATTGGACAATGGTAGCAGTTGCAATACAACATGGCCGAGTATAGTAGTCCGTTCACAGGTTGGCACTACAACACCATCACTTGACTTGACACACACACCATGACCAACTAAGGCTATCCTGCCACGTGCTTGCGCAAGCACACACAAAGAAAAAGTGTATTGCCACGCTGCCACGACATGGCCCATGGCGCTCTTGAAACGCCCTTTACCAATTAGGGAGCGGTCTCGTTTCATTGATGATTATCGTTACCCGACACGGGCAAACCCGGGCAGTTCTTTGCGCGATGGGAGAAAGCGGGGGAGGGGGAGATTAGCTGAAGTCATAATGATCATGCGCTGGCATTTTCCTTACCGTACATGTGCATAGTAATGATACAACTGTGTAATGTACCGCAGTAAGTATCGAATCAAAGTATCTATGGAATAGAATTGTGGAATAGGAGAGTTGAGTAAGAAACCAACCACCCCCCACCCCCCCCTTTTTTTTTTCTTTCCCCCAGCCAAGTAAAAGAAAAAGAAAAAAGAAAGGAACCCTTAGCCTAGAAGATCTGTAGCGTCATTGCCATTCTTAGAATAGCTCTTTTTTTCTGGGGTGGACCCTGAATTTTTGCTCCCGTGCGCCAGGAAAGAAGATTCAACCTCATCTTACCAAACCTGCCCAGTGCCTGCCTCCTTCCTGCCTTCCTGCAACAGCGCAACGTATGCGGCAGGCGTGTATCTTGTGCTATAGTACAATTCTCTGACCTAGCTCGACTTTGACTTTTGACTACCATCCACCAACCCACGCCCAACCACAACAGGGCCCCGCGTCGATCTGGAGCCTGCACAAAAGGGGGAGGCAAAGGTTTGCGTAAACAAAGCTTCTCTTAGTTATCGGCTGCACGGCAACTTCCACCTGTCAAACGTCAGGGGGCCCCAACCGCCGCGATCGCACACCAGCGCATTACAATCTCATCTCAGCCAGCCGAGCCCGGCCAGGCCTGTTTTCTGGCCCCGTGGGTACACTCTCGACCAGACGACCCTACACGAACCACGCGGCTAACCGTGTTTTCCCGGTCCCTGGCCTGTATTGACCCAGGGCAGGGCAGAGCAAAGTCCCAATTGCGGCTCGCCCTCCTCTGTCCATCCCGCACCGCGTTTTCGCCAGCCCCGGAGCGGATTGTGTGGGGGTGCTGTTGCTGCTGCTGTTGCTGCTGTCTACTGCTCTTCTCATTTCGGCAGAGGCGCGCGCCCGTGTCGTTTATCGCGTCGACGAACTGCTTGCCAGTTTGGGGGTCAGACGGCAGGGGGAGCTACATCCCACGCTGTGTGCTTGGACGAAGGGGTCTTTGCGCCAAAACCCCCTCGTGATTGCTGGATCACGAACCCCCCAAGCTCAGCCTGCCCTGGGCAACAAACACCCTGGACCGAGACACCGAAACAACCGACGTCTTGTATATTGCCAATCTGGGGAAACCCGACCTGTCGTACGATCAGAGTCTGTGCGGGGGAAGCTGCACACCATACTACTGGTCTGATACTGGTGACCACCTCCTCCTCCCCTTACCCTCGTATACCGTACTCGTCGGTCCCTCCGTTCGCCGAGGCCCCCGCTCTAGCCCGTAATCCCAGTCAACCCGAGGGAAGACCATGGTCCTCCAGCTCCACGTCTGGGGCCCAGCGTTTGGCCTGGCCTCCGTCGACGCCGAGTGTCTGGCGGCCATCACGTACTTTGCATATGCCGTGCCGGCCTCTGCATGGGAGCTTGTCACGAGCAGTCCCTCTGCTGTCCCTACCCGTAGGTTAAATAAAGCAAGATGCACACATACACCTACATACACATGGAACACAGCCGTCTAACTCCGTCCTCTTCTGTATCTTCTCCCCCCCCCCCCCCCAACATATTTCCAACCTCTACCTCTAGTTTCTGTAAAGCTTTCTTCTCACTAAAACACAATAGGAGCCCTCCCTGCCCTCCATGAGACCGCCTCAGGAACCTGGGTCAGTGGCTTCACAGCCGTCACAAGCTACCTGAGCACCACAAACCCGGCCTGGGACCTCGACCTCGCTGCGGGCCTGACCCAGCTGCAGGTCGCAGACGCTACAGCCTACACTGCTTTTCTCTCGAGCACGGCGGCACCCCTGCTCGCGCTCTCGCTGTACGTTTCGAGCGAGACCTGGGCTGCCACCACCCGCCCCGCCTATAGCGGCATTCTTCCCTTTCCTCTAACCTGGACGGAGCCCCCTGCCGTCCGCAGGCGCATGTGTGCTGCCGCCGCACACCTCGGGCTGTCCGACTTGAACATTGATGACGTTGGTGACCATGCTGGTGAGCATGAGCACCGTGGCTTTCTGAAGGTCCCCGAGCGCCTACGCCCGCGGAACAAGAGCGTCAGGGCCGCTCTGGCTCCAGAACAAACCGCCCTCTTTAGACTCGAGGCCGTGGCGCGGGAGTGCCTCGGTGTGTTGGCGGATGGACTGGGGAGAACGAGAGCACAACAGCAGCCGCGCCATCCCGGCGCTGGAGGGTTCCTCTTCTTCGACGGCGATCGCCTGGCCGCGCTGGACTGCTTAGCGTTTGGGTACCTGGCTCTAATGCTCGTACCCGAGGTCCCGCGGCCCTGGCTGCGGGATTTGATGCGCAGGCGGTACGATGGTCTCTGCGTCTTCGTGGACAGCGTGCGCGACGAGTTGTTTGGCGGCGACGTGGCGTCTCTACCCTGGCGGACCGAGGCTCCGGCAGGTAGTCCGTGGAGGGTCCTCCGCTTTGCCAGAGGCGTTGTTGAGGCCGCCGTGCCCGAGGACTGGCTGCTTGGAGAGTTGTCCCCCGCGCACCAGCAGGGCCAAGTGCATCAAGTTGTCTCGAATCGGCAACCAAGCAACGGCGGCCCCGCTGTCCTGTCAGCACTGGGGAGCTCAGCGGCCGTGCTGGGCCTCATGGGGAGCGTTCTACTGTACCGACACCTGTCGCCTTTCGGGTCAGTGCTCTACCGCTGGGAGATGCAGAGGAGGAATCTGGGCGCTGCTGGAGCGTTCTTTGGGATATAGCCGGCCGGCCTGGCCTGGCCTGGCTGATACATTGTAGGTCGAGAGCCAAGGAGAAGGGCTCTCCTTCATTTGCTTCCCGAAATATAACAGGACAGCTGGCGTAGCAGCGTGATAGACGTTGCGCCTTGAAAGATCAATGAATCAATAATGATGAGATCCAGAGACCTGAGACGACACCGTCAATCAGCTTGGTTCTCATCGCCATCCACGCAGCATGGTCGTTATGCTTTCGAAGCACGAGAGGAAACCTCTAAGTCTTCTATCACTGACAGGCACACTGACTGAACCATGTATTGCTTGCTACGAAAAAGAAACTAAACATGAAGAAAACAAAATAAAAAAATATTTTATGCATGAATGAATCCATACAAAATTCTAGCATTGTCCATCACGCCTATCACCGGTCAATAGCCCACGACTCGCTCTGGGGATGCTCTGATCAGATGCACGTAAGCAAATTCGACGGCTGCGTAGCTGGCAGCAGGAGAAAGAGATTGATCCTGGACTGGGGTTTGTAACACGCCATTGTGAAGGACTGGGGTTTGTAACACGCCATTGTGAAGGACATCTCATGAAAGGAATCTTGTCCATTTTCTGTCGTTCTCTGACGCGGACTTTGTTTTCCATCTATGCCCACCCCCCCCCCCCCGGCACCCTTTCTCTCCTCCCTTATTATAGAAAAGTCTATGGCGAGATAAGTAGATGATACTCTACGCAGTGTTTTATGGTGAGGCACTCCCTGATTGCCCCGCAAACATCGCGGCAGTGGCCCCTCCCCTCCTCAGTGGGCTTAATCTCGGAGATCCCTGAGTGTGTCCATCACCTACTCTTGCTGTTCCTCGGTCGGCACAAGTCCCTCCTCTCGCGGCCTGTACCCTCCCAGGTCGACGACAACTTCTCTTCTGCCTAGCGGCAGCCCCAAAAAGTAAAGGTTCTCGCTCTCATGCTCATCGAGATCTATTTCACTCTCAAAGTCTTAGGCCTGATGTTGGGCAGCGGCGGCAGTAGTTCTACCAAAGCTAGGCTCGGACATGCCCCAGGCCTGCAAATTGATAAACGGTAGAATATTCAGCATCTCCCTTCCCTAAGGTATGCAAAAGTCGATCCACGTCCCCAGATAGTCCAGCCGGTGGTGTCCGCTCTCCTCGCGATGCCAAATCTCCTTGAATTCAGCCAGCGTCAACCGGCCCCACCCGCCGCGCTCCTTGGCTTCCGCCTCAGCGGCGTCCAGTTTTTTCCATTCGACAAGAACCGAGCGGTCCGGGCGTGTCAGGGGTCGTCCTTTTTGTGGCGGTGGGCTATTGAGACTGGGCTGGGCGCAGTTGAAGCCCTTCATTTCTGCAGCCTGCTGACGCTGGTCGGAATGCGGGGTGGTGTCAGTCCGACGGAGATCCGCGTCACAGTTGGGACGAAATTGAGGCATGGTCGGGTCACGATACGAGGTCGCGTCCATCATGTGTGCTGAACCGTTCTCAGACGTCTCCTCCAAGTGGTCCTCTTCGTCTGCACTCGTGTCAACTTCGTCTTCGTCCTCGCGCTCCACCACAGTCCCGTCCACCGCCAGAGTTTCGTCGACTTCGTATCCTGCAGTCGCGAGAAGCTCGTCCACGTTTCTATCCTGGATCGGTTTGTTCTCATCGACCTCAACGACGATTCCGAAGCTGACTCCCGTTCCGGATTGCTGAGGGGTAGGTTGCGAAGGTGCCCGTAATGGTTGATCCGGGTCAAAGGAGTCCAGGACGTCTCGGTATGCATCCCTCCATTCCTTGGACTGCGCAGCCTTGACAGCAAGATCTTCCTTTTCTTTGAAAAGGACATCGAGGATCTCGTTAAAGGCCTGCTGCGTCACAACGTAGAGAATCTCCTTCCCCATATCTCTCTCAGCATCAGGTATATCCATTCCTCCCCAACGCTCTGGCACGCTCCTCGACGACGTGGATGGGTTGGATCTGACCTCGTAGTCGTCGGTGTCCTCGGCAAAGCGAACCTTGGATGATGACCTCGACCGGGCAGACAGGGCAGGCTGTCCGTCCTTGGACTCGAACCCCTCGGTTGCAGTGATATCTGCAAGAACGTCCTCATCGGCATCAAATCCTTCTGGCGGTGACGTGCCCTCCTCTTCCATCAGGTAGAAAGTGCGCTTCCTCCAGCGATCGAACAACTTTTTCCTCACGGCATCCCGCAGCTTCCTGTCCATCGCCCACTTTCTGTGAGCTTCGAGACGAAAGTGCCGAGCCCTCAGCTGACTCTCAGTTGGGGGCCTGTTGGTCCACCGCTCGTCACCAGCTTCCCGCAGCACAGCGGCAGTTGGAGAGGAGGCAACCTCAGAGGAAGTAACGCCGTTCGTCGTAGCAGCAGAGAATCCCAGAGATGCATTTGCCGGCAGACCCGACGCGGCTCCTTCGAGTGGTGGTCTGGGTGCTTCCGTGTCGTCTTCTTCCACGGACGTATCTTCCTCGCTGCCGCTATCATGACTGTTCTGCTGTTCCTCACGATTGTCTGGAGAGATCTCACCAGGCTGGATGTTGCGCGACTCGCCAACCAACAAGTTCACCAGTTCTGCGACTTGTGTCGGCGGGTTGAGCAACGCCTCAAAGTGGATATGTGATACGTCCTCCCCGGTAGGAGAGGTGACGTGCTCGGAGGTGGACGCATAGAACCTGCTGCCGTGGTCGATGTCTCCGCCCTGGCTGAAAAGGCTGGAAAGGATCTCCTCGCGGTTTCCAACATCCGGCCGGGTCTCGTTCACAACATTGAATTTGTCATCGTTAATAAACACTTCGCCGTTGCTGTGAAAAACTTTGCCTTCCATCCTGCGTCCATGGTCAGCTTCAGGCACCCGGCCTTCACGGCCGAAGTGGCTGCTGAGCGGCTGCCTTCCAGTGACAAGCTGTTGGGTGTCAGTATTGTGCAGAGCTTGCTGGTCTAAGCCTTCGATCACGTCTGCGTGCATTTGCTTGTACAAGACGTAGTAGGTTCGGAACATCCGCAGACAGTCCCTTCGAGATATGTAGCCATCGCCGTCGATATCGTAGCCCTTGAATATCCTCTCAAGTCTCTCTTTGCCTTTCTTGTAGGACAATCCCTTGAGAAATTCGGGAAAGCTGATCAGATCGTCGCCGTTGGTGTCGTAGAAAGCAAACATTCGGTCGTGAATCAGGTTTGGTGTGGTGCGCTTCGTGCCACTCGAAGGCACGAGGTATCTCTCGAACGTCTTGCGATCTGCAGCTAGGTACAGTTCATCTGGGTCGTCCCTCCACTCGGTAGCTGCAATGAAGGTCCACTGCTCCCACAGAGCCTCCAGCTCGGGTCGTTCAAAGCCCGTCTCCCTCGCCAGATGCCTGATGAGCGGGTTGGGCAGGCTTCTGAGGGCTGTATCCGGGTCGCCAGGGTACCACACAGGTTGCATCGATTTCGGACCGAAGGGCGGCGCGGGGACCCTGACCTTGTAGAACACGTGTGTCTTGATATGCAAGCCCTGAGACTCGCACGTCTCGCAGAGGTCAAAATCGGCGCAGTTGGCACAACGATAGCGTATACCGCGGATGGGCAGGAGCCCGCAGGCATTGCACATGCAGCCCCGGTGGACGTAGGCATTGCGCCGGGCGTTATCCTCCGAGACCCTGAACAGCAGGCCAACGATGTTGTGACCTGAGCGGGGCGGCACTGTCCATGGGTCGTCTTGCCACTCGGAGTGCAGCGATGGCTCGTCTCCAGCTACCGTCTCGGCTCTGCGGTCGTTCTCACCCGGCTCTGTGGCAGGGGGCAGTTGTGGCTCCGGAACGTTTACATTCTCGTCGGGCTGCGTGACAGCATCTGGGCCATCGAATTCGACGGGTGCTGCATCCAAAGTCGTCTGGTCGTTTGGCTGGTTGAAGTGTCGCCGAAGGAGGCCCTCGAGGTGTTGTCGCTGCTCGATGCCGTAGCCCGAGTTTACAAGGTCATCGATGGCCCCTTCGATCCGCCGTCGGTTGTTTCGCTCCGTTCTGCGGACTGCATTACTCCGATGCAGGCCGGTACTGTTGGTTCCGTTAGTAGTGGCTGCAGATGCAGAAGATGCCTGTCGAGACTGCTGCTTCCAGGCTTGGTAGATGATGAAGCCAGCAGCGAGCCCCGTAATGACCTGGATGGCGAGACGTGGGCGCGTCAAGGTCGCAGCGGCTGAAGAGGTCGAATCCATGGCTGCTGGTGGTCGGAAATCATGGTGCTTCAGCGCGGTCTGTCAACGCAGAGAGAGAACTAACTGTCTGCCATTTGGCAGAGGTCAGAAAAATGTTCTGTTGGGGGCACAGGAATGATCAAGAGGGGTCAAAGGTGGATGTCAGCCGTGGCGTCCGTTTAAGGTTGAGGGTTGGACTTTGGGGAAGCTCAGAGAGCTCTCAGGTGGGATCGCGTCACTGGGGTGAGCTACTGTAATAGCGGCTCAAGCAAAGGCTCCCCCGACTGGAAGCTATTAGCCAGCCGCCCATTTATAGCCTACGCTTGCAGGGGTCTATAGCCAGTTCCAGTGCCTACGGCACTCCTCAACTCTTGTGTACTATGACAACACGTCTATGTTTTGAACTAAATTATAAAAACTCTCAGCAAGTATGGAAGAGAGCATGTATTATCAAACATATCATGACCATCTGTCTAACATTAAGAAGCACTGCCCTCCCATCCAAAGAACAACGTTCGAAGAAAAAGGACCAGACACAAAAAAAAAAAAAAAGACAAAGAAAAACCCAATAGTTGGCAAAGGCTTCAAACAATCCGTGTGTCTCTCCTAGAGCCTATTATCATGTGTTTAGGATGTCCAAGATGACATCCGCAGCCTTAGTCCGTCCTGCATGCTCTGGGTGCTTCTCGGCCAGCTTCTTTGCGTTTTCTCGGAACGCGACAGCTTTCTCTCCGATCAGAATGTCCTTCAGTGCCGTGCCCAGCTCCGCACGCGCCCACCGCGGGGCCGCAGTCTTGTTCGCCCTGATGCCCACGCCGTTTAGCTCGACGCGGTTTCCAAAGTCGTAACAGTCGATCCATGACGGTAGCACGACTTGTGGTACTCCGGCTGCCAACGCTTCATGGTGTGAATTTGCGCCTCCGTGGTGCACAGAGCAGACGACACGTCCAGATAACAGGATCGAGCACGGGTCTGCCTTGACCCAGGACGTGATACGCACACGGCCGGTCTCAATCTCAGGCAACAGTGTGTCGTGCACAACCTTCCACTCGCCTTCGAAGGAGCAATCGTCCCCGCTGCTGCTGCTGCTGCTGCTGCTGCTGCTACCGTCCTTGGCATCCCCTGCCTTGCGCTTCAGCTTCCAGAGAACTTGCATCTTGGAGGATGCACCGGCCGCGTCAAGGAGATCACGCACGGACAGCGCCATCTCCAGCGCCTCAGCCGGCGTCATCTTCAACTGTGTGCCCAGGTTGATGTACACCGTTGGGCCCCTCGAAAGCCATTGGTCCAGCGTGGGGTCAATATCAGCCAGCTTTTTTGCGTATCGCACGATTGGCCCGACCGGAATGACGTGGCTGGGAATGATATCGAGAGGGTAGTCTAGGTCCGGCGAGAAGGCGCTGATGAGCCTCAGCCCGGGAGGCGGCGCGTGGACCACGCCCAGCTCGGCCAAGGACATCATCTGTAGGTTCTCGTCACCGGTGTGCTCTCGCAGGAGCCTCACTGCCGTCTTGGTCCGGTTGTCGGTCAGCATCGTCTTGGCGAGGATGAGCGTGAGCCCTATATTATGTGCCATCTGAGACCATGGCACCGGATATGGGAGGCCAGAGCCGATGACCGGGTATTTCCACAGAGCTGCGCCCTTGGGCTGGCATGGTACGGCAAAGTCCTTGATGGTATTGGGAGCTAATACGGTCCACTTGACCTTAAGATAGTGTGCCGCAGTGAGTCCGGGCAGGTAGAGAGGGTCGATGACTGTTAGTTCAGGCTGAACCTCCTTGATGATGCTGACAGTCTGGGCATAAAGATCAACAACCTCCTCCGGCTCCCAGGGCATGGCACCGTAAGAGAAACGGCCCATGAAGACTGACGCATTCGAGAAATTTGGCAAGGGGAGTGACCAGGCGTCCATGACACCTGCTTGTGGTCGTGACATTGCTTCGAAGTGGGACACGCCCGTGATGCCGTGGAAGTGAAGTTTGTACGGCGCGGCTGTCTTGATTGTTTCGTCTGCTAACGCCATCGTGTGTTCGACCTCTGGCTTCATGGGATGCTCTGATGCGACGTGCATCTCAAGAGGTGCTCCCGTTGCCATAAGGGCGTACGAGGTCGCCAGGATAACATTGGCCTGGCCATAATCGCTGGAGCAGATGAAAAGAATCTTCTTGGGTGCGGCCATCTTGACGAGGGGGCTCTTCGGGATTGACCAATGGGATGAAGAAAATTCTACAGCCTAGCGGAGAGACTATATGACAATTCACGGGAGAAGGAGGGTATATCTTTATACGCATCCATCTCTCTCTCTCTCTATGGGGACGTACTATGTATGTCTCCCTTTTCTCCTTATAACCCCAACCTGATGCAGTAGCTACCACCGCCGAAAGTATGGGTCCATATAGCCTTGACTTCTCCAGTCTGATTACCACTATGCCTAAGAAAGGTTCCCTCTTATCTAGGTGCCCCTTGAAGGACCCAGCTCCCATCTGGGATTTCGATCCTACCTAGCGAACAAATAGTTGAAGAGAGAGAGAGAGAGAGATGCCGTGCTACCGTCACACGGCCAACAGATCTGTTCATCCTCTTGAATCGATGCTGAGAACTGAATCCTCGCAAAGATCATGTGCAGCATGACTCGCTTATCAATAACTTGTGCATACTCAGAATGAAGCAAGAAGGGGCAGCACGTGGGAATAGGGCCAAGAAGCTGAGAGTGAACCCAGGTAAACTCTATTCAAGGACCCTGTATGGCGTGGTGCGGACATGCACTCTGTGATTTCAGATGGGTCAGAGTGGGTCGGCTCGCACACGACCACACTCGATACTGTATGAGCTATACGAATTTCCTATTTCCAGTCAGTCTTGTTTACTATGTACTTGGTACATACGAAGCTTATATACAAGAATAGGTAGCGCACAGCTGTGGTGGAGACAACGATCAGGCGTAGGAACGAGCTGCTTGGTCGCCAATTTCCGCCTTTTTCATAGTCTCAGAGGTCGGATCCGAGGAGCTCAATAAATATATTCAAACGTGGCAGATCTCTTGTGTACAGGGGCTCTACTGTATGTAGGCACGTAGGCTGGCCTGATTCAAGTCTGAGCATAGCAGATCCTACGGACAAAGATACCGAAACAGGACGTGTGTTGTCAGGTTTGAGATTGGGTCTCATTACAGTCAGGGACCTATTCGAGGATCTGCTATTGTCCAAAATGGGATTGTCAGATATTGTGCCGATCTGGTTCTCACGAGTAAGTAGATAATTGTTGGTGGTCCTCAGCACTGTATCTTTCGTTGGCCAGTGGGTTGTTTTGTATGTTAGACGATAAGCGAGACGCTGGAGGCGCCTTGGCATGCAGGGGCCCAGCAACCCTAACCCTCATAAATGGGGTGCGTAGCTCGAAGGGTTTTTTGAACGCGTCGTCGTGGAACAGGGAATAAGAACATATCTGATCTAGCCATGCCGCCAGCGACGAGAACGTGAAATGGGTTTTCGGAGAGGATCATGTCGAAATCGTGGCAGTCGACCGTACATTTACCCAAGATCCTTTTCCCGTAAGTCAAGGTCCCCTTCTACAGTTTTCAGACGGACAACAGACTGACGTCCCATTTCTCTGTCTCCCGTACAGGCCACGCCCAAGAGCTCAAAATCACGAACGGTATCTCCAGCGCTGCACCACCGACTTGTACAAATGGCAAGCAACCGAACGAAAATATGAAAAACCTTTCATCCTGCATGATGGCCCGCCGTACGCCAATGGCTCGCTCCACGTCGGCCACGCGCTGAACAAGATCCTCAAGGACGCGATACTGCGCGTCAAGGTGCAGCAGGGACACAGGGTTCAATATGCGCCTGGCTGGGACTGTCATGGCCTGCCTATCGAGCTCAAGGCCCTCGAGGCTGCCTCTGGATTGGCTGCAGGGAAAACTGGCAGCGAGAACAGCAGCAATGGCGGGGCGAGCACGGCCATGACGCCCGTAGAGATCCGCGCCGCGGCTCGGAATCTCGCGAACGAGACAGTGCTGTCGCAGATGGAGGAGTTCAAGTCATTTGCTGTCATGGCCGACTGGGACAGCAGTTGGAAGACTATGGACCCGGGGTACGAGATCAGGCAGCTTGAATTGTTCCTGGATATGGTCCAGAAGGGTCTGATCTACCGACGGTTCAAACCGGTGTACTGGTCGCCCTCCTCACGCACCGCGCTTGCGGAGGCCGAGATCGAGTACAAAGATAACTACACGTCTACGGCGGCGTATGTGCGCTTCCCAATACTAAGCACGGCTGACGGCCCGCTGCCCACGCTCCTTGGGGACCACTCCGAGCGCAAACTGTATGCCGTCATCTGGACCACCACACCTTGGACATTACCGGCAAACAAGGCCATTGCCGTGCATGATGAGCTGGAGTATGCTATTGTCAAGGATGGGCAAAATGCGTACATAGTGGCCAAGGACTGCTATGCGAGGGTCGGGGAATTCATGGGTTGGCACCCGACGGACACTTCAATCATCGCCGTATGTAAAGGAGCCGACCTGCGTCATCTCACGTATCGGAATCCTCTGCACGGAGACGCAGCTCCTCAGCAGCCCATCTTACATGCAGATTTTGTCTCAGCCGACTCTGGTTCAGGTTTGGTCCATCTTGCGCCGGGCCACGGCCACGATGACTACGAGGTCTGCAGGCCTCTTGGGCTGGACATTTCTGCACCAGTGGACGACCGTGGTCATTTTACCGCGGAGGCGTACCCGCAAAACCCAGAGACCCTGCAAGGCCTTTTTGCGCAGGGTAGGGGAAATGCAACAGTGCTGGGCCTCTTGGGCAAGGATGCTCTACACATTCACAAATACCAGCACAAATATCCCATTGACTGGCGGACAAAGAAGCCCGTCATCATCAGGGCTACGGCGCAGTGGTTTGCTGATGTCGAAGGTATCAAGGGCGCGGCCTTGAAGGCGCTTGATGATGTGCAGTTTATACCCTCCAGCGGTAAGACGAGGCTGGAAAGCTTCGTCAAGGGACGCAGTGAATGGTGCATCTCAAGACAGCGAGCGTGGGGCGTTCCGATTCCTGCCTTGTACGACAGCAACGGCGATGCTGTGATGACCGAGGAGAGCGTGAAGCATATCATCTCCGTCATCCGGAAGAGAGGTACCGATGCCTGGTGGTCCGATGATCCGAGTGACCCGCAGTGGATTCCGGCATCCCTGCAGGGCAGTAGTAACGGGTATCGGCGTGGCACTGATACCATGGACGTCTGGTTCGATAGCGGCAGCAGCTGGACTCACGAGGGCGGTGCCAGGGCTGACGTCTACCTCGAGGGCACCGACCAGCACCGTGGCTGGTTTCAGTCCAGTTTGTTGACGCGTGTCGCAGCCGCGACCGCTCAAAGAGGTGTACCGGGAAAGCCCAGTCTTGTTGAGCAGGATGTCGGTCTGGCTCCGTTCAAGCACCTCATCACACACGGGTTCACTCTGGACAATTCGGGGAGGAAGATGTCCAAGTCCTTAGGGAACATGATTCTCCCAAGAGATGTCATGGAAGGAAAACTACTGCGTCCGAGGAAAAATAGGCACAAAGATGACGAGGAAGACGGGGTGGAAAATGGGGCACAAGACTCCGGTCCTCGTTATGAAGCACTCGGCCCAGATGCGCTTCGGCTATGGGCGACCAGCAGCGACTACACTCGCGACGTGGCGATAGGTCCACCGGTCTTGGAGTCGGTGCATGTGTCCCTGATCAAGTACCGGCGCATTATCAAGATGTTGCTCGGCTTGATGCGCCAATCTGCTCGGACACTCCCGCTGACAGTCACGGACCACATCGCAATCATACAGCTGCGGGATACGATGAGCCAAGTCGGCAAAGCGTACGACAGATTCGAGTTCCAGAAAGGCATCAGTGCGGTAAATTGGTGGGTGGTAAATGAGCTGTCTGCCTTTTATATCGAGGCCAAGAAAGACAGGCTCTACTGCGGCGATGGGGCCAGCGTGCTGGAGCCTGTGTTCTGGGGCATGATGCGCATGCTCGCGCCCATTACGCCGTTGCTTGTCGAAGAGGCATGGGATTGTTGTCCAGAATGGCTGAAGAAAGATGCCATCCACCCTCTCCGGCAACTTTACGAGTCTCCCCTCATGGACGAGAGCCGGCTGCCAGGTGACGAAGCTGTGCTCCGCAAGGCCATACCGGTGCTATCAGCCGTTCATGCGAGCATCAAGGCTACGACCGAGGCTGCGCGCAGAGACAAGCTCATGGGCTCTTCGCTGCAATGCTCCATCGTGGTTGAGACGTCTGCTCCGGCTATCGTGGAGTGTCTCGAGCAGTTTCGAGATGAGCTCAGCACCCTTTTCGTCGTGTCGTCGGTACAGATCAACGAGCCATTTCCAGAAGCGCCGGAGTGGATGTATGAGGACAACTTTAGTGTCCCTGCTGTCGATGGCTCCCTTGTTGAGGTGCCATGCAGAGTCTGGGTGTTGCCGCCCAAAGAGCACAAGTGCCCAAGGTGTTGGCGGTATGTTGCGCCGCAGGAAGATGCATTATGTGGGAGGTGCGAGGAGGCGGTCCAGACTGTCTAACATGGCTCTGGACCAGAGCTGCCATAGAGCTTGTAGATGTTACTCAGTACTGGTGTACGAAATTCAGAAGATATCCCTCCTTTCCCACTTATATTCCCCTCCTCCATAATGTCTATTTTCACGTGCAGGATTTGAGGGAATTGGCCATACGCCTCAATACTAGATCCAAAAACCGTCTTGTAAACACTTCTGCCGTTCTTCACATTTTGTACACGAGAGCCTGTTCTTGGGGCTAATTTGTTGTTGTCTTGCCCGACCGCCCCGACTTCGGTCACTCGCGGGTCGGATCTAGCATCGTACAGCAAATAATTGAAAATATGCTGAGGTGGGGCACAGCGCTCAACCCTTTCACAGGTCGGCGACTTTTCCGACCTCCCAACTGCAGCAGTACTTACAAGCCTACTATTACTACTACTTACTTTAACTTACAACGTGCACCGGCCTAAAGCAGAAAAGACCTGCAATGCAACATGTACTGACGAGATTCACACCGTCCTCCTGGTCCTCCTCGTCCTCTCATTTTTTGGTATCAGTTCTGAAAAGAGATAGCGTATTTCAAGGGCGCAAAATGAGCTCGTCACCCAATAGGACGTACGCAGTGAGTCTCACACATGCCCATCTCTCATCCTCCTGGTTCTATGACTTGGGAGAACCGCTGGATACAATAAGGCTGGACGGAAATGTATTAATTGCAAGATGGCAGGATGCAATCGATGCCCTCAACAACTTACAGACGCCGTTCGCGATTATCGAGGCACGGCGCAGAGCCGGCGTCCGGCCTGATGAGAGCAGCATCCGAGAAATGAAGGCCTACTGGGCGCGCCTGGGCCACACTGTGAGCTCCTCCACTCCTCTCCTGTCGACCTTTATCGCCTATCTTGTTCATTCTATTATTGTTCTGTCCAAGGACTGATCAGAGACGCACTCTCTCTTCTGCGTCTCACTTTCCTTAGCCAGAAGACCTCAACCGTCTCAACGTGATCCACGTAGCCGGCACCAAAGGCAAGGGTAGCGTCTGCGCCTTTGTAGCATCCATCCTCTCCCACCACCAGCGCACCCACGCGCGGCCCTCCAGAATCGGCCTGCTCACCAGCCCGCACCTCATTGCCGTCCGCGAGCGCATTCGCCTCGACGGCGCACCCATCTCGGAGGCCCTCTTCGCAAGGTACTTTTTCGAGGTGTACGACCTGCTCACCTCTTCCTCCTCCTCTTCCTCATCGTTATCGTCATCATCATCAACGGCAAACACTGCCTCCCTCTTCCCCGACGACGCCGAGCCTGGATCCACGCCCAGCTACGCGCGCTACCTAACCCTTCTGGCCTTCCACGTGTTTCTGCGCGAGGGCGTCGACGCGGCGGTCATCGAGACCGGGGTGGGCGGTGAGTATGATGCCACGAACGTGGTCGAGAGGCCGGTGTGCACGGGGATCAGCACGCTGGGCATCGATCACGTGTTTGTCCTGGGGGACATGGTGGACAAGATTGCGTGGCACAAGGCCGGCATCATGAAGACTGGGTGTCGGGCGTTTGCCGTCGAGCAGGTTGCTTTTCCGAGTGCCGAGGAGGTGCTGAGGCACAGGGCGGCGGAGAAGGGGGTCGAGCTGAGGGTGGTGGGTGTGGATCCGAGGTTGAAGGAGGGGAATGTCAGGGTCAGGCCGGACGCGGCGTTCCAGAGGCGCAATGTCAGTCTGGCTATTGCGCTGGCGGAGACGGCGCTGGAGAGGGTTGATCCGGATGGTTTCACGAGGAGCGAGGGCGCCTTGCCGGTCGAGTTCAAGGATGCCATCGAACAGGTCAACTGGAGGGGGAGATGTGAGGTGAAGGAGGAGGGTCGGATCAGGTGGTGTATTGATGGGGCTCATACCACGGATAGTCTCAAGGTGGCGGCCAGGTGGTTCAAGGATGAGTGTGCGGGCAGGTAAGCCATTGTCCTTCTTGCCTGACAAACATTGGAGAACTTGGGGGTGTGAGAGAGGGAATGGTACTAAATCTCGTTACAGGTCGGGCCCGAGGCTTCTAATCTTCAACCAGCAGGGCAGGGTGGAGGCCATTGACTTTCTGGATGGGCTTCACTCGGGCGCCCAGATGGATGGCGGGTCGTCATTTGAGCATGTCATGTTCTGCACAAACGTTACATACGCGACAACAGGCTACAAGCGAGGTAAGTCGTCCCTCCTATACATATACAATCTTGATTCAGATGTACCCAGAGGCTGACCGTGTTTTCAGATTTTGTCAACCATCAGTATGACCCGGAAGCTATCAAGAAGTTGACGGTACAGCATCGCTTTGCTGAACGGTGGGCAGAGCTTGATCCAAAGGCAAACGTCACTGTCGTTCCCAGCATCGAAGAGACCATCAATAACGCCCGCAGCCTGGCTCAGTCATTGAAGGAAGGGGAGACAGTGCAGGTCTTCATCACTGGCAGTCTCCATCTGGTAGGAGGTGCCTTGGGTATATTAGAAGGGGCTGATACTCTCTGACCAGCTCAATCACCTGGCTTGTTTCTTTTGTGTTTTCTAGAATTGATCAGGAGAGGAAATGTACCTCGGCGTTTCAACATGAGGAAAGGATAGACGGAGATGTGCTCAACGCACGGTAGATACCCACCCAAGACACGCATGATTTCAGACCTCACTTTCAGGGTCCAACAACCTCAGCGCGGGACCAACAAGGTTGAAGCTCCCCGTGACCAGTACCTGCACCTGGACATCATCCTTTGCTTTTTCCGCCTCTAACAAGGCGTTGCGCGCCATGAGTAGTGCGGATGACACGCTATCCGCCGTTACTGCCACCGTAGCCGGGCAGAACTGGTTCATGACGTGACTGTTTCTCTGTTGAACGGTCATATCCGGCTTCGTCAGAGAGCTGTGCAGCTCGTTCGTCGAGCAGATTGCGTGCTGGAAAATTTTGCGGTTGGGAATTTGGGACTCATCCTGCAGCGTATTGAGGAGAGTCTGCAGGAGCTTGGTGGAATCGCGGTCCTGTTGGTTGAATATGAGGACTCGGATCGACTTCTCGTCGGACATCTTGCCAGCGAACCACTTTCCGACTTGTACGAGACTGTCTTCGGTGTGTGCTCCGTCTAGATACCATGAGATGTTGTCCTGCACGACCGTCTCGCAGCGGCCACGAACTGTGGCGGTACGTAGGCCGGTAATGATAGAGTCTGGTATGTGCTGGAAGTCCCTAGGTAACGATTGGCCGCCATTCTCAAAAGACCCAGCGTCAAACTTGTGACCCAGTGCCTGCAGGTGTCGTCTCGCTATAGCTGTGGCCAGCAACATATTCGCCTTTTGAAAGGATCCCTCCAGGTTCGCGTCAGGCACGCCTTTCCATTCTTCGACGCTGCTGGGGTCAAGCACGGCGAGGGCTGTCTCCCTCTCCACCGACCTCTTTTCCATAACCTCCAACACGCTCGGGTCCCCATCCTCAGGTTTCATGACCTGGTAGGTATACGCAGGCACATGTTTCTTGAAGATCCCGGCCTTGTGCCATGCAATCTTCTGGACCGTGTCACCGAGCATATTGACATGATCGATACCCAACTGCGTGACCGCCGACACTGTCACGGCATCCGGCGGCAAGACGTTGGTGGAATCATACTCGCCACCGATACCACACTCGATCACAGCAGACCTCACGCCCTCACGCAGGAAGGCATGAAAGGCCAATAAAGTCAAAAAGCGGAAGTAAAACGGCTTCGTCGACGGCCCGTCCACGCCCAGTCCATCAGAGTCCTCCTCCTCGGGAACAACGACCCCCTCCGCCCTCGCCGCATCCGAGAGCTTGTTCCACAACTCATAGAAGTACGCGACGAACTTGTCCCTCGCGATGGCCTGCCCGTCAAGACATATCCTCTCGCGAACAGACACCAAGTGCGGGCTGGTGTAGGTGCCGACTCTACCGGCAACGGTCGGGTGCTGTCGCAGGATGGACGTCGTGAAGGCGCAGACAGAGCCTTTGCCCTTTGTGCCGGCCACGTGGATACAGCGGAGCCTTGCGAGGTCTGCTGTTGTGTAGCCGGCGCGGGAGAGCCACGCTTTCATCTCGGGGATGGCGGATGCGTTGATGTCATGGCTGTTGGGCGAGGCCGCGAAGAGGTTGATGACGGTCTTGTTGGATTGAAGGAGGGAGAGGAGATGCAGGGCGTTGTCGTAGGTTGGGGTGAGATAAGGTGAATCGGACGACGACATGGTAACAATGCCTCGTCGGAGGAAGCAGCAGGAGAAAATCAGCGAGAAGGAGAGGGTATGGGTGGTTCTGATGGAAGAAGACGAGGGTCGAATGAGGCCGTTGATGAGACCAAAAGACATTTGGTTAACAGACTCAGTCGGAAACCAGCTCGATCTATCTAGACTGAGTTTCTTGCACCTCAGTCTTTAGGTGCAGCCTCTTGATTCTTGACAAAGTATTCTTTAATCACAATAGTTTGAGGCAGATTGGAATGGGGTATGCGAGGTGAGATCCAAATTCAGCAAATGTTTCTACTAGAGCCGCACCACCTCCACAGACGAGGCAGCCTAGTGCTTCCTCAGATGCCCCTGTACAGGCCTGTGCTACAGGGCCATCTCCGCCTAAAAATCTTCCCTCCTACAGCGGGTTCAGTGTGAACAATTTGCTAACGGGACAAGTTCGTTGGCAAACCATGATCATGAGCAGCATAATTAAGGGTTTCATTGACAATGAACAAGCCAGAGGAGGTAACAATGTAATCGATCGCTGCCGCCTGATGACTGAAGCCCCGATGAGATCGCAACGGGCTGGATTGATTGACTTGAATATGCTACTGCGAGAGACAGTATAGAACGGACCTGGGTGTTCCTGCTGCCCTTGGAGACCGTGTCTGCAAGCCCAATCCCAAACGCCTACAACCACCTAGCCCTCCATGTCCTCCTTGCTGCTGTTGCAAAGGGCCCTCACGAGACGGATGTACTCTGCGGCCCCAATGGCCGTCAGGAGATGCCACCACCCGTGCAGCTCCAGAGCCCATGCCCAGGGCAGACCCAGCGACTCTCTAATGCGTCTCAGTTCCAGACATCTCTCCAGGTCAATGTGCCACAGCACGTAGGCCAACAGGAGAAAGGCGACCGCAGTCCAGAACCGTCGTACAAGTTCAGCGGTCTGGCCGGGGCTTCGAGTGCCGCCTGGCGATGAGGAATAGATGAGATAAAGTGTACGTGGCCAGATGAGGCTCACCATGGCGCCGAAGGTATTCATGTGGATGACGATCTCGCCTGATCTGACGTAGTAAGCCGACACTTTTTCATTTGTCAGTGACGGAGAAGTTTGCCCAGCAAGGGATGAAAATGCAAGTAGGTGATGGGGACGGGCGTATTTTCAGGGAGACTCACTGCCAGACGTCGCCACGACCACTACGGCTGTAACAAGCGAGGCAGCTCGAGGACCCTGCCCATGTGAGTAGAGCTTTTGCAGGAGGCATCCACAGAGGAGGAGCATAGACAGATCGTCAGAAAACTGGGCGCCTTGACGGAGTGTGCCGTGATAGGCAGCCGACGTCAGACCCACGAGGCATAACGCGACAGAGAGGTTATCGAAACGCCGAGGGCTGTGTCTGCTACCAGCGTGGACTATAGAACAGCCAAGGGCATAGTAGACTAAACCGGTCAGCGAGTCCGTCCTCGGCCGCCCACAATGAGGGAGGAACCTCAATCAAAGGCGTTGGGGAGAGGCAGACCATATGCGAAGCTGGAAATGGCGTTGATGAACTCGGCAATATACCAAGTCACGGCGTAGTCCTCCTCGCAAAAACTGCGACGTACATTGGGGTTAACATACGCAGCATCACCAGGATATCATCATGGTCAACGTACTTGGCGGCGCTTGTGGGCGGACTCCAGAAGCCTGCATTGGCATAAGTATCCCCTGCGAAATGGTGATTCTGATGACCCATGATGGAAAAGACGGACTTTAAGCTAGAATCCGATACATGTAAATGAGTCGTTCCGTTGGTTCCGGCGGCGGTAGTTGGAACGTTTTCTTCGCAATGATAATACTTAGGATTTGGGACCTTCTACTAGAGGATCCCAACCCTGACGGAGCCACACAAGCAGAGCCTCTTCCCCGGGTGGCATGTCTTAGTGGGTCCTTGCTCTTGCTCAGCAGGTAGAATGTAAACTTTTCGTCACCCTCAACATAGGTAGAATGAAAGAAGCAGAAATATTAGGAGCCAGAGCTCGTTAGGAAGCTGACTATCATAGCAAGTTCCAAAGGAGAACAAGGCTGACACTGTCACAGGCGAGGGTAGAGGAGGGCAACGCTTTTCAGCTGCAGCCAGGCAAGTATTCGTTTTGCGCCCAGTTGTATGGCGGTTTCTATGGATTATCTTCCTATACATTCTCGTCGCATTCGGACTTCATGCTGCATGCTTATCTTATGCCCTTCAACTGCTGCAAGTCTTACAATTCAAACACCAAGCAAGGGCTGTATCTAAATAATGACGGATGGATGGACTAGAATTGTGCTTTATAATTGAACTTTACTCCACAATAATATCCAATAAGGCAAGATGGCCGAGCGGTCTAAGGCGCCACGTTCAGGTTATCCAAACTTGAATCTCCTTTCGTGGTCTCGCAAGAGGCGTGAGTTCGAATCTCACTCTTGTCATTTTGCATTTTTTGCTTTTTGTAGATAAAAAGATGTTCTTTGTATAAAGGGCCAGTGAGCATCTATTGATATGTCCATACTTATTGCCTTCCTGTTTCCAATTTTGATGAATGCCAATTCTATACAATCAATAATACCTAAGATGATAAAATGCATTAGGATATAACCAGATATAGGAAATTAGCTCTACTACTCATTATTGGTATATGCACTGCCATTCGAAAAGATATAGGCGACAAGTTGAGCTGAACGCTAGCTGCATAGATTCGGAACTCTGCTACACTTGTTAAACTTACATAGAGGCCTCCACAAAAGGCTGACTGCGCCTCACGACTACCTTGACCAGGTACTTAAGTAGGCACTCTTTTTCATATTTCCTTCTTCACAAAACATCAACATCGACTGCAAACTAGAGCTGATCGAGGTTTCGCAACGCGGGCAATGCGGATATGGATCCCTTGACCGCAATTGGCCTGGCGGCAAGTGTGATACAGTTCGTCAGCTTCGCTTCTCACTTGATCACCAGGACAAAGGAGATTCACGCCTCCGCATCAGGACAAACCAACGAGATTGCAACCCTCGAGACGACGTACAGTCATCTGCAAGAGCTGAGCCTACGCCTCAAGACATCGTCAAAACGCGATTGGAAGCTCGAGGTCATCGAGGGCAAGACCGATTTCGCGAGGCATGTCTTCGCCATCAACGACCTTTCGCGCGCCTGCGAAGGCGATTGCATGAGGCTCCTGGAGACCGTTCGCAGGCTCAAGACCGGCGCCGAGTCGCGCCATCGATGGCAGACGTTTAGAGTTGCTCTCAGGACAGTCTGGAAAGGCAACGAGATCGCAGAGCTTGAGCAGAGACTGCATCACACGCAGGCAACACTCACACTACATGTGTGCTCCTTGACGAGGTATGCCTGCTAGATTCTCCTCTGGCTAAGGCGTGAAGATGTACATGTATAGCCATGCTAACCCGCCTCCAGTTCCTGGCATGCCAGTTTCGACGAAAGTTTCAAACAGCTGCGCAGCGAGAGCTTAGAGCTCAACGCAAAACAGTCGGGAAAGCTCACCGAGATCTCCAGGACCCTCGATGAGATAGCTGCACGCATTGCGTCAGCCAAGTCAACATCGGTTCCAAACGTCTTCAACCCGGATGACATTGAGTGTATTGAAGGTCAAATGGCACGTCTATCGCTATCCAGAGTTGCTGCTGCCAAAGAAAACAAAATCCTCAGATCTCTCAGCTTCGACAGCCGCCCCGTCCGTCACAGCTCCATCCTCGACGCCTCCACCCGTACGTTCGAATGGGTGTTCAAGGAAGCTGGACAACGCGATAGTGTTGCAGGCAGGACCTCAACCCCCACCGGGAGTTTCCTCAGATGGCTAAAAGAAGGCGACGGCTTCTTCTGGGTTACGGGAAAGCCTGGCTCGGGCAAATCGACCCTCATGAAATTCATCGCAGACCATCCAACCACATTGACCGTGCTCTCCCGCTGGTCCCATCCCAAACGCCCAGTGCTGGCGAGCCATTACTTCTGGAGCGCCGGAACGCCGATGCAAAAGTCCCAGCAGGGGCTCCTGCAGACCTTGCTCTACGGCATCTTTCGGCAGCTGCCCGATATCATGGAAACAGTCTGCACGGAGCGCTGGTCCAAGACCTTCGAGGAGCTCGAACATGAGCCGTGGCTGGTTCCTGAACTGCAGCGAATCTTGCAACGCATTGCGGATCGCCAGGATCTCCCGGTCAGGTTCTGCTTTTTCGTCGACGGTCTCGATGAGTTTGGCGGGGACCACGTTGACTTCTGTCGCAGCCTCCATGAGCTTGCTCAGTCGCCGCACATAAAGCTCTGCGTCTCAAGTCGAGAATGGAACGTCTTTGAAGACTCGTTTGGCGGGGGCAGCATAGACTCAAAGCTTTACATACATGAGCTAACCTGCAATGACATCCGGTCCTATGCCGAACGACGGCTCCAAGAGCACCCGCGGTGGAAAGAACTCGAGACTGAGGTTTCCAACGCGTCCTGGCTTATCGAAGAGATCACAAAACGAGCGGCTGGTGTTTTCCTGTGGGTGTTTCTCGTCACCAAGGAGCTCCGCAGCGGCCTCAGCGAATATGACAGCTTCTCGGATATGCAGAGGCGCCTGGAGAGCATTCCTGTCGACCTCGAGGCTTTTTTCAAGCACATCCTCGAGTCTGTCGAGACGTTTTATCACCAGAAAATGGCCACGACCCTGCAGATCGCACTCGCCGCAACAGAGCCCGCCCCTGTTGCCGTCTACCATTTTCACGATGTCGAGTACGAAGACCAGGACTATGCGCTCAAACTGCCCCTGCAGGCACTGGAAAAAGTAAAAGCTGCGTCCTTGTGTCAGCAGATAACACGCCGGCTAAAGGGTCGCTGTCGCGGCCTCCTCGAAGTAAACCGCCACAGCCACCGCGTCGAATTCCTTCATCGCAGCGTCATGGATTTCTTGCGGACCGCAGAGATGTCGATATTCTTGACAGAAAAGGCCCCACACGGCTTCGATGCTCGTCTTTCTTTGCTGCAGGCTTACACAGCCTATATCAAAACCACCGAGTTTCCCGAGTTCGTCGACAGGACAGATTTCAACCAGCACACCGCCTCTGGCCTCATGTCAGCGATCGGCGAGACTCTGGTTCAAGCCCGGGAGCTCCATGGCGAGATGGCCGAGGCCGCGTACCCGCTCCTTGATGAACTGGATCGTTGCATCCCAGAGATGAACAGCAGCGGTCAAGCCAAGCTAAACGTCTGGGGCAACCCGGCAAACCCTGTCACGTTGTTCTTTAGAGAACCACTCGTGGCCGCCAACCTAGTGCACTATCTCGGTCACACATTTCCCAGGCGGCCGGACTATTTTGCCGACTTTGAGAGGCCTGTCCTATCGTATGTGATAGATTCTCTCAAACCAGAGCTGAGAGAAGCCCTGTCATCAGATGAAGTGCGAACAAAAGTCGGCATGCTTCGATGTCTCTTGGAGAATGGGTGCGATCCCAACGCAGTTTATTACGACCCAGTCAAGTCGCAGTACCGAGAGAGAACGCCCTGGGACGATTTTATCACACACGCCAAGTCGTATGCAGATAGTCAGAACCAGGCTCGGATCCCGGAAAAGAGCTCCAGACGAGCAATTCTGGAAGACCTCCCGTCTCTGATGCTCCAGCACGGGGCAGACCCAAGCCTTTGGCCCAGTGGTACTGACACAACTGATTCTTGTCTGAATACCACGGCACAGAAGCGCTCACTACCCCAAGACGACATCGAGTCGCGAGGGCAGACTCCCAAGAAATTCAGGGTCCTTCAGGACACCCACGCGCCCACAACTCCTGGCCAGGACGACAGCCTCGTGTACGCGGACCCCGGTTCGCAACATACATCGTCTGCATCTCGACCTGGAGATTTATACTTCCATTTCCAGTCTCCCAGTGCTATCTAGGTACACAGCACCACTCGTCCCCTATATTCACAAATTCTACCGTTCAGAATTAAAAGTCGGTAGATGTGACGGCAACGGCTCTGAGAATTTCGTTCGGCGTTAGAGATGGCTATGGAGATCTAATAGGATTTGACAAAGAAACAGTAGATAGGTCGGAGTATTTTTCCCAGGGGGGGGGGCGGGAGGGGGCATTCTTGCTCTCAACTTTACATAGCCCAGAAATCATGATACATGAATCTACATGCCTCGTTTCCACAACTATATCTCGAGGCTTGTCCGGGGCCCCAGTCTTTCTCTGTGTTAGTAATTCTGTCATTGGATAGCTGTGCTGCACACCTACCTCCTTATGATTGCAAGGCATAGTATACGAGCGCTAAATGGATAGCCATCCTCAGTGCAAGCTGGAATTGCTGTAGTCTGTTTTTGCAGACAAATAGACAGGACTCTCACACTTAAAAAAATTGCTCTCCGCTTTCTTCTGTCCACCTTATATTAAGAATACTACAATATCGTACTTGCCTGCTCACTCTCTTTCTTGTCACAGTGATCATTGAAACCTCACCGTGATTCTGACTACCCCTCATCGGATACTTGAGTGCCTCACTCAGTCAAATCTTCACTGCTCCTCCTCATTATCCTCCGAGCCATTATATGCCATTTTAGTCCTACGTTAACATGTAAGCAACTCACTGTAGTAAGCAGAGTAGAGAATGAAGAGGCTATGTCTCACCAGTCGTCGTCGGTCAGTGGATGGAAGCTCCCAATCATCTGCCGGCCTGGATCGTCCTTCAGGAAGGTGACTTTCCCAGCTAGCTTTTTCTTCTTTTTCTTGCCCGACGTGTCGCCTTGCACGAGCACCTCCTCAATGGTACCGAACAGGTACGGCTCCGTCGAGTGTCTCTCAACATACTTGCGAACCCTGGTTTTGTGTGTAAGTTGACGACGATCAGCATGTTCCAACATTACTTTGGGAGAAGGATTCACAAATCAGAGACACATACCTATCAGCAGTGAACCTTTCTCCATATGGGATGTCGTGGCTGGCATATCCGCTTGACGGCGTAAGAGCCGGTTCTCCGCCGTCATCGAATTTCTTCAGAAACCGCTTTCGATAGTAAGGACGGGATCGATCTTTTGAGAGGGCAATCTCGGAGTATATCAATCGAGCGAGACCTTGAAGATTGCCAAGGTTTGGTGCGTCTTCGTCAAACTCTGCAAACTCCTTGATGTAATCTTTCTGGATTTGTGATCGGTCGAGAGGGCCCCAGAACACGTCAAAGTTCTGGTTACGGTACTTCCACAAGCGATTTTCGTATGCTGAGAAGTAGGTTTCACATGTTTAGAAAGAGAATTGTCTCATTTGCCTCTTTGGTAGTAGAAGGACACGTACATGGGCTCCGACGGGTGAGGTCGACGGTGTTGGTGCGTGTAGCAATGGCTGTGATTCCCCGCGGATTAGAGTATACCTGCCTTCCGTCATAGGCAACGCAAGCACAATCGACGTCGAAGCCAGCCAGTATCTCGCTAATGGATTTGTATAGCCTGAGGATGATCTATTGCGTGACCTCGCATTGTTTGTATTAATGATCAAGACCCTCGTATGTATACGGAAGATTCAGGCTATCCTTACCTGAACGTGCCGGTATGGCCATCTGGGCGAGATGAAGGTGATGGCGTTCTTGGAGCGCAGTGATATGGCCGTATTAGGGAGCAGGCGTTGTTTTTTCCGCACTGCAGCCTCCAGCTCAAGGATGCGGTTGATGGCCGTGTCTTCGTTGTCGAGCCCGTAGATGAATACATCAATGTCACTCGCGCCTGCAATCGCTCTGGAACATGATACTCAGTATTGACAGCGACTCACACAATCGGACACATGGTTGGCATACTGGTAATAGGCTTCGAGCGGGTCTTCCACTCCTGGGTCGTCGCTCATGTTCACCTTCACATCGTCCCTACGTGAGAGCAGTGGCAAAAGCGCGGCTGACCCAGCCACAACAACATTGGACCAATCTATGTGTTTGCACCCAGTTGTTTTTCAGTAGGCAGCTACTGTCAGATGTGTCAAGGTGTGTGCATACCGAGATCTGCCAGGACACCTGTAGTTTCAGATTTTCTACCCTTAGCAAGCGTTGACAACCAGAGAGGCAGGGCAACTGACCATGTGTGAAAGCTTCGAAATTTCTCCTATACTCGTCCAGTGACGTCGCAATGGCTGATGTACCGTCTGCTTGGACCACATTGTCAGGCAGCCGCATCAGATACTTCTCCTCATCGGCCTCCCGACGGTCGATGCCGCGGGTCTTGAACAACGTCTCATGGCCAGCGTAGATAGGAACTAGGCCAGCAAGACTGTCGACGCTGGGTTGGTTACCCGCGAACGCCTTGCGCAACCAGGTCTCATAGTCGAGATAGGGCTGAACCAGCTCGCGCGTTGGAGTTTGGGGATGTTCAGCGAGATGCGAGAGAAACTGGGAAGCGGGCGGCGTCGGAATGCTGGACGTGTCGGCTCCCATTTTGCTCTCGGCATCGTTACAGCCATTGATAAGCACTTTGATCAATTCTCTCCACAGAGGCATAGTTCGCTGATGAGAAGGTAACGACCAGGTAAGCAACAATGTTCGGCTGTCAACGTTCGGGAAACGTTTTGATACACGTATACCAGGCGGAAGGCAGTAATAAATTACACTTCAACACGTACATTTTGGAGGCAACCTTCATGCTTTCGACGTGTCATCCCTGTGCAGGCCGTATTGGTCTTCTGAGTGAGAAAGAAAGATGGTGGGATGACAATCATACTGATGCATGCGTGCCGGATCCAGCTGATGAAGCCCTCGTTTAAAGATGCTCTCTTTATTGGCCGTACCAATTGATAAAGTACTGCCACGAAGCCTGCGTGGTGGAGGCTTAGTGCTAATCCTTTCCAAAGTGAGCCATTCAGCTCACGTCGGCACGAGATGGCTGGCCTTGCATTGGCATCCCTGTGCTCCTTTGAGTTATTCTCATCGCCTATGGCGGATTGGATTGATTTTTCGACGTGAACCCCTTGAGCTGAGAATTTCTCTCTCCGGCAGATTAATCAATTACAACTGATTAGTGCCCGCGTGCAACTAGCAGGGTCTGAAAACTGGCTATTGAGCTTTTTACCTTCTCGAGTAAGAACTATGATCATCCGCAGCGATCCACACCTGTTGAACTTACAGATACTTCGCACCCACGAATTTCAAGGTTTCCATCAACCCCTTCCCTTCCCCAAAGAAATACTCAAGCATACACACCTTTATGGGAGATTATTTCAAGCGCACCGCTACAGTTTTCTCCTCTTCAAGAATGATTACCCTTCTCGAATGAGAGCACCGACAAACCCAACACACAGAGAGTCTTCGGGAACATAATGAATCCAGGCACAGCAGATCTAAGCATACGCCGCCAAGGCTCAGGTTTTCCTAAGCCCTTATGCAGCGCCTGCAATGAATTGGATCTTGAGGAGATGCTTAGCGGTGAAAGAAACGAAAGATCTATGGGCCTACTCTCAGATTACAATGACCCCAACTGTCCATTCTGCAACCTTTTGTCTCAGTCTATCTCTCTCGCTTGGGGTGCTGATTGGGACTCTGCAAGTCTGTGCTCCGCAAGTAGCCCTGCACCTAGACTCTTCATCCAGAGCCGAAGTCCCTTGTCCGTCAAGAGACACGGCCGTACCGAGTATCCTCAGCCATGCCTCCTGATAGCGATAAATCAAAAGCCCCCAAGTTTCCACCGCAACAGGGCCCCCCTCAGAGAGATTGACGGGGTAAAGGATCGTTATATCATTGCTGAGATCGAATCTCTGCCGGGTGATGCGGTGGCCCATGAGGCGTGTTTCCTCCCACGACGGGATGTCGGGGGACAAGTTAACGTTCAGCTGGTGAAAAAGTGGCTTGAGGAATGCAGAAAGCATCGTCATTCCAACAAGACCGTGCGAGGACAGGAAGACATCCTGTTTGACCCGGAGCACTCCTTCAGACTCATCGATGTGGTAGACGAGTGCCTGGTGCAGAGAGCCGAAAAGTGTGAATATGTGGCTCTGTCCTACGTCTGGGGTCGGATTCCTACTATTCTCTTCCCTGGGGATGATCCTGAGGTCGTGCCTATTCTTCTCACCGTTCAAAATAATGTCAATTACCTCAGCGTTCCGAAAGTTCTGTCCCTGCCGCAGGAAGCCTCACTCATGAGCGGGAAAATCCCCCGTACCGTCCGCGACGCCATGGAGTTGACTCGAAAGATCGGAATGAGATATCTCTGGGTGGATACCCTCTGCATTATACAGAATAATCCAGAGGATAAGGCACGGCTAATTGGGAGAATGGACGATGTCTACGACACTGCGGCATTAACCATCATCGCCGCGGCGGGCAGCGATGCGGACGCTGGACTGAGGGGAATCAGTCCACGTATGGGGTGCCTCATCGAGCCGGCGAGGATCACAGATCTGTCTGACGATGGAAGGACGCTCAATCTTTCACTTCGCCCGCCCTCTCTATGCGAAGAGGTGCGCGGGTCAACGTGGAATACTCGAGGCTGGACGTTCCAAGAACAATGTCTGTCGCAGCGCTGTCTTTACTTCACTGCCGAGGAAACCTTCTTCAACTGCGCCCAAGTTCAATGGAGAGAGGCTTATGACTATGGAGAAGGAAAGAGTGAGGTTTTCGACGTCCAGGTCCGGACAGGACCGCCTTGGTGGAGCCCGAAGCTCAGAAGGGACCTGGACCCAACACCCTACTACTACCTGGGAGGCGCCAGCAAGAAGCTGGACATTCAAGAGTACCAAAAAGCGGTGCAAGACTACGGCAGGAAAAATCTCACGTTCCCCCAGGACGTGCTCAATGCCTTCGAGGGCATCTTCAACCGCTTCAACCGCGCCGGAGACGCCTCTGCACTTACCATCCGTCAGACACAAGGCATTCCCGCCCATCTTCTGGTTTATGCCATTCTGTGGATCCCCTCGGACGACTCTCAGAAACGCATATGCAAGCCTAACGAAGCTGGAGAGACGGTGGAGCAGTTCTCGACATGGTCATGGTAAATTCTCTCTTGCCTTTGGGCTACTACTCATTACTACCAACTGTATATTGCGTGTTCATATGTGATACTGATTAACCATTTGTCATCTCAGGGCGTCGTGGATTGGCCCCGTCGACTTCGTCTTTGCCGATAGTCTTTGGTTGTCAAGAAATATCTCTCAAGCTCTGATAAAGCATGTGCCTGTCTATGCACTCATTCCTAGCTGGCAGTATGGAGATTCGAGCCAGAATTTTTGGTCCCACGGCATCTGGAAGGCTGCCTGTGAGCCGGAGAGCAACATGACCAAACATGATTCTGAGCAAGCCTCTCGCGCAAAGAGCTATCTGAGGGACCGTCTAGGGATAGATGTCGATGGGGTGCTGAACCAGCCGCCCAGTGAGGTCCCGCCGCGTCTAGGCTGCGGTGAACTTGGGTTCCTCGGACCATATCTACCAGCCAGTGAGTTCTGCATCTCGGTCACAGGCAAACGAGACGGGTCTTTACAAGTGTCTACCCATCACCATGGCAAATTCAGGTTCGACGGTCAAGTCGAGAGGGTGGATGAGCTTGTTGGTGTCGTTGCCGCCGACACAATCACGAAGCCGCCTGATACGCAATCGACCTTCTTGGGCCTGGTCACACGAGATGGAATCTCGAGTCGAGTTGGCATTGGGTATGTCTATTACTCACAGGAGCCGAGTGCGCTGAAACCAAAATGGCAGTACAAGTACTTCAAGGTGCAGTAAAGCAATATTAGTACACAATAAAATAATGCATTGCAGCCTACAGCCAAGTTACCACGTCTGGGCTTTGGGGCAGTTCTGATGAAAATGATAGAAAATAGAATGAGCCCTGGTGGAAGGTGACGATGAGTCTATTGTCAAAAGCAGTGATTGTTAGGAAAGCTGGGAATTATAGCGATTTGTCGTTCTGGTACAACTGCCGGTGCAACGATTTGGTAGAGGTAAGCAGAGGCTGGCAGCCACTATAGGACCTAGGTTCAGTAAAACATACTGTAATTGAGGGGTAGGCGCTGTAACGCTGCACTGAGACTTGCTGCGGATCAACTTGCTTAGCGCATCCGGCCTTCCTCTTCTTTTGTACTGTAAAAGTAGATCCCAACTTTTCTCTTCAACACGACTTTTCGACCAACAGCAGAGCACACCGGCAATTCCCATCCAATATCTTCAGTGAAAAATATCACACTGTCCCTTTCCCAATGTAGACTTCTAGCTTATCTGCATTCATCCTTCTGAGCTCTTGGCATGGGTGGGGTGTTGCGCTCGGTCGGTCATGCACGTGAGGTGGACCTGCATGGCACTGTTGTAGGTCCAGTGTTTCCCTGTCCAGATTGCTGCTGGCCGGGCACCTAGGCAACCGCCAACAACCCTCTCTGAGCGTTGTGCACAATTAATACTCATATTCATGAGAGAAAAAACCTCAGCATGGCGCCCTCAAGTTCCGATCCTCGGCAGATACTGGTGGTGTTGAATCCAACCCGCCGAAAGGCTCTGTACCAGCTCGTCAGCGAGATCACGACGTACATGCGATCCCAGCTGGAATTACAGGAGGGCGACCAACAGCAGCACGCAGAGGAAGATGCATTATCACCTGCCACGTCTGATGCCTCCGTCAAGGTAAAGGCAGAAGCTGCCGTGTCACAGCGACATGTGCCACCCAGTCCTGAGCTCGTCCAACTACGCCAGGCGGCCTTGGCTCATCTCGATGGGTGGAGAAGGGAGTTTCTGACCAAGCTGAAAGAGCTCAAGATCCTGTCCCCAACAGACGACGCCGAGATCTTGAAGGAGCGGCGGATTCGCACAGTAAAAGTCGCCCAAGTCAAAACTGATGATGCTCCTACCGACGGGGAGGAGGATCTTATGAGTTTCGGAGGGGAGGCGGCCGCGAACAATGCGGCACAAGATACTGCTAAGGCAGTCAGAGCCCTACAGGCCATCTACCATCCTATACCTACCAGGCTCACGACTATACCAGTCCAAGACCGAAAAGAGGTGCTCAGCGCAGTTCTCATACTCTTACTGTCGACAGGCAGCTACTCCGCCTACTCTCGCACATTTATTACCTTCCTGGCCTCTGCACTTGAGCTTCCCCTCTCTTTCCTGACCGCAGAAGAAAAGGAGATTGCCACGATGATGATCCAGGCGTCCTCCGAGGCGGAGAAGACCGCACATGCTGGCGGGATGTCGGCTGAGGCCGAGGCGCAGAAACGGAAGCAGCAGACACAGACGGGCAGGTTTTGGAAGGTCGGCCTGGCATCTGTTGCCGGAGCTGCCATCATCGGGGTGACCGGTGGTCTCGCGGCACCTGTCGTGGCTGGGGCGATCGGAGGCTTAATGGGCTCGGTGGGGCTCGGAGGTCTGGCCAGTTTTCTGGGAATCTTCTGGATGAACGGCGCTCTGGTTGGGACATTATTTGGGGCTTTCGGGGCCCGCATGACTGTGAATAGTTCTCTTCCCTCCTGGGCTTGGTATCTGGCATGACTAACCTGATACAGGGCGAGATGATGGACAAATACGCCAGGGAAGTCGAAGACTTTCGCTTTCTACCACTACAGGACGAGTGGAGTCCTGAAATCTCCAAGGAGGGCAAAGATGTTCGGAGACTGCGGGTTACCGTTGGCATCAACGGCTGGCTTCTGTCTGAAGACGGAGTCACGGAGCCTTGGCGAATTCTCAGCGATGAGACCGAGGCATTCGCCTTGAGATACGAAGTGCAGAGTCTCCTCAAGCTTGGAAGCGCTCTCGAGGACATGGTTTCATCGTACGCGTGGAATTTTCTCAAGATCGAGATTCTGCGGCGCACCGTTCTCGCAACCTTATGGGCAGCACTGTGGCCTGTACAGATCCTGAAGCTCGCAGCCAGCGTCGACAATCCCTGGAACCTGGCTAAAAACCGCTCAGACAAAGCAGGGAGGATATTGGCTGATGCGCTCATCAACAAGGCCCAGGGCGAGCGGCCTGTCACGCTCATCGGATACTCGCTGGGCGCGAGGGTGATCTACTTCTGCCTCAAGACCCTTGCAGAGCGCAAAGCTTTCGGTCTGGTAGACACAGTCGTGCTGATCGGTGCGCCCATCCCATCGAACCGGACGCATTGGCAGATAATGCGCAGCGTCGTGGCCGGCAAGATGTTCAACGTCTATTCGGAAAATGACTACATACTTGCCTTCCTGTACCGCGCCACAAGCATACAGCTCGGCATCAGCGGACTCCAGGCCGTGGAGGACATCGAGGGCGTCGAGAACCTGGACCTGGGTCAGGAGGTCAAGGGACACCTGCGGTATCCTAAGCTCATTGCCCAGATCCTCACCAGATGCGGGTTTCCGAACATACGTGGCGGCGAGGCGCCCATCGAGAAAGAGGAGATCAAGCTTGACGACAAGGATCATCAGATTAAGGAGGGGATCCTGGTGAACCTCGATGACTTTGATAATGATGCTGAACCCATCATTTCTCCGGTGAAGGTCAAGCCGCTGGGGAAGAAAACGCATCGTAAGATATCCTTCCCTAGTGGCATCTCTGAAGCCGAGGAGCGGCTTGTTGTGAGGAGGGTACAGTCGTTACCGCCCGCCTCCGCGGAATCTGGCCTCCATCCATCACTTGAGAGCTCTGAGGCAACATCAAAGAAAGAGATGGCCATCGATGACAAAAACGAATCCGAGGAGCTTGACGACAACGTGCTTACAGTTATGGAGCCGGTGCCTATGGATTGAGGTTCATTATCACAGGGGAAAGACAGACAAAATATCCACCTGAAAGGCTCACTTCCTCACTCCATGGGCATTCCACTTCAGACTTGCAAAATTCGAGCTCCCATTTGCCCAGGTTGGTGGAGCAATCATATCTAGGAGTATCGGCCTAGCTCCCGTGCAACTGGTGCTTGGTAGACAATGAAAATGAGGTCTTGTGCTTCAGAGCCAATTGCTGCGGTCTGGCTGCTGAAAGCAGACAGACAAAGGTTGTTAATGATGCTTCCAAGAACAAGTATTACCAAAATTGATTTCCAAGTTCCCGCCATAGGGGCTAATCGCCCAGGGCAGCCCTGAAGTCGAAGCCACTGGGGTGAACTGTACAAGTATGGACAGAAATAATTACTGCGGCACAGCGCGTAGAGTAAGCACTAAGCTGGACACCCCGCCATAATTTGGGAAGCTGAGCCAGCTAAATGCCAATGAACCTCGACATTAGATCTTGAACAACATACGTACATATACCTCCAATAGCGTTTGATCTCATTTAGATTCCCTTTCAACATTCCAGGTATTATTCTGATTGATTTCGGCAAACATCGATGATATCTTGCTGACTTTGTTGCCAAATAAGATGAAGAATCCTATCACGGTACTACCAGGTTATCTTGGGAATCAAATAAGCAGCAACCTGTCCATCAGCCAGTGTGTGACTGCTACTGTTGCATTGGTGAGTGTTGGGTGTCAGATTTGCGAGTGTCTATCTCAGGATGTCAGTCTTATTTGAGTTTCTTCCACATAGGCCATTGCCTACTGCCTGGGGCGAATCATCTACAACCTCCATTTCCATCCATTGTCGAAGTATCCAGGGCCGAGGCTTGCTGCCATTTCCGATCTCTGGTGGGCTTATGCCAGGTCAGTATGAAACCTGGAGGGTTTCTATTCTTCTGCAACCAGAAAATGTGGTAATCTCTTCCATATGGAGCAAAAGTGTTGACATGAGTGAAATCCTCAGTATCTCAGGAAGATATCCGTGGATAATCGAGAAAGTCCTTAACAAATATGGTATTTCCTCTCGAAGACACTGCTTTTATGACCAGACCAGACAATCCTAACCATAGCTTCACAGGCGACATCGTCCGTATTGCTCCAAATGAGCTCGTTTTTATAACGCCCCAGGCAGCAAAAGGTCAGCTTCCACCACAGTGCTGGACCACAAGACGTCCGAGATAGCGATTAACTCAAGACATCGAGCCAGATATATACCTCTCACAAGAAAAGAACCTAGAGTCTTTCGTCCAAGTCGGGTATGATGCGTTGGATACAGGCGACGGTGGGATTTCCGGCGAGACAAATCCCGTGAAGCACCGCGAGATAGCAAAGAAGCTCGCACCTGCTTTCAGCACGAGGAACTTCAAGGCAAAAGAGGCGGCTGTGCAGAGGCATATCGATGCCTTTATCCAGAAAATGAAGGAAATCGGTGCAGGGGAAAAGGGTGCCGAGATGCAGTGTTGGACAGACAGGCTGGGTCTGGACCTCTCTTTTGACATGACATACAGTCGTGTTCTAGGCCAGATACGGGACAGTATGTGTATCAAAAGCAACCTGTCACTCTTTTCTTCTGCTAACACAGAGTAGTGAAGGACTCAACCCTCCTGAATGCCACTCTGAAGTTGAATTTTTTCCTGACAATGAGCCAGATCACCAGAAAGTTCCGCCTGTTCAGCCCCTTCATATACCTAACCATCCCGCCATCCGTGTGGTTCATGATGCCGAGACTCATCAAGATGAACACGCAAGATTTCAAGGAGCGTATCGACCGCCGCGGCAAGACGGAGCATCTAGATTACTTCGAGCAGCTCGTCCCTGCCGACCAGCCCGCTCCCGAGGACAAGAAACAGCTCTATAACCTGGAGAACGTGGCAGGACAACTGCTTCTGGCGAGCTGGCAGCCTCTAGCTAACCAGTTCTACTCCTGCATTCTTTTTCTTCTCGGGGAGCCGGATGCCTATGCAGCCCTGGTGGACGAGATCAGAAGCTCGTTTGCAAACTACGAAGCTATTAGCAGCGAGACGATAGCGAGTCTAAAGTATCTGCAGGCATGCGCACAAGAGAGTTTCCGGCTTCACCAAGATACTGTTGATGGTCTGCCGCGTGTGAGTCCTGGGGCTATGGTAGACGGGGTATACATTCCCCAAGGTGTAAGTTGAAACCTGCTGCATCGTCTTCTTCTCATAATCGGTCTCCATCGAGTAGGCCTATACTTGCATATTGTTAACATCTTGCCGGGGGGGGGGGGGTAACATAAGGTTACCTGCCAGATCAGCTACTTCACGGCAGCAAGAAACCCTCGCTTCTTTACCGAGCCGCTCCGATTTCGTCCACAGAGGTGGTTGCCGGAAGACCACCCAAAGTACGATCCGAAGTACAGAGACGACAATCTCAAGGCCTCCAAGCCATTCAGCCAGGGTCCGAGAGGCTGTCCTGGCGGCGCTATAGCCTCGGCGGTGCTTCGACTGTTTCTTGCAAAGGTCCTGTGGCAGTTCGACCTAGAGGCTGTGCCGGCTCAGCGAGGTATTTCATTTGAGAAAGACTTCAAGTTTCTCACGTTTTGGGAGAGGTCGCCATTCTGGGTCCGCTTTAAGATCGTCGAAAGGGGAGACTAGATGGTTAGCAAGCCGTCACTGCATCGATCTGACTAGACAAATGAACAGACAACAAGGCATGTAGTTCTCTCGTCATACCACGTTTTGTTCAGCGCAAATTCAATGACTGTAGAAATGCTGATGAATATCTTCCAAGGCTATGGCACCTGGTAGGTCACTTTAAATAGAGGATGGGATTCAGGCTAGTTGCCCTTCAATATTTAGGCTGAGTACGTATTACAGAGCTAAGGATCGGTAGAACAGACACTTTGAGCCAGACTGAACTGCGGAAGGGAATATGGTCGGCATAAAAAGCTTATAATAAATAATAATACTTTGGAGGCTTCTATAAAACGTGGCGCACGTAGTAGTGCCCTTGAACGCCCGGGAGTTCTCGATCCAGCTCTGATTACCGTTGTCTAATGCACCCAAAACTCCTATACCTATGAACCCGATCGGAAAATTCAGCAAAAGTATCAACTCATTACTATTGGTTCCCTGCAAGAGTGTCATCAAAAAACAGTGACAGCGCTGACATAGCCATTCTTGAGAACCTCAAAGACCAGACCGGGGAACCCGTACAAGGTGGTAGTAGAGTCTTCAGTCCCGTCAGCACGCTTGGGGCCAACACCTGGCGCCACGTGGGCACTACTGTCCTCCCAGCCGCCAAGAAACTCAATACTGCTCCCAGGGCTATCCCCCCAGCCGCGATTGAGGACCATCCCTCTCTGCTTTTGGATGGCTTCGGCCTCTGAGGAGTAGATGGGTTGCCATTCTTGCCGAAGGTGCTTCTGGATGTCCGTAAAGATGGTCTCCGTGTTGATCGGTGCTTCTGGCGAAGAGTGGTCGAGATAGGAGATCTCCCATCTGCAACGTCTGTGTCGGTTGAATGGGTACGACCCTGGCACATTTCCATGGAGTATAAGCTTGGTTGCAACCAGGCGATCTGGCGACGCAACTTTGATCATCTTCTCTGGGAGAGTTGATGGGTCCTGTGAGGGAGGTGGCTCTGACGGGGCCGCTGGTGTCGAGACGAGCAAATCAAAGCCGAGGTAAAAGTAGTTGTAGAAGCACTCTCCCGACACATTCGCAACCACGTCATCGTCGATCGCCTCATCATCATTCGAGTCCTCAGACGTTGTATGCGCTGAGGACTGGTCCGTGTCTGTAGAGTCACCCTGCCGCCTGAGATCATCGCCATCGGGCCGTGTTCGGCTATTGCTGGCTGTTCTTATCTGGTGAATGTACATGCGCTGGTCGTTCTTCCGGTAGATTGCGTCAGGAGGCCCTAGTTCGGCTACAAGTTCCTGTGGCGTTGTCTCGCCCAGTGAGATCCATACGGAGTTTGTAGTCCATCTCTTGAAGAGCTGAAGCTTTCCGCCACCGTGTATCTTGACTAGCGAGATCTCATCAGGACACACATCCTTGCCCTTGGCAAGAGGTGTGAACGTCTTGACACTGGGCAGAACCTCAGTCCAGAGTGTCTTCCGAGACTGCGCCCAAGAGTCTCCGTTGAAGACTGCCATCGAGGTGGCCGCCCGTGTCGAGGAAGACAGCAAGGTCACGACGTCCTTGTCGGGCGTGTACGCCGATCCAGACAGAGGAAATGTGAAGGCGACGCCGGGGTACGACAGAACATAAACACCCATGTCTTGGCCATCGGCGGCCGGTATGAACTCGCCGTCGTAAGTTGGGCCCAGAAAGCGCTGGTATATATGCTTGAATGTGGGTTCGGCGGCGGCGCCTACGTCGGTCGAAGGCTCGGCGGGGGGCTTGACCAGGTCGCGCTCGGTGTTCTGATCCTTGAAGGTGATGTGATTTTTGGAAAAGTCGACGACCTCTATCAGGCGAAGGCGCTGCTCGGGTCCATCAAAGCGTATCCTGATGCCATTTGCAGGTAGTGTCACTGTGACAGGTTCGTTGACTGGGTTCTCGGGAGAGTAGGCGAGCTCGAGCCTTGGGAAACGCTGTGGCTCGGCCTTGAGTCGGGTCAAGATATCGTGGAGGGACGCACCAAGCACTATGTGGAGAGAAAGGAAGAAAGTCAGCAGCTTTGATCAGCAACCTCCTACGTTACTCCAGGGACAGAGAGAAGTCCATACCCAGGAAACCTAGAGCGCGCCCTGGATGGAGCTGTGCCGTGAACAGCGACGACATCCTTTCGATATGATATGCCGATGGTGTATGGGCCTGGCCACAGTGATTAGTTGTAAGAAAGATACAGTCTGTTTTGTATAGAGCCGTAGGCCACGATATTCTGTGGGAGAGAATCGTGGGCAAAGTAGAGACTGCCCCTTCTCACGTTTCTCATTGCGTTCGGCAAGTGATAGTCAGTCAGTCGCGGGCCTGCCTCGTGATGCGGTTCAGCTCAGGGGACCCTCCTGGCTTTAGGGGACCCTCCAAGGGGAACGCGGGGTCCTCCGAGACGTCATCTGCAGGTGTCACCGCCGGGGGGTTCAAGGGTGCAAGGGTACTGATATCGATAGTTGCTGTGACGACGGGCTATGGCTACAATGCTCCGCTAAAGAATGGAGATACAGGGGTCTCGCAGTACCCGACCCGCCGTGGAGTCAATACCGCATCTGGTACGCGCCCTCCAAAGCAAACCCAGCAGACCTCCATTGTAGCTCTGTATTTCATGCACAGTATTCATGTCTCGGCTCTTGATCCTGGCACAGTTGTACACGCATTCACACACGCTTCGTCTGCTGACGTTACCGTATCTTACACTATTTCGATATACCAACGCTCCTACAACGATTTGGTGCTTTGGTCCTTGGGTTCAACAATATTCATTTGAATCTCCAATAGAAACAACAATAGTCTCTGTTCGGGCCCAGCTTACTTTTCACTCTCAAGTTGGTTCCAGAACAAACCGCCGCGCTGGATTCCAAACGCTCAGCTCCCCTGAGGAGGGGCCCCAGATCCTCAACCAACATGCCTCCTCCTCCTCCATCGCGAGCGGGCGCCGCCGGGCGCGCAAGCATCCGTCAAGGATCACGCGTCCCCTCCTTCCGACCCCAGAGTGCCGCCGCGACCCCGCGACTCGACAGGTCCGTTGCCGCCTCCCCCGCAGGGTCCACCTCGTCTGCACCGAACGCCGCAGGCATGAAGCGCAAGGAACGCGACTTCGACTCTGGATTCAGCGAGGAGACAAACATCAATGTCGTGGTTCGGTGTCGAGGGCGCAACGACCGCGAGGTGCGCGAGAACAGCGCCGTTGTCGTCGGTACGGATGGTGCGATGGGCAAGCACATTGAGCTGTCCATGGGACCCAATGCGCTCAGCAACAAGACCTATGCCTTTGATCGCGTCTTCTCGCAGGCAGCAGATCAGTCTATGATCTTCGACGATGTGGTGAAACCCATCTTGGGCCAGGTAAGTTTGCGCCGGACTGGTGGAGAGACCGCAAACAGTGCGAGCCGAGGCTGACCACCACAGATGCTCGCTGGCTTCAACTGCACCATTTTCGCTTATGGGCAGACTGGTACCGGCAAGACCTACACCATGTCTGGCGACATGACCGAGTCCCTGGGGCTTCTTGCTCCTGATGCTGGCATCATTCCTCGTGTCCTGCAAGCCCTGTTCAACAAGCTCGAGGCCGACGGGACCGAGAACTGCGTTCGGTGCTCATTCATAGAGCTCTACAACGAGGAGCTTCGCGACCTGCTGACCCCCGACGAGAATGCCAAGCTAAAGATTTTCGACGACTTGTCCAAGAAGGGCCATGCCTCGACAATTGTGCAGGGCGTCGAGGAGCGGCATATCACAAACGCGGCCGAGGGTATTGCGCGACTTCAGGAAGGGAGCTTGAGACGCCAGGTCGCCGCGACCAAGTGCAATGATCTCAGCAGTCGGAGTCATACCGTCTTCACCATCGCAGTTCACGCCAAGCGCCCCGGGGGTGGCACCGATGACTTCATCAGCCTGGGCAAGTTGAACTTGGTCGACCTTGCGGGCAGTGAGAACATCCAACGGTCTGGGGCGGAGAACAAGCGAGCTGCAGAGGCCGGTCTCATCAACAAGAGTCTGCTGACGCTCGGCCGCGTCATCAATGCGCTGACGGACAAGAGCTCTCACATCCCGTATAGAGAGTCGAAGCTCACACGGCTGCTACAGGACTCGCTTGGAGGGCGGACCAAGACATGCATCATTGCCACGATATCGCCAGCCAAGAGCAACCTGGAGGAGACCATCTCAACATTAGACTATGCGTTCCGGGCAAAGAACATCAAGAACAAGCCCCAGGTCAACACTCTGATCAGCAAGATGGCGTTGTTGAAAGAGTTCACGGCAGAGATTGAGAGGCTGAGGACCGAGTTGATTGCCACTCGGCTGCGCAATGGTGTACATCTCACCAATGAGGCCTACGAGGAGATGACGGCCCAGAGCGAATCGCGTCGCATTCTGGCTGACGAGCAGGCCGCCAAGATCGAGACGCTAGAGTCAAACCTCCGCATCAAGGTGCAAGAGCTTTTTGCCCTGACCTCGAGCTTTATGGGACTCAAGAAGGAGCACGAGAGCACCAAGGCGCAGCTTTACGAGACGAAAGAAGTTCTCGACCAGACTGAGATCATCTTGGCGGCCACCCGGAAGACGCTTGCGGAGGAGACGCACATTCGAAAGGCACATCAGATGACTGAACAAAAGCTGACTGCCGTCGGAGGAGAGCTTATCTCCACGCTGAGGAAGACTGTTGGCGACGTCGATGGGCTTCGCGCCAAGAACAAGAGGAAGTCGGACCTGCAGGACCTGAACCGCAGCACCTGGGCCATGTCGCAAGCCCAAGTCACAGACGTCACCGAACTCGTCGAGAGCCGGATCGAGGATTTCCGAAAAGATCAGGATGATCACATTGCGAGCGTTTCTGAGAGAATGCATGCCTTTGTGCAGAAAGAATTGCAGAAGCTCACGGCGACGCAGAGCTTTCTTGACGAGAATCTTCAGAGGTTTGAATCTTCACGAGACGAATTACTAGAGCAGAAGCAGCGCTCTAAAGACGAAATGGATGACGTCCTGCAAGAGATCAAGTTGGTCAGAGACAACATCAAGGTGCGGGTAGGAGAAAGCCTCCTAGCGATCGCTGCAGCGGCAGAGAGAATAGCGGCAGACGTGCTCGGCGAGCTGGATACATTCCATAACCACCTGCACACATCCTACAAATCTCTGGGCAAGGACTTCAAATCGATCTTCGAGGACCTGCTACGGCATCTCGGCTCCCAACGAAGCGAATCCGATGGTTTAAGGCGCCAGTTAGAGGAGGCAAGTCGGGCCATGGTTCAGGCGAATGAATCAGCGTCTGATCAGATTCAAGAGGTCATCGAGGAGGAGCGCAAACAAGCTGCAGAGGACCGCCAGAAGCTGTTGACGCAGATCACCAGCCTCATCAATGCTCATGCCGAGCAGCAAGAGTCTCGCCTCTCTGGCAAGGCCACCAAGATTCAGCATCATGTCAGCGGGGCCAAGGAGGCCTTCGGAGGTCAAGTAGCGATCTACTCAGCTGGCATGGACCGACTGGAGTCAGACGAAGAGAAGCTTCTGCAGGATGTTGCCACGTCGAGAGACATATTGAAGACGAAGCTCAAGGACGACTGGGTCGTAAGTCTTTTCGATGTGACCATGTTATGGTTTGGGGTCCTAATTGCTAACATCTACCAACCAGACCGCGAGTGATCATAGCACATCTATACAGACCACGACAAGATCTGTGCACCAGGAAACGGTCCGCGTTGTGGCCGAGCAGATGACAGATCTGGAAACCCAGATGACCGACTTTGATGACTTCTTGACCAGAGCGCAAGCTGAAAATGCCGATCACCACAGTCAACATTCAGAGTCTGTGGATAAACTATCAGCAACCGTGGGAGGTTCGTTCTCCAACATCTCAAACCACTACGAAGAGACGTTCTCCCGTGTCCAGGGCCTCAAGACGGAGATGGAGGCAGATGTGGAACGGCTGCAAGGCAATCTTGAGCCTCTGACGGACACGGTCTGCCAGCCACTGAGCAAGCTGCGACAAGACATCTCCGACACCAATCTTCGAGAGTACGAGCCTACAGGAGAGACACCGGAGAAGATCCACTACCAATACCCCACCCAACTTCCTCGCACAGCCCCCCAGGACGCCCTCATCGCTAGCATGCGCGATGGATCCAACGCCCCAACACCAAGTCGTGTAATTGCCACCCCTGGCAGGCGGACGCCGGCACCGCAGGCGCAAGTCTTCAACGACTTGGACCACTCGGAGCAGGCTCGATCGCCATCTCGACCAACATCATCTGACTCAACCACACGAAACCCGCTAGCTTCTAGCCTGCGTGAGGTAAACACAAACCTGACAACCAGCTCACTGATCTTTGATCCGTCTGCGAGTGTCCTGTCGGGTCTCCCCTCCGGTGATGAGAACTCGATGCCCATGGTAAAGAAGGGCACGAGTCGAATCCCGCGTGAGGGGAAAAGCAAGAAGATGCGCCTCGACGGAGTTGAGAATTTGCCCCCATCAGAGCTATCGCAGAGCACTCAGAGGAGAAGGAGCCCTCGACGACAGCAATGAAGCGATGGACTCCACAGCATGTCACATCATCAATCACAGGACTGTTTATGGTGCTTCGAATGTTTAGTCGACGGACGTATGGACTGCATGGGCTGGAATGGGCGAGCTGTCTGCTTCAAAGGACTACGAATGCAACGCCTTGAATGGTGTACAGAAGCTATGGAGTGTTTGGTGTAGGTTTTATTCAGTATTTCTGATACCCCTTGGAATGTGGTGTCGTTCGATGTTTGGTTTAGTGAAAATTAATCCCCATTATCTCCGACACACGTCTGGTACGGGCTACTTTCAACTTCACATGCATAACTCTTTGTTGCCAGTTCTATGGGCCTCACTAGTAAGTCAGGTTGTGAGACCCGATAATGGAAAAGTTGAAGCCATTCCACAGGATAGCTTGTCTCTTTATTGGGTCCCAAATGGGGATTGATCTCTGCTGACCTGACTGCTTCGGTCTGTTGCTCGATTGCAGGCGAGCATCATGACACTGTGCATATACGCCCTTCCGGGTGGAGTAATTGGAGTTTAACTACAGAGGACAAGACCAAAGGGCGCGGTGCCGATCCCAGCAGCTCACAAAGTCTTAGGTATAAAAAGGGATGGAGATAAGTAGAGAGAATTACACAGTGAGATCCGGTTTTATTATTTATGTTTCTTTTCTTTCGTGGTTTCTTGCACTCCTGATTGGCAACGTACAAGTACAAATCTGACCTCCCGTCCCACGAGAGACTTACTTTGCCTGATCTGAATTGACACGCAACTCCACACGCAACTCCATCGCCATGGCCCAGATCGACAACACAGCAGACCTGACCGGCTACAAGGCCCTGTCCTTCGACTGCTACGGCACCCTCATAGAGTGGGAACCCAGCCTGACCGCCGCGCTGCAGCCCATCATCGACCACCTGCCCGCGGACCACGCCTTTGCCCAGGACCCGAAGCGCGCCCTGCTGCGCTTCGATGAGCTCTCCAACGAGCTGGAGCGGAACCAGCCGACGCTCAAGTATGATTTGAACCTGCGCACGGCGATGACAAAGCTCGCCAAGGAGCTGGGCGTTGAGGATAAGGTGGCCGAGGGGGCGTACGATGAGATGGCGGCGGGGCCTGGACGGTGGCCTGCGTTTCCCGATACGATCGAGGCGCTGCGGGTGCTCAAGCGGCACTACAAGCTCATCATCCTGTCCAACATCGACAATGGCAACATCGCCCGCACAACGGCGGAGCCGCTGGGCCAAGTGCCTTTCGACGCGGTGTACACGGCCGAGGACATTGGCAGCTACAAGCCCAGCGCCAGCAACTTCGAGTACCTGTTCCGCCGGGCACGGGACGAGCTGGGCGTGGATGTGGGAAAGGGCGAGCTGCTGCACGTGGCGAGGAGCCTGCGGGTGGACCACACCGCGGCGAAGGCGCTGGGGTTCAAGAGCTGCTGGATCTCGAGGGGCGGTGATAAGAAGGAGGGCGAGGGTATCGGGGGCGAATACGAGCGCATGGTGAAGGATGGCGAGGTCAGTTTCCAGTGGAAGTTCGACACGCTTGGTGATTTTGCAGCCGAGGTTGCGAGGCAGTTTGGTGACAAGAAGTGAAGAGAGAAGAAGGGGAGTCATTAACTTCCAGGCCGAGAGGCTGCGTAGTGAGCGCCAGCACACTTGTGATTGATCGAGTTGCGTGGGTTATTGTATGAACTAGCTCTGAGATGAGGCCGCTTCGTCACGCCGTGATCTATTCGTCTTCTGGTTCAGATTCCCGTCGCCGCTTCTCTGACGTTTTCCGGGCCCTCTTCTTGGTATCCTCTGTTCTCCAGCCCTTCTGGACGCGTATGGGCTCGAGATGGCCATCACGATGGACGCCACCAAGCAGCTGTGCCCTCTCCAAGTTCTTGGCCGTATTTTCGGCCGCACTCTCGTCACCATGGACAAGCCTTAAATGTCTTTCCAAATTATACAGCCTATGAAAGCCCGCATATGCCCTCTTACAGTCAGCATGGGGACAGAAATGCTGTCCCTCGGCGGTGCTCCGCGTGTATCGTTCCCCAGGAGGCTCGTCGCGGCGGCCGTCCTCTTCGCTCGCGCCCGAGTTCTCGTCTCCGTGTACGAGTTTCAAGTGTCGTCTCAGGTTGTAAGGCCTATCGAAAGCTCTGCTTGCCCTTTCGCAGTCGGCATGAGGGCAGAACAGCGGGCCCGTCGAAGGCGCACGTGAGCCGCTCCGTTTCCGTGGCTTTCTAGGTGCCTTACGCCCCCGGCTCTCCTCGTGATGAATTTCTGGCGAGACGGCCCTGCTCGGCGCGGCACTGGACGTTCGAAATGCTGACCGTACCTGGTGCACATAGAGATCGTCGGGTTCGTTTCCGCCATCATCCGAACAGCTGGCGGGGACGTCCTCACCAGGTAGATATCGTCTTGTCTCCACGACTCCGTTGTCAGTGATGGTGTGCATCTGCATGCCCTGGCGAAACAGATTCGCACACCTCTGCGTCGCGCGCTCAATGACCTTCGGGGAAAAGCCTGCAAGAGCCGCAGCACCCATGACATCGCCCCAGTCGCGCAGGTTGAATTTGTCCAATTTCTTCTGCATCCAGTGTTCATCAGTCTCGCTGACGCTCTCCCGTCTTTTGCTCCTCCGTCGCGTCTCTCTGCGCGGCGACTTCACGCTCTCTGCTGCTGTCGTCGTGCCTCCATCCTCCTCGTCCGAGAACACAGGCCGTTTCTTCTTCTGTTCCTTGGCACGTCGGATGAGGAAGTCCCGCTCGCTCTCACCCTCTCTGGGCATTGCCGTAGGTTTACGGCCACGCCTGGATTTTTCCTTCTGCTCCTTCTTCCCAAGGGTCAGAGTTTGGCCGTCTCTAGATGCAAGGGACATGCTGCGTGAGCGAGCACGCTCGGTGCTAGTGTGTGATCTCGCGCGAGATCGAGACCGGGCCCGGGCCCGGGCCCGGTGACCACGTGCTGTCATGCCGTTATCGTCATCTTCCGAGGAGGATGATGTGTGTTCTGCTTCGTCTGCAAAGTCTTGTGTACTGGACATCCGAGCGTTATGCAGAACAGTCAAGGTCTGGTCCAGCTTCTCGAGGATCTTTCGAGTGGTTGGCCGTATGAGCTCGTAAGAGACGTCGTCGTCAATAGCCATGGCAGGTTTCCACACACTCTCCTCAGCTTCATTTCCCTCATCCTCAGACTCCGCCTCACTAGAAAGAGACTCGTTCCCTGACGAGACCAGTTCACTTTTGGTGGTTGCAGCCAAACTGGAAGGAGTCTGTGTCTCATGGGAAGTCCTTTTGCGAAAGTTCTCTTTGGCACGTCTCAGGACAGCAGCAGATATGACCTCTTCCAGGTTGGAACTGGGCGCCTGCCTCTCCACGTGCCGAATAGTTGAGGACTCATCCTCATCTTCCGTGCTCTTCATGAAGTCATCAGGAGGCAGGAGCTGCACACTGAGCGGCCACGCCGTCCAGCTTCTGGGCGGCTCCCATGGCCTCGTATGGACACCTCGAGCTGCTTCTGCGTTCATGTACTACACCGAGAGAGAAAAAGAAGCAGAAGAAAATCAGCTGTAAGTTCTTACTGTTTAGGTGCTTTCCAATCCTTTTCACTGTAACGATCTCGCGGCACGAACCTGGTCTTCATCCGACACACCACCATGCAGAGAACGCGCCGGTAAATTCTTCAGTGCGAAGGCATTGTACAGGTGCACTGACAGGTCCTGGTTCTGCAGCCTCTCGAGGGCGTTGTAGGTGAGGCGGTCTTCCTCGGTGAGAGCCCGCCAGCTCTGCGGTGGACCGCGCCAGCGATTAGGTCGCGATGCGAACAGGTCCTCTGAGTCCTCAGACTGGATCTCAGAGGTGCTCTTGTCCCATTCGCTGTCGTCGTCCTGTGAACTCGCCATCAAGATTTGCGAGGTTTCATGTTTTGTTCTCGTTGGGGTCTTGTAGTTGAAGGGTAAGGATTTACAGTGGTTACTTGAGCGGCTGCGGGTCGCTGAGGTTAGGGTTTTAGCGGCTGGGATTTGTGTAAGTTCGAAAAACTAACCTCAAGAAAAGGCGTGGGTTGTAGAAGCTGGCACAGACATCCAAGAGGTAATAAAATGAGATACGGAGTCAATGAACTTGCAGCAAGAGAATTCTAATGGAAAAATTGGATAGGTAAGTGACCTTATAGGAAACAACGCGGCAACTGTAATTTCATTATTGGTATGCTCTTCAGAACGCGCCGTCTAAACCTTCTTGCCCTTTTGCTTTTCGATCTTTCTCCTCTTGGCCCGCAGCTTCTCATCCTCGGCGCTCTTCTTGTTATTCGTGTACTGCATCTGCTCGAAGAGCTTCCTCTTCTTCTTGCTGAGCATACCCTTGGCCCGTTCCATATCCTCGGCCTCCTCCTTGGCCTTCTTCTGTATGGCCTTGCGGGCCTCCGCCTTCTTCTTGTCCTTGGGCTTTTGTTGTTGAGACTTGACAGGCTTGCCCGTCAGCTCCGCCTCCAGCTCGAGTTGTCTCTGCAGCGCAGCTGACTCCTCCTCATCCGACCCCTCGTCCTCCTCGTCTTCTGCTCCTGTGAAACCTCCAAATTCACCCTTCTCCTCATCTTCATCCTCAGCGACATCCATGTCGTTCTCCTCCTCCTCGTCATCTTCCTCCGCATCCGGCTCTTCTTCGCTGTCCGCCAGTTTCTCAGCCTCGGTCTGCTGCTCCTCCAACGCCATGGTGGGGTCGTACTGGCCCTGGACCGGCTTGACGAAGGGGCTCAAGTGAGGTGGGAGTTCAGCACCCGGGGCATACAGATTCGGGTCCTTCATCTCTTCCTCGTTGATAGAATCCCACACCCACTGGGGCTGGACATATATCCGCCCTGGCACTCTCTGGTTTGGTGCAAGCTTTTGTGCAGTCTGATTATCATCCCCGTCACCGTTTGCCTCCGTCACTGCCTGAATGAGCGGCCGGTCAATAATTTGGTGCGTTATGGACGGGTCGAGTTCGTTGGTGGTGAAGGCGCCCTCGCCCAGCACGGCGTCCCAGCCTATCCGCTTGCACCCAAAAGCCCGTAGTATGAACTCGAGTGGCTGGCGCGGCGTCTCACGGCCGAGAAAGAATGTGCATTTTGAGAACAGAGACGCAGGGTCGTTGGTGCTGTATGACGGCTGTGGTAGGACATCTCCGCCTTCAACCGCAGGCTCAAACTTGTCGATAGCATCTGTGGTCTCCTCGACATCTGCGCCTTCGTTTGCGTCATCTGCCGTCTTGCCATCGCCGTTCGTCTCGCCTTCACGCATCGACTTGACCAGCTTGTTGACCTCGGCCTGCACCTTGGGATCCGGGCCGTGCTCGCTCTGGCCGTTCGTCAACTGTTTTGGCTCGTCCGACTTTGCTGCGATGTTGACTCCTTCCAGGGTGAAGGCGCCCAGCTCTCCACCTTGGTCGTCCTTGCTCTTGTCGAACTTGGGTGGGTACTTCAAGCCGATCGATGTGTATAGTCTGTAGTTGACGAAGCCCAACAGGGTCATGTAGAACTCCACAAAGGTGCCCATGATCCGGAAATCAACGTCTCCGACCACTCTCTGATTGAACTTGTACGGCACGAGCCACAGCACGTCCTCACCCATGATGTTCGCCTGGTAATATATGCCTTTGATGGACAAGAACGACTTGCGCAAGCTATTTGACACGATCAACAAGTGTTCGAACTCGAGACACAGGCGCTCGCAGCGGGCGATCATCTTAGCGGGTACGGTAGAGGTCGATGGCAGGTTGGCGAAGAGGAAGAGCATAGACAGGCAGTCGTCGAGGTCCCTCACGGCGTCAACAAAGGTCGGGTAGCGCTCCCTGATAACATGATCGAGGGTGTAGCGAGGCTTGCCAGTCTTCTCTGGGTGCGAGGCATTGCGCTCGAGGCGGGCGGCGTCGCCGACATCCCCGCGTCCGAGAGCACGGGAGATTTTTTTCTCGAGAGCCTTCTGGTCGCGGAACTTCTGGAGCAGAGGCTCGTGGAGGAGGTACTGGATGTCCTTGGTGTAATAGAAGGTGGTGGAGGGCGTGGAGTTCTTGGACACCTTCTTCTTGTCCCTGGGCTCGCGCGGGTAGATGCCCTTCCAGATGCACAGCTTTCGAAAGTCGGGCAGGCTAAGTTGCAGTTTCTTGACAGCCTGAGTCCGAGAAATGAAGTTCTTGGCGTTACCGGCCTCGCCCTTCTTCTTGATGCGACCCATTTTGGCAATTGGTGTTGTGAGAGTGATATGAAGAAAGTCGGGTATTGGAAAAGTTAGGTCAGGAAGCAGAACCGCCCTCCAGCATGCGCTTCGCTTCTCTCGAACTTTTTTCTTGCGGCCGACTTTTTTTCTGCCACCGCCGAGCTTAGATGGGCTAGCGTTCCATGTTAGAGTGGGGGAGTAAACAGGGGTCCCGTCTTCTTGGGACAGGGGTCCCCAGGTACTTGCTGTGGCAGGCAATCAATGCTACTGGCCCTTAGGATGACAGCCTGGCCAGCGACCATTCGACCTGGCATCGTTCTCTGCTGTTTTGCCCTGAGGAGATAATTCTGGTACACGACAAACACTCCTCAACTCGACGATGGACACAAGATGAATGCCGAATTTTTGAGCCTGAAAAGGCCCCAGGGCTTATTTCTGGCTGCCGCTGTCTTGCGGCTTGCTCTCTTCTTCCTCTTTCCTGGTCTCCCAGAATTGGTCGCAGGCCGAGTCGAGGTTTCGACGCCTGTCAACAGCTTCAAGAGATGTGCGTAGACTCTCAGCTAGGCATGAATGCAGACGCTGATCCCTCTCTTCTCTCTAGTACAAGAAGGCCTATTCCTCTATAACCACAATGTGTCACCTTACGACGGAGGTGTCTACCACCAAGCGCCGCTCCTCCTGCCGCTGTTCTCCCTTCTTCCGAGTTTCGCGTCCTTGCCCGTGTTCACATACTTTCTCTACATTGCTGTAGACCTGTGGAGCGCCGACGCGCTGATGACAATTGCAAACTCTGGAGAGTCTGGGTGTTCTGCATTGTTCACCTCGCCACGGAAGGACAAGAGGTGGAGTGGATTTATGGTTGCAGCCCTGTGCGTCCCCCTTTGGCTGCGAGTATGATTGAGGTTACTGACGGAGCACATTCTAGCTTCTTGTTTAATCCTTTCACAATCGCGACTTGTATAGGCAGACCCACGACCGTCTTCACGACTTGCGCCATCCTCCATGCCATCTCAAACGCTATAACAGGCGCTCCGATCAGTGCTGTGATCGCCATGTCTTTCGCCTCGTACTTGTCCATGTACCCGCTTCTGCTCTTACTGCCACTATCTCTCTTGGCGTATGATCGGTGGCAGCCACAGGAGAAGAAGCAACCGTTCAAGTTCGCAGCGTCGTGTGTTGGCGTTGCGGTGGCCACCGTTGCGGTGCTATTCCAAATGTCCTATTTTATTACGGGCTCATGGGAATTTCTCCACTCCACCTACGGCCTCCAGCTTACCCTGACCGATTTGACACCCAATGTGGGGCTTTGGTGGTACTTCTTCATCGAGATGTTCGACTCCTTCCGGTCCTTCTTCTTGGCCGTTTTCTGGCTGCATCTATCATCCTACGTTGGAGCCCTGAGCCTACGCATTCGCAGGCAGCCGCTGCTTGTCATCACGCTCCTTCTCGGAATCTTTGGCATTTTCAAGCCCTACCCAAGCATCAGCGACACATCGCTCTTCTTGGCCCTCGTGCCGCTCTACAGACACGTCTTCCCTCTCATGCGATATTCTTTCGTCAGTGCGGCAACGATATTATACTCAACCTGTCTCGGACCGGCCTTTTACTATCTGTGGATATATGCCGGCAGTGGGAATGCAAATTTCTTCTACGCCATCACCTTGGTGTGGAGTCTCGGTCAGAGCCTGCTCATCAGTGATCTCACCTTTGCCGTGCTGCGGGATGAGTGGGAAGTCGAGAGGCCGGAAATGGTGGGCAAGGAGATTAGGCAGATATAGAGCTCTCTGCGTGTTTCCACAGACAAGCAACGTGAGGTAGTCTTGCAAACCCATGGATGCAAGTAAGTTGCTTATATAGATACTACAAAACGAACCATCAACTTTCAAACACCACTTTTCCTCGGGGAAGAAAAGGTGCTTGTAACACAATATAATGAACAACAATGCACGACATTGTAGAATCCCGCATCTGACAGCTTTTTTCCCAAGGCTTACCTGCAGCAACTGGTTGTGCTTGTCTTATATTTTGCTTTCCTGTCACGGTCTCGAGATTAGACTACATTTCTTTCGGTTTCGTATTTTGCAATATACCGAAGGCCAACGATTAATTATATTTGAGCTGTTTCCAAATTGATGAACTTGCAGTGCCACATCTAAAACTTTCTCTCATTCCCAAACCCCCCCTTTTAATAACCGCCCCATACACACATTAAACCTCCCGACTATGTAAGCTCTCGAAGTTACCGCAAACAACTAGTCTTGCAGATCATATTAAAATCCTCTCGAAAAGGTTTCCAAGTTGAAGAACTTGCAAGGCTAAATCTAAAGGTTTCTCTTGCTCAGAACAAAACTTTCGTGATCACCCAATAGACACATTAAACCTCCCAGCTGTGTAAGTTCTCGAAGTTACCGCAAACAAATAGTCTTGAATATTTTGTTATCATATAAAGAAGGTGGTAGAGTTTTCTAAAAATCAATATACACAACACAGAATGCAAGTTAGAATAGCATAAGCCTCAGCTGTGAATACGTCGGATGAACTCAAGCAATCACATCCTGGTGGAAAATGTGTATTGTAACTGGTCTGGAGGGGTACGTGATGCTGGTGGATGTTCCACCACACCTTGACCACAGCCGTATACCTACTCAAATAGGTAGACTTCACAGCTCCATCGATCCCGATCTGTTACTGCAAAATACTGTAGGTCGGAATAGTGTTTTCATTCCATAGCACCCTTCTCCGTAGTCACAGAGAAGTTGGATAATCATGGGATGGCGCTAATAGGTGTGGCGCCAGGGAAGAACGTCGTGGGCAGAGGGGGGATCGCGATGCTAGTCGTGATGCCCAACCCACTGGTTATATCACTTGGCATACGAGCCGCGCTCCAACCAGCCCTATTTAAAGGATTTACACTCGTTAGAAAAGAAGAGAGCAAAAGGGATGCAAGAGACTTACGGAGTAGCAGAGACCGTTACGGTAGACATGCTATAGGCAGTGTGCGCCGTTCCGGCTCGAAGACAATCTCCCGTGCCCCAGGCGTTCTCACAAGAGTAATACTCATAAGACCCTTCAGCCGTCCAGAGGGCAAAGTCCTCGATGGTAATTCCGTCGCAAGGCTGGTCGGTGGGACACCAGAGCGCAATGGGCCCACGTAGAGCACCATCCGCACAATCTCCCGTCCAGTCGCTGAAGGTGAGGTCTGTGTACAAGACGCCATCGCCAGCCGCAACGGTCTCGTCGCTCCAATATGCGTTTATAATGAGCGAGTATGCGTTGCTATGCCCGATGAAGTTGGTGAATTGGCTGTCGTAGACGCTGCCGTTGCCCCCCTATGAGACGTATATATCAGTATTCAATGCATATGGTTGCGGACTGGCGTTATACAGGAACGTACATTTGACTTGAAAAACATCATCGAGTTGCAGTTCTGCGAGTAGATGTTCTCGTAGGTGACTTCGTAAATGTCGGTATCTTCGCCAAGTGATCCAATTGAGCACTATAATAATAATTATTGAAGAGTCAGCCATTTTCCCGGCAAGGATAAAGGACTTCCGAATGCCCTTAAGCCTTGTAGGTGTGGTAGAACATCCGCAGGCTGAACCACATCAAGGTGGTGGAACATCCACAGGCTGAACCATATCAAGGTGTGGTGGAACATCCACCAGCATCACGTACCCCTCCAGACCAGTTACAATACACATTTTCCACCAGGATGTGATTGCTTGGGTTTTTAATAGTAACACATTCGTCCTTGTCTAAATTGTGTCTTGTTAGCTATAAAACACGTCCAAGGGGAGTGTAGAGGAGCGCGTACTGGTGACTTCGACGTCGTGCACCCATATGTTGAATCCCCACACATCGATGCCATCGAGACCGCCCATATTAGCGCCACGGACAATCACGTTGTAAACTTCACCATTGGAACAGGTATCCAAGATGAGATGGAAGGCGGGCGAGTCCACGAGACGGATATCGTGGACGGAAAACTGGTCGACATCGATCAACCGCAGCAGGCGAGGGCCGTACTCCCCGTTCTCCAGAAATTCATAGCCATATCCCTGGATAGCGCCTCCTCCGTTGCTCGAGTATATCTCAAAATCGGTAGTGTCCTCAACTGTTCATATAATGTCAGGAGGGGGTGGAAAGTTTTATCCCACAGGGTGGGGTGGAAAGTCTATCTCGCAGGAGCGCGTGGAAAGTTTTATACTGCAGGAGAGAGCATGGAAAGTTTTATCCTGCAAGAGGCCTCGTGAGCTTGACTTACCAACAATCATATGTCCACCAGCAGTACCCGTGCGAATGATTGTCCCCTCGAGATTAATGGCCCAAGCACTGCCACCGCTCAGGGTCTGCCAGGTAGCCATAGCAAAAGTGCCGCTCGGAATGTTGACCACGCCACCATCAATACAGGCCTCGAATGCCGCGAGCAGCGCGGGGCCAAAGTCCGTGACGCCATCGGCCACAGCTCCGTACTTGGTCACATCGCAAACCTTGGTGGCCCACTTGTCATCAGAGCTCGTGAGAGGGCCGACCGTGTATGGCGAGGGGGCAAGTCCGGCCCTGACCACGGGCGCGGACCAGAGCAGGAGAGCCGGAAGGGCGCGAGAAAGGCGCGAGAGGAAAGACGCCATGATTAACCAGGATCGGGCTCAATTCAAAAAAACGTCTGTATCTATTCTTCATCCTGGGCACTAAACTTTATCTTGCGAACATACTAGTCCTTAATATATGTTCTACTCAGAGCTGCCATGTTCGCACTATTCTGTCCCACGGAGTGAAGTCCGCCGCACTTCCCACTCGAGGCTTACGATGGCTTTGGGAGAGATACATGCAAGGTTTTGGCAGTTCACTTGTGCTGGTTTTTTTCTTGTGCACACCGTATAATTATTCCAAGGTTCGCAAAAGGTATTAGCCTGTGTCTCTGCCGGATGATCACTACTAAAGCGCCGTAGTATAATTTCTAAAGGTTTTCTCTCCGATGCGAGATGTCAGGCCTGCAGATAGGCTCAAAGGGCCACTATAGTACCATGTGCCGCAGATTTCCACCATTCATGTTCTAGTCCTATCCCCATTGTTTGGTACCAGGAGCGGGTCATGATCATTTGCCAAGCGCCATTCCTCCGCTCTCCCTTTTGCGTCCTTCCACATTCGGTAGACGGCGGCGGCGACAGGCTATTTTACCGATTCTACTTTCACGCCCTCAGTTACGTATTTGTATGTAAGCCTCGGTCACCTTGGCTGTGCGGATGACTGAAAAGCTTTTTTGGAGAACAATAGACTCATGAGCTATAAATGCAGGTCAAAAGTTTTGGCATCAATGGAGTTCCACAAACCAAATACAGTCCCCAAGGTTTTGCCTCCATGTACAATGGTCAGGGATTCCAAATGTTAGACCGGCGCTATGTAGCGCCCGGGCCATAGCATAGATATCTACTTCTTTTTACTATAGAAATCACACCAAAAAAGCTAGTATTTCGTTAATTCTCCTCCCAGACGAATCACCTCCTCACATCTCCTCGGCATACTCTCTGTGCGAGTCCTGTCTAGTTGTTGTCTATATAGACCACCATCATTTCCAGTCAGCTGGGAGTGGTCACTCCTTTTAGTTGTTCCATACTCTCCATCAGCTTCAACAAAAAGGACTCCGGAATAGCTTCCTATGCCTCAACCACAGCCCTCCTCAAAGCCTTGCCTTTTAATCGTCCCAGAGGATCTTTCCTATGGATATATTCTTTCATCCAGCGCCAGACATTCTCGATTGGATTCAGATCTAGCGATTTAGCTGGCCACCAGATAGTTCTATCCATCAAGGTCTGTAAACATTTCAGCTTTGCGTTTCTCATCCACTCGAGGGTTTCTCTTGAGCTGTGAGTTGAGGCATTATCCTGTTGAAAAAGGACTTTCTCAAAGCCTTGAGTATCGCAGATATCAAGATATTCCTGGATCAGGCTGAGGATTTTGCTGCAATATTTGCGAGAGTTGATATATTCCCAGATCTTTCCTTCTTTGCTGTTGATTATCTCAGTCTCTGTGCTTTTCTCCCAGAAAAGAGATGGACCTCGCTTAGTACCATGAATAGCACCTTAGAATATCCAGCCCTGCAGTCTTTCTCGAATAGTTGCAAAGGAATTCGGATTTTCAGCTTCATGAATAGTAAGCCATTGGCGCCATGGAGCTGTGCCGTTTACCCAGGTCTTATCAGAGAAAACATATAAAGAGGCCCATTATTGAGGAGAAAGATGGCGATGTTCTTGAGCCCAGAGAATCCTCTCTTCTTTGTGGAGTTGAGTATGCTTGATTCTTCTGATCCGTTCCTTGCGGAGATATCCAGCATCTTGCATTGCTCTCCTTAAGGCTGAATCCCTCACATCTTCAAGGCCAGAAATCCAGTAAGGCAGCTCAATCCATGGGATCAGCCTGTTCTCTGGATGCTCTGGATCGTGAATAAAAGCCTTGATAAGAGCTTTCTGCTCCTCAGTAACTTTAGGCTTTGCTGCACTCTTCACTTTGCAAGGTGTAAGCAGCTTCGTAAGATCGCAAGCCCATTGGATCTGTCTTATTGTGAGAGTAGGCATAGGAGGGCTGAGAGAAGAGCGTGCTGAGTAGATTGCTGGATAAGTCCATCCAGCATCATAGTGAAGACACCGGATACGGATTCGTTCATCTCGAGAAAGCTCTCTGGCTCTCTTTTTAAGCTCATTCTCTTGAGGATCATCGCCTTCATGGAGCTTAAGCTTGCTTTCTGCCTCAGAATCAGAAGATTCAAGGTAATTGTTGAATCCGTACAAGGCTGGATCAATAGAAGGTAGTTCAGATTCAATGAAAGGGTCCATTTTGGCCTAATACGGCTAGAATATGGCTGTAAATATCTTCAGTTGAAGAGAGCTCGAGATTTTGAAGAGAGCTCGTGTTGAAATGTTGTACTAGATTTAGGTACTTCTGATTTAGGTGATATGCCATATAAATTCTAGGTAGTTGAATTTCAGTGGCTCACTATTTAAGCCGGCGCCTATAGCGCCGGTCTAACGTTTGGAATCCCTGACCATTGTATGACTGCGAAAAGACTGGCAAAACCTTGGAGGAGGGGGGAATGTTCATACTGCCTTCTTTCAAAAGATATTACGAAACTTTCTGGATCAGCTGCATGTGCATGTGCTAGTCCAACAATTTGACAAGCACGTAATTAAATCCCGGTAATAATGGCATCCTCGATTATTACTATGTATTTTCCGAAAACATTCAGGATGCGAGATGTGCTCTGAGCGACATCAGAAGTTCGTCACAAAAACTTTCCTTAATGAAATGGTATTCAGTCCAGTAGACATAGCGGCGAGGTAGTTGCGAGCTGTTTCTCTATTCCCTTTCTGCTTTATAACGAAACATTTCCGTATGCATTCTACACATAATCTCGATTTAGTTACTTAGTCAATAGTATGTGGGGTCCTGGTCTGCCGCCAACATGGATGGACTTAAAACAAGACGTAAACAGAGAAACTTTACTATCAGACGATTTTTACTCTGGAAAGTCGAATAGAAGTAGCAGGACTTATTTTTCGTGTACAAGAAGACAACCAAATCATACACATATCGTGGCACAATCATTAAGTGTCAAATGCCTAAACTTCACTTGGTACACGAAATCATAAAGTTCACGTTTGTGCAAAGTGGCGCGATAGTAGATATCAATCAATGATATCAATCCAAGTCCTATCCTATGTACGCAATCGTGACTGCCCACTAAGCTATGCACAATCTGAAGCCCTTGAAAAAAGTGAAATTGCCTATTTACAAGTAAAGAGAGAGTTGAGACTCTGGGATATATGAGGTATAAAAAGAAAACTTTCACTCATCACGAGACCCATTCCAAAGTCGAGTTCACGAGAGATACTCGTTGGGCACGTACAAAGGCATCGAGTCCTCCCACATGGAATCGGTCAGCATCACCTTGTTGCTGCCGTCCTTGTCCATGCTCATGATCTGGCCGTAGGGCTGGAAGGTGTCGTCATAGACGGCACACTCATCGCGGAAGCCGTACATGCCCGAGTTGTAGAGAATGCGGTTGTCCGAGGTCCAGACGGCGTGGGCGTCGTTGGCGCCGCTGGTGGTGAGCTTGGTCTCGTCGGTTCCATCCGGGTTGATGGTCCAGACGTCGTAGCGGTCAGCGTACCAGCGGGGGCCCATAGCCTCGGTCCAGTTGCTGTTACGGGCGAAAACGATCTTGGTGCCGTCGGGGGACCAGCCTGGGGTGGTATCCCAGCCATAGGTCAGGTTGGTGATGGTGCCGGTGGTGATGTTGAGGATCCGCAGGCCGAGGGGACCGTCCTCGCCGTTCCACTCGCGGTAGACAACGGCATCACCCGTGGGCGCATAGCTGGGGAAGCCGACGTTGTGGATACCATCGCCGGTCAGGTATTCGTAGGCGGAGCCGTTGGAGGTGGCGCGGTACAGGTAGGCAGGGTAGTCGGCGCGGTCAAAGAACCAGTAACCGATACCAAAGGCAACCCACTCCTCCGAGGGGGACCAGGTAGGCTGGAAGGATCCTGCCAGACCCTCAGCCACAAAAGTGGCGTTGACGATATCACCGTCGAAAGAGCTGAAGACGAGGGTCTCATCGGTGCCGTCGGGGTTGCTGGACACGATGTCGGAGGTTGCGTTTCCGGTCTGCTTGGCCGTGTAGAGGAGCTTGCCCGTCTCGGAGAGCTGGGGGAACACGTCCATGAAGCGGGCCTCCCAGTCCTCCTGCCAGCTGTAGATGGTCTTCTCGACAGGGCGGATGTCCCAGCCAGTGCGCTCGTAGACGATCTGGGTGCCATCGGGAGACCAGCTGGGGTTGCGAACGGACTGGATAAACTGCTGGTGGGTTGTGGTGTACGAGGTATAGTTGATACCCTCCTCGGCGACGCCCTTGATGAGGTAGCCGAGGGTCGAGTTGGACACCCAGGCGGGCGACAGCTTGACACCAGCACCAGAGGTGTGGTACACGACGTCAGTGCCGGTGGCGAAGTCGACAGAGGCGATCTGGGAGGTGGTCTCGTTGACGGTATCGATTCGGTGGGCGTTGTAGGTGTTCTCGCGGGTGATCTCGTAGTAGGCAATACGAGAACCATCGGGAGACCACGCAGGCGAGCCCAGAGAGTAGCCCGTCTTATTGGCCACGCGCCTGAAGTCGGTGCCGTCGGGCTTGATCACATAGATAGACAGCTCCTGGGTGTGCTCCCAGCCGGTGCCGTTGCTGTGGCCGGTCCAGTCGGTGTTCCTGTCGGAGGTGAAGAGGATATACTCGCCATCGGGCGACCAGGAGGGGCGGAAGTGGCCGTCAGGGCTGTCCTCGGTGGGCTCGCCAACTGTGTCGGCCGTGTTGGTCAGGTTCTTTGCCTCCCCAGTGAGCAGGTCCTTGACCCAGATGTTGGCCACGTAGTTGTTGGCCGTGGAGACGTAGGCCAGCTTGGTGCCATCAGGCGACAGGACACCATTGTTCTCATACGAAGAGGTAGCAATCAGCGGCGTCAGGCCAGTGCCGTTGGTGCTGATCTGGTAGATGTCGGCGTTGCCATCCACCCTCTCGCTCGTGAAGATGACAGACTTGCCATCCGGCGTGAAGTGGCCCTGGTACTCGAAGACGGACGAGTTGGAAGGCAGGAGCGCCCTCTCGTTGCTGCCGTCGGCATTTGCGATGTACAGCGTAGATGCAGAAGGTGCAATGCGGTTCCTATACTAGTTGTTAGCACGGCGTCTCCACGCCAGGGCAAGGGGGATAAACCGAGTCGAAACAGGGTGGGAACAAGTCAGGTCAGATCAAACAATTGTTTCTTCCAACAACTTACATGAAAAAGACACCCTGCTTTCCTTCAGCACGCTTTCCCAGGTCTGTCCTGCGCGACTCTGTGCTCTTGGTGTTCAACTCGGACCGGGCTGCGAGCTGCTCAGCATAGGGGCATGCTGCCAAGGCGTCTTGGGCAGCCAGGCCGAGCAGGGCCAGTGCTGTTGATGGACGCATGATCGTCGTTGTCCTGATTCGTCCAAAGAAAGTCAAGGTAAAGGCTGTCTCTGTCTCTCCCAAGTAAAGCGGATCTGATCGACAACAAAAGAGCGAGTGGCTGTCTCTCCAAGAGGGATGATCATCATCAAGGTCAGGATCGATGCCTGGTATATATTTCCTCGTCACTGGCCGTTGAACGCTTTCCCTCTTTCCATCCATCTCGCCTCCACCGACACGTCCGAGCACACCTCGGAGAAGCTTCGTCGCGATTCATAATCTCCTCCGGGGTCGAGATGAAGGATGGGGCCCCCCTGTGGATCGCCTCTAGGAAATAGTGCTTTGGTACTACTTTCGTCCAAGTAACGCAAAAAACGCAAACACTAATCAAAAACCCACCGTCGCAACGGCCGCTATGTCCTCTTCTCTGCATTTTCCTCTCCTCGCCTCACCTTCCATGTGCAGGAAGCGGTCCCTTGTGACATGCTAGACTGCAGTTCGGCGTCCCAAGCCGAATGTATCGAAGGCTCATGGGAAGCGAAATAGCGGTTCCGGGACCCTACCTGATAGGAGTAAAACTCCCCTTAGCCAACCACGACTGTATTATTTTATCGAATTCCTACTCTGTATGAGGCCCTGGTTGGACAACCCCCATGTTCATGGCGCAGATCCTCGAGGATGGCGAATCAGGAGCTCTGAATTGCAATAGCTTTTGTCCGGGTCGTTGTAACCTCAGCTCCTTCGCCTCTCATCGCCAAAGCAGATTTCTGCCTCTGATCTTATCACCGAGTCGTAAGATCATACCAGGTTCAGCCACGCATTAACAAGGCTGGGTTGGGTGCGTTTGCGTCACGGCTCTGCTTGTAGAGAAATGATGGGCCTGGGACTGGACGACAAGGGAGCTGGACTCAGCTATGGGGCCGTGGCGCAGCTCTGATGAGGGTCAAGAAGACAAGTATAGTAAACTGCCGTGGGCTTTAGCAGCGGAGCTTGTTCTTCGGCAGTTCGCGTGCCTAAGAAGTAAGCGTTCCGGGGAAGGGCGGGAGGATGACGATATGGTGGGTTCTGTTTAGAGCAGAGAGGCAAGCCAGGAATTCCAGACTAGCCAGAGCATAGCAAGAGTGAAAAGAACCGCCAAGTGTGGTGTTCATCGGTATGCAGACATAATTAGGACAGAGACATTGCCAATGGATGTTCATGCATACCGTTCCTTCGCGTTTGGCAAGCGTCCAATTCGGAACTGTTACTCCCTGCATTATGTCCCCTGCATACTATGCGGTCTCTTAACCGAACGGTAATGTGACCTAATCAGTATGCTGTACTACGTATGCTGCCCTGGTTATAATCCGGGGTGGATGAAAAATTCATAGATCCTTGTCCGAACTGCTTGTCCCAAGGCTCATGGGGTAATATATTATTTTAAACTTATTTGGACATCTTGTGGGAGACATCTGCGGTTCCTTCAGGAGTCACCCCCCTTCACATTGTAGGCAGGACGAAGCCTGACTAAAGAAACCAATGAAGCCCATACTCACTCTTGTTTGAATTGTAGTGCTCTGTAAAAAGTTTGTGCGGCAGCGCATCTCTTTTGAGCATCGTAGGCTAATTATGATCTACTGCCGTGCTCCCTACTATGTTCATTCTTAGTATCATTACGTAGCACATGTGTGGGCCTCCGACCCTTGTGTGTGGGTTTACTATAGTACTACTCGCAGAAAACAAACAGCAGCATCTTTACTGGGCCAGTTTTGAAGTCAGGAGAGATTAGAAAACATTCCGTCCACTTTTGTGTGCTGGCAAACATAGAACAACTGGGGACAGAGCCGGAATTCATCGAGATCTACAGCGAAACCATCTCTATTGTTTCGGTACCAAGTTCCTCGGACATATCGGCCGATGAGGTCGACGCCGCCAAGACCTTCACTATTTTGGTACGACATCCCTGGTCCTCCCATTAAGGAGAACTGCCAAGGCCATTGAAATGCAAGATTCAGACTTCTCCTCCCCTCCCCCCGTCCCTCAGGCGGGGCCCCCCTTCGAAAAGCGCACGCGGCTGACGCGCGAGGGATCTGCCAGATCCGAGATATCAACGGCGTTAAGCACCGCCTGGTTGATTGAGCGCCCGTGTCGGCGATACGATCACACGGCCCCGCCTGTCCCTACGATCCCGGTGTGTTTGTTCTGGAAAACAAGTCTTGGCAGGGCCGGCGTTTCTCCCGGCGCTGCTCAGGTGGGGGGGGGGGCCACGGGTGTGTGTATGGCAACCAAACAATAAAAACCCAGTATGGCCACGCTTTTGTTCGGCGCACGTTTTGATGCTACGTTGATGATTCTGCCTCAGCCTAGCCTTGTGGCGAAGCATCCACAGAGTGGATAAAAGGCTGCCGAGATGCCGATTGCAACGAGTTCTCGAGGGTTCGCCGAGCAATCTTATGGATCGATTCAGACGTCATTCAATAATGCAAGCATCGTGATACGTCGAAGAGGCCCTGGCGAGCAAGACCAGCCAGCCTTCAATATGCGTGAAACCTAAACACGCGGCCCACGCAGTTGTTTTGTAAGTATGCAAACAGGACTTTTGACAATGAACGACACAGATAGTTGGCCTAAATTCTACGGCCTCGTACGACACGGGCATCAAGAGCGCGCGCTACCTTCTGCGGATGGTTCAACTGCATGTGGTTGCAGGCTCTTCACTCAACAAGCTGTTATTCTTCAGCTATCGAGCCCACCATCCGAGAACCTCGGCCTGCTCCGAGCTTGAAGATGGGAATGAAGAAGAAGGAAGAAGGAAGGGAAAATGGCGGTGAGCGTGAAAATGATCTTTGTTCCGCACAGGAGCTGGAGCAAGCGGCGAGGTCCGTCTTTGAGCCGCAGGGCAGTGAGGATGGCCAATGCTCTGAGACGACGACGCTCAAAAGTGTCACTGAACGCACCCGAACGGCAGTCCGAGTTTCTGTATCCTTTGCACATTTTGGGCAACCTTGCTACACGAGATCTTCTCCGGTATTGTCTGGAATATGATTGTGCAAGTGGTCAGCTTGTCTTTACGGCTGGATGCTGGGAAGGAAATTTTCGTGGCCATCTGAATGAGAATGTCTTGTGCCTCGCCTTTACCCACCCACCTATCCCCTCATCCCAACTACTTTTCTTATTTCTTATGAAGCTCATCCTTCATCCCTTGTTCAGAATTGTCTGGGCTCTGAGAGTGTTTTTATCAGTCTACTTCTCTCATTCTCCCATGTAGTACACTGGGTCGTGAACAGCTTGTCTTGGTGCTTGTCTTGTGGCCTTTTGGTGGCTCAAATCACGTATGCATAGTTCTTTCATTACAGTCCAGGGCCAGGCTCATATAGCGTAACACATTTAGGACCCTAATTACTAAGTACGTGCTGGCTCAGATTATGTGTATGAGCCCCCTCCCCTATCTAGTGTTCTCCTCTCACACCTCTTCACAGCCATATCTAGATGCTTCTATGATTACTTCCTACTATACTTCGTCACAGCAATTCTTCAAGCATGTAATGCTTACTTTTCAGCGGTACTGGCGCAGCCGAACCCTTATGGACTGATAGCTTGCCTGGGAAAACTAGTAACAGAGAACTATTGTCACAAGTGCAAATCTACCAGCACAGCATGCACAGTCTAACTTCACACAACAAGGTTTCATCCATTATACTATGTAGCCCACGCAATCAGTATAGACGCTGGTCGCATAGGATAGAGTTGAGGAAGGCCAACATGCACCCAAAGGGGAGAGAAAGACACCCATTGATGCTCTGACCCTATTCTGAGTATGTCGAAAAGCTGGAGTGCTTGATGCATAGCACACTCCTATCTATGTGTTCTATGCTGGTAGTGAAGCTCTAGTCTTCACATTATAGGCTGACGTCTGTCTGACGGTCATTGACAGAGAATCGACTATCCGTGCGCAATACTAGATACTCGACAAGCCAACAGGTGTACAAGCATTCACAGATGTGGCGAAGAGGGAGACCTAATTTAGCTTGCTGCTTGACTACAAATATAGATGAAAGAAGAACAACTACGGAGAAGAAGGGAAAAGAGAAAAGGATGGGGTTGTTGAAAAGGGGAGGCTGGACTCAATAAAGAAATACCTAGGTACCGTGCAATCTCAATAATTAATAAAGCGAAGTGAGATCACTAATGACTATTGAGATAAGCAAAATCAGACTGTGGGGTGCAGACTGAAGAGTGTAAGTCTCTTGAGGGAATCTCTGTCTGGGAACAATTGCTCAGTTCCGACTGATGTTGGAATATTGACATATGTAGATGGAAGGTGGTAGTACTATGGTGTAACAGTGTCAAGAATTTGAAAGTCAGCATGTGACTGTCTCCAAGTACCCAAGAAACCGAGTGGGTCCCCTAAGGGAGATGACACATGGAATGACATCTGACAAGTTTAGATCAGGGTTTTAGGACCCTTGCGGTGTTCAGAACCCTGACTCCCCTGGTCAAATGCTCTCAATTGTTGGGGTCGGGACCTGGGCAATACCGAAGACTTCCTGACGTCGCACTCAGGCTTCAGCGCTTCACCACCCCCCATAACCAAAAGCTGGAACCCCCGCCCCTTTACGCAAACACTATACCAAACACGTTGGCCGACCCTCAGCTGCCAGCCAACTGCGACACAACCTTCCTTAACACGTGCCTACCTAAGTCTCGCGTACGAGCGACCTGCAGAACAAGGTGCGCTGGCCCGTGGTGACTGGTGAACTGGTGACTGGTGAGCGGCTTGCCGGTGAACTAACCAGCCAGCCAGCCCAGCCCAGCCAGCACTTCCTTCTTGTCTTCTTCAATTATCGTTATTTGCCACCCACGCCAGCCTTGGAACCGGTGGTCCATCGATCAAAGTCTTTCCAGGACTCACGAGAACAGCTGGGACGAACAATCCAAAATTACAAAGCGAATAGTGGCTGCACAAGATGTCTCTCGCCTCCACAGCCCACAACTTCTAGAGCGTTTCCATTACAGCCCGGCCACCTTTTTTTTTTTTTTTTTTGGCATGTGAACAAGGGCTCGAGATGACGGAATACGATGCCAGTCATCAACAGAACGACCTGTTACGGCCCCCTGGACATCGATACCCCTCGCCGTCTACCTCCCGTGGTCAAGATCGCCATGACGCTCTGGGCAGTCTAGAGACCGGGGGATCGAGCCATTCTGGCAGCCTTATAAACAGCACCTGGACGACCGACGCAACCCTCGCCCAGCGACCCTCCCACGATGGCTCACTCCCCGATGCCCACTCGAACGAACGCCGTGCGAGGGATCACAGGAGCTCTCGCCGCCAGAACAAACCGCAGTCGCACAAGCACAAGTCGACCGGCGCCTTCCTCCTCTCCGACCCCTTTGACGAGCCAGGTGCAGATGACCTTCGTCCCCGCAAGAACAGAGGCCGAAGTACGGGGGACAAGAACAAGGACAAGGAGACGACGCCAAGACATAGCCATGAGCATGCGCCAGGTACGAGACAGTCAGGAGTCGGCCTGGGTCTGCCTTCAGATCTCAAGAAGGGAAACGGCTCTGCAGCACAGTCACCAGGCACGCCGCCCAGGCACCTAGGCACGGACAGGAGGTCGGCGGAGCTGCTGCAGGTCAGTCCTGGCATGGGTTCCTCGCACTCGTCGCCATCTTCTGTGGACATGGACTCAACACAAATCGTGAGCATGGCGTTGAACCTGAGTGAGGGTAGGCGTCTGGCGCAGAGGAGGATCTTGTCTCAAACCTTGCCTCCCAGGCTCGCGCCTTTGCCTACCGATAATACCGTGGCCGGCACCCTGAGACAGCAGCTACAGCAGCAGAGGAGGGTGTCAAGAACGGCGTCTCCGGGCCACGAAAAGGGATCTGGCGGGCGAGCAGTCTCGAGCGGGAAGTCGGCTGCCGCGCTGCAGCCAGCCTTTGAGCCTGCGGCCACCGAGGGCAGCTACCAGTACAACTTTTCGAGTTCGACCTGGGCAAGGGCGCAGAAGGCCAAGGACTACATGGAACTTCTTGCGCAGTACCGTCGGGTTCTCGATTTGCTACCGCCACTCAAGCCGAACTCGCTCTCCAAGGTTCCGACCAGCGAGCTTTCGCCTTCTATGCCCATGAGTCTGGACACCGTCAATGCCACGGGCCAGATAGGTCGTCCATACGACCCCCTGCAGTACGTCAGAAATCGAAAGGTCAGGGCGCGGGAGAGGCAGACCATCGATGGTGAGAGCCAGGGCTTCGGCGACGTGAGCAGGGTCACAGACTGGGTCGACGACGTCGCCAAATGGGTTGCGACTCGCCAGATTCGTACACCAGGAAGTGCAGCTCTGCCTCCGTTCTCCGGCGCAGATGTATTCTCCATGGACACTTCGCCATCTACCCACGTTTCTCGATCGGCAGCTCCGATCGTAAAACCGAAGCGACCCCGGAATGACTGGATGATTGAGCCTGCAGACATGCTAGCAGATATCTACTGGCTCGAACAAGATGACCACAAACGACTGGTCGAGGATCGTCACTGGCGGCGCGTCTTTCCTCAGGACGCTGACCTATATCGACCATTATCGCGCTCTACGAATGATGCGTCACCAGCGCTCGGGCTCACATCCTCACCGGCCCAACAGGCTATTGAAACGGAGCAATTCTCTGGGAGACCCCTCAGCGACGTTAAGATGTACAAAGGGGAATCCGAGCAGGTTCCGAGCAGCACACGTGGGAAGGCCCGCCAGAAGTTGCAGGAGATTAGAGGATTGCATCGCCACAGCGCCGCGCATGGTGACAAGCACCACCACCACCACAGCCGTCTCCGAGGCCGGAGTGATTCTACGTCAAGCTCTTCCAACTCGGACAGCCAGGATCGCAGCCGGAAGAGCATGTCTGGAGACACAGGCAGAGACATACTGGAGAAGCAAATGATGGAGATGATGGCCCGAGAGGCGCAAGAGACCAAAGAAGATGATTTAAAACTTGCGCAGGAGCCGGAGCTCAGACGGCTGAGGACCCAGCCATCGGATATCATTAGCCAATCCCAAATCACCACTCCACCGGACTCAACGGCCGTCAGCCGTCAGCACAGTCGCAGGGGATCTCGAATCGATACCAGCGACGCCGACGAAAAGAAGTTTGTTGTTGGATCGGGCGCAGGCTCTCCTCCGCGTCTTGGCCGAGAGAGCTTGGAAGTGCCTCCGTTTCAACGGGGACGGAGGATGTCCATTGGATCCGAGTCCTCTGCTCCAAACTCACCTGACATTCGAGCCTCGCGCCGGGACAACTACTTCATCCCTGCCATTGGTGCGGATCTATCACCAGCCTCTAGTCGGGCTGGCTCGCCTTCGAGAAATCCACTGTCGAGGGTCAAACAGATCTTCCGCGATCGCAGTCGAGACCGAGCTCCAGAGCGCTACCACGAAGCCTTGTCGAGCGAGAAGGAGAGCTCTGCGGAGCTTGTGTCTTCAAACCCGCCTAGCAGGATATCCAGCCCTCCTGAACTGTTCGACAGGTGGCAAACGCACTCCAGGACCAACTCTGTCGGGCCAGACGTGAAGCTTACCACACGTACCACTGGAGACAGTCACAAGTCTCATCGCAAGTCCAACAGTATTCGACTGGATCCAGGATCTGGTCTACGAAGCCTCTTCAAAGGGCCTCGCATCGACAGCGTCTTGAAATCCGGGGTTTCGAGGATGAGCGAGTTACTGTGGAAGAAGGAATCGGAAGCAGAGGACTCGGACTCTTCAACCTCGCTGTCGGGTGAATCAGACGATGAAACCCGCGGTAGGCGCAGGCACCCGAACTCGCTGTCTCCCACACCTTCTTTGAGGGGATTGCCCGGCCAGATGAAGCATGAGAAGCATTACTTGGATGTCATGCCACCTTTTGTTTCTTCGTCAGAACAAAGAGGCAACGACCACAGTCGCAGTGACTCTCTTTTTGCGCCGCTCTCGAAGCCGACCAGCAATCGGTCTACTCGCTTCGAGATATTAAAACCACCGCGCATCGACATATCCATGGCTTCCGACACGGCTGATCCAGGAGACCATGCAGTGGATGGTCTGGACTCGGAAGCACGTGTAGACCGCATTCGCGAGGTTCAAAGTGCCGGAGACAGACGGCCGAGCCTCTCGATACGCCCGCCTAATGGGCGTAGGTTATCAGCTGAAAGCCGTCCCTTCTCTTTAGGTGAGAAGAGCTTCTCAACTGAGCATACTCCGATCTCGAGACGCGAGGTCGCCCGCCTTCGCGCCATGGTCCTCAGCTCTGGCGTCATGGCCATGGAAATATCCCGCCGAGCCCACCGGCCTACGATCTTGACGCCCAACGCTTCCAACGACAACGCCCAAGTCCTCGAGGCCCTCGGAAACAAGGTCTCCTGGCCCGAGATCGCCTCCCTGGCCCCTGATGACCAACGCGACGAGCTTCTCTCCGAGCCTGTCTCCCAGGCCGATCTCTTTCCAGTGACAGCTGACGTCCTCCGCACCGCGATCCGCTCCTCGCGCGAGAGCTGGAAGTCTGAGGCGGAGGCCTTCAAGCACCACACACGGGCTGAACTGATTGAAGGCCGCATCGAGTCCCTCCGCGCGCGCATCCAGCTCGACCTGAGCTCCATGACGCGCGCCGCTGCAGAGGAGGCGGACGAGGTGGGCGGAGACCTGGTGGATGGGCAGAGGCTCAAGGTGAAGGTCGTTGTGGACGGCATCGATAAGCTCTCTCGACGGCGGCGGCGGCGTTTCCGCTGGGTTAGGCGCGCGGGCTGGCTGGCGGTCGAATGGGCGCTCGTCGGGTTCATGTGGTACGTTTGGTTCGTGGTGATGATCGCGCGGATCGTCCTGGGCATTGGCAGGGGTTTCGTTGGAGGAGTAAGGTGGTTGCTGTGGTTGTGAGGAAAGGCTTCTCTAGTGAACTATGTTCGCTGTCACACTCTCACTTCCTTTCCTTGGTCAAGTTGTTGTCTTCCACTACGGTTTGGCATAGCTGCGGAGTTGGTCTAAGTGTGTTTTCTATCTTTCTTCATTTTTCTTTTGTCCTTTCTCAACACATACACAGCGCCACATCATAGCAAAACAGAGCGAATTGGGGTTTTAGATAACTTTATTCTTGTTCTTTCCCTTGCACTTTTTCTTGGTTTTTTTTTTCTTTCTCTTTTGGATTTTGTATCTTACAGGCGCCTTGATACCCCTCAAAGGCTCGTTTTTACTTGAGTTTTCTTTGCTTGGCTTCGTCGTTAGGTAATCTTTACATACTTAGTCCTCAGGTTGGCCGAACAAAAGGGATCTCGCTGCTTGCGGACGGGGTTGTGGAATCGATGGGGCAAGGGAAACATGGAAGGATAAGAGGGAGAGGTGGGGGGTTAAAATAACCAATTACAAACCAGTAAAATATCTTTAATCATTCACATGAATTTTTCGTTTTGTGCAGTATTGGTGCCTTGGACAGATTGCTATTGTGGTCTGTGGAAAAGCTGTTATTGTTCACTTTATTCTCACCTCTTTCTGACCTGCTGCCATATTAATACCTCGCCAAAATGTTTCGTGCACTCTTTTCGAAGATTCAGAGTCAATTTTCGGGCACAAACATTCCATCAAGGTTCTTTCAACACATACACAGACGGATAGAAAGCCGAAAACAGATAATACAGCTCGATGCAACATAGAGTTGTGGGGAGAAAATTGAATATATTTCCACTGGATTTGGTGCTGGTCTGAAATATGGACTCGAAAGTGCTGGCCCTTGCAGCCAATGAGTAAATGATTATCGAAGATGTGTAAAGCCTTTTCTTCATGTATGACCAACATTGTGTCTTGCTTTCCTAAAGCCTAAGATGCTCCTCTATCTTAATGAACGAGATGTTGTAATAGGAAAGGGCGAAAACCGTATCACATCTACGCGCTTTACCCATCTCAATATATTAGCTTCGATCTTTCCTCAACGTGCAGTGACTGCGAATCCGAAATGGAGAAATAAAACATTCCCATAGAGGCCACAAGGCAAAAGAGGAAGGAAGGGACAAGAAAAGAAAGAGGAACCTTACTCCTGGAACCACGCTGAATCAGGCCTCACACCAAATAGTCCAGCCTCCAGCTCTGGGTAGCAGCCACCCACTTCTTGGCCTCCCCATCCCACCGGAACCAGTCATCATAGGTCCAGTTCCAGGCCCAACCGTTCTGGTCCTGGGGCGGGATGATGCGCGCGGCGCGGGCCTCGCGCTCAATTTCCTCCAGGAGGGGGCCGATGTGACGGACGGAGCGGACGCCGGGCTCGATGTTCAGGAGGCGGATGCGCGCGTACTCGATGCGGGAGAGGTTGTCGGCGCCGAGGGTGAAGTCAGCGTCGGAAGGGTGGGGGAGAAAGTGCTCCAGGGCTCGCTCGAGGGTGTCGATGCGGTTGTTGAGGGCAGCGATCGAGGGGGCGTTGGCGATGGATGTGGGGATCTTGTTCTGTTTGTTGTTTAGGTCAAGAGAAACGCGAATAAGCTGAGTTTATAGAGCCAGGAAGAAAAGGCGAGAGGAGGGGGGGGGGGGCGCGTGCTGGTAGCCTTCTGGGGAAGGAGCAAGGGAAGGAGCAAGGGAAGGGAGTGTCAAAATCCCGAGAGAGGATGGAACTTGACGATGGGAAAGAGAGAGGCAGAGTGATGTGCCGAGGAGACGCGCATTTGAATACAGAAAGAATACTCGAAACGGGCAAAGTGTTATCTGTGACAGATGATCTCAATAAGAAGCAAATACCTTCTCGAGAGTCCCAGCCCAGCCGACCACGCTGTAGGTGAGCGCCAGGCGACATTGGCCCAGGGTATGTTTGAAACTGACAGCGACCTCGCGACGATGAGCATGTGCACGCAGCTGTTCCTGGGCAACGAGCGGCAGCGACTCGCGACCAGGGCAAAGGCTGTTAAGCCGAGCCTCGCCCTGTTCTGCGTTCTCTGGCGTCTGGGTGGCCTTCGCGTTCGGGCTCTGGGCCTGAAGCTGTCCCAGAGTGAAGTCGGCCATGCTTGAGAAAGAGATGATGAAAAGCGCTAGAAGAAATAAAGTAAGCTTTAGTCCACAGGGAAACGGTAAGTGTAACTTTGAGGAGAGGCGTCACACCTACAGGGTCAGAACTCAGTAATGGCCTGGAGGCAAGCGGAGGTTAAAAGTTGAGGACTTGTTTTTTGTCAGGTGTTAAGTGAGCTATAGAGAAGTTGGCAAGACCTTTCTGTGACTTTAGCTCTGTTGTTGCATTCATTTTCTATTCATTTCTTGGGCAATCGACATCAATTGGCTTTCAATATCGCGAGCTCTCCGAAAGAACAGCGGAGATAGCCCTTTGCACACCGAATGGGGGGGGGGGGGCGTTGACGGTGTACTCGATGCTTTTCGAGGGGAGCTGATTTCACAAGTTTCAATGAGGTGAAAATGAACAAAGCTTTGTTGGTCACTTGCAGTATTGACAGGAGCCAAAGAGTTTTCGAAATTGGCAGTATAATTATGCACTGGGCTTGAAGGGAAAGAGAACAGCGGAATGACAATAGCAGTAACATTTGTCGAAACTTTGGCCCAATTCTTCATAATACTTACCCAATTATTCTTTCAATGTTCTGTATTTGTATTCCATTCAGCTGACCAAATGAGACTGTCAACCTCATTGTTGGAGTTATTACTTCTCAAACTATATTCATAGCCTGTACTACTACTCTATTGTGAAGATTATTATGATCACGCTGCCTGCACTTACAGCTTGGGAAAATGTCATGAATTTATCTCAAGTGATGGCATCCCATCGCACTTCTTGTTTTAATTGCTTCGGTAAGTATGAGATGTACAAACTTACTCGCGATGGCATGTGGTTTGGATGATCAACATTATGATTTTTGTTTCAAGAGAATCACCTACGCTCTTTGCCCAGCTCCCTCCAACACTCTTGGTATCTCCGCGTAGTTAATTTTGCTGCCATTTTGTGTGCAAGAAGTAGGAGAATCCACTCGAACAGTGATTGCCAGCCACAACAGAGTGGGAAGAAGGTTACTTAACACGTAGAGTGATGAGTTCCCAGGTGGTTTCCCCACATATATTGAGGATGCGTGTACGCCTCTTATCTACAAGACAAAGACAGTGACAACCCACAAGTAGGCAAGCACACCCTGGCTGGCTGTCCAAAAGTAAATGAGATGCTAGTCAAAACACAGAACCAAAGAAAGAAATTCGCTCAGATAATGTAGTCTGAGATCTTATTGCAAGTAATGAGAAAAACATGGCCAGCCTATACCCAGATACCCAGGTCTTGGAACTCAAATCAGCTTACTCAGTGAGATGAAGTCGCGAAACCCCAGCCGCAGGAAAAGAAGTGTAGTGTATTAGTACAAATTTATATAGCATGTATGTGCGTGCTGGTGGGTAAGGCGTCTATTCGATCCTCTTCTTGCCCTCTTCTGCGTTCGAGTATCTGACCGCACTGAGGCCGCGCTCGTGCCGTGCCACCAGTGAACCAAGCAGAGGATCTTTTCTGACCTTGCTGATGGTCTCCTGGTAGCCCTCTGCCACATAGGGTCGCGGGTTCAGTTTGGGCCAGTTGACCTACAAAACATTGTCAGCGAGGTTCGAAAAGGTCATGTTCTGGGAGAGCTTGTAAGGACTTACGTAGAGCATGCCGTTCTTCAGGATAAAGCGAGCTGACCAGGCACCCACGACGATCCAGAAGATGATGAAAAGACGCATGGGCATGACCGCAGAGTCCGGCAGCCGCTTTGTGAACAGGCCAACAAGGACAAAGAAAATGCTGAAGGCTAGAACATAGGGAATAGACTGAATGAGGACGGGCCGTCTGTCAGCGAAGACAAGGCTGGGCCCGACCGAGGCTGTACCTGGGAGGTAGACGCCCAGGAAGAGGTCGAAGGCGTCTTGCCTGGGTCCGTCCAGGAAGTTGTTCTTCATGTATCGCGTGACAGCAATCTGCCCGTCACGAAGAGCACCGGCTTTGGTGCGGATCCCTAGACGGGTCATGTCTGTCTTCATGGCACCTGTTCCGGAGTAGCTGTTGCTCACCACGTCGGCGTTGTCGGCCCACAGGTTGCGGAACATAAACTCGAAAGCGGGGTCTTCCTCCTTGAAGGTCGCACCGCGTTGCATCAAGCCAAGGTCGACAAACATGCGGTCCAAAGTCCACCGGGCCATCATGCTTTGCACCACATTTGTGCGGTCCAGGCAGTCCATGCAGTTGGTACGCACCACAGATGTCTGCAGGTTCCTGACTTCAAGCCGCCCATCGATACCAGCCGGCATATCAACCGCTCGGAAGTACTGCTGAGCAGCCAGGGCGTCCTGCATCCTATCCAGTAGCAGCTGTGCGCGGTGGAGTTTCATCCCCTTGGTCTCGGAGTGGAAGTCAAAGTAGATGTAGTGGACACGATCAAAGGTCTGCTTAGACGAGCCCGACTCGATGATGTGAAACTTCTCATCAGTCACAGTGTTGCCCGTGACGGCCTCTCTTGGCGATGACTGTAGTTTCTGTACCACCTGCTCATAGGCCTCCTTCACCCGCTGTTCGCGGCCCTTCTGGTTGACAAGGTTGACCAGATAATTGTCGCCGTATATCCGAACTTGCTCATTGAAGTGTGCTGCGGCCGCGGGAGAGGCAGAGTCGATACCGCGGATCTGTAACTTTGGGGTGTATGACAAGGTGTTGATCTCTGCCCAGTATACCGGAACACTACCGCGAGTCTGAACATAGGCCAGGATCTGCATCTCACGGCTCTCCGTCTTGGAAGTCTGCGTGCTGTTGCCCCCGGTGAAACCGCTCATGCCACTCCCGCTGTCATTCAGTATCAAAACCTGCTCCGTCTCGTTATAGTTGGACACGTGCCCCTCCTCGTCAATGCCACGGGAGAAGTATCTCGTTCCACCTCGGTGTCGGGACCGGCGGGTTATAAGAACGATCGTCAGAGGCGTGCCCTTGAAGGTTGTCGGGTGGATTTCGAGCATGCCGAAGATGACCGGGAGAATATACGGGTCTGCACCTGGCTGCGGCCCTGGCTGACCTCTTGAGCCCATATTTCGGTACTCGATCAAGTCGGACTGGACGAATTTGTTCCAGAAGAAGCGGTCGTCCGCCCTCTGCCATAGCGGGGCTGAGCTGTCATGGTGCGACTGCCGCTGGAAACTGTTCGTAAGGTCGATCGAGTAGGAAAAGTACATCGGACCAGACTTGATAAACGTCTTGAGGATAGCAAGGAACTTGTCCTCATCTGGATCGTGAACCTGTCGCTCTCGCATGGGAAGGATGTCGGTGGAGACAATCTTGTAGACCATGTGCCCCCTAAGGCGACCGATCGGGAGGGTCTTCGTGATAACAATAATATACTTGTCTGTTCAAGGTGGAAAATTAGAATGACGCTAGTGATGCGTATGTTGTTGAGGCTTCTCGGGTGTTGCCTTACCAAGTCGCAACTGAATGATTCCCAAGATGCCAGCGATGCTCGTCACCCTCGAAACCCTCTTTCCAGCAACGAGAGCTCCATCACTCAACCGAATGTCGCCAGATGGTCGGTCGATAGTGAGGGCAGGAGCGTTGGGTGAGGAGGGAGAACGGAAGACGTAGCTGTCGGAGGCGACTTGGACGTTGATATCCCTAAAAGGGAGTGCCATGATGCGCGGCGGAGTTGGAGCAAGGGAACAAGGGGACAGTTTGTAGATCAGAGATGGGATCTCACTAGTCTGGGGGTCACAATGGAGTTGACTGGGACAGGGTGCCCTAGGCTATTAGAAGTTGTGGTAGAAACCTTGCACTTGCTACAGAGGGAGGAGAATGAGGAGAGGAAGGAGAAGTGGCAAGCTGGTGAGTGCAAGGCTTGGGAGGTTCGTGTCAACGAGATGATGGTCTGGACAATTATTACAGGTTGATGAGCTAAACGTGGTAGCTTCCTTGTTGCATGTGCAGACTGGACCCCCAAGGTTACAAGGGGCTATTCTAATTTCAGCTGGATGTTCGTCATCTGGACAGGGGGCCAGGGATCAGTTGCCTGCACAACACTATGTACAAACACTACTGCACTGGCTTGTGAAGGTCAGTTTTGGGGGGTTCACCACTATGTACAATGTACCGTGTACCCTTTGGAGAGAAATTCAGAGGGTTCCTTTTCTTTTGGGGGGGTGGGGGGAGGCACGGGCCAAGAGGTGGGACACCTCGGAATCTTGGGCTGCCCCGTCGGTAGCAGCGCCTGACGCCTGACGACCTGGCTGGCTGGCTGGCTGACTGACTGACGTGTTGTAGGCGGACCAGGCCAAGGCCCAAGCCACTACAGCAACCTGTTACTGTTAGAAGTCTCTCTCAACAGTCTCGTCACCGAGACTAACCTAATCACACGCTTTCATCATCCACTCCGCCATCCCAACCTCAGCCTCCCGCGAAACCATCTTCTTTCCAACGTCCAGGCAGTCAGCCACTTCCTCTTTTCTACTCATCTTCCTCTAGCCCTCCTGCTTCCCTGTCTTCCGTGACTATTTCCTCTCTTGGAACCCCGCTCAGCCCAGCCTTTCAGTAACCCGATTTCACCTCAACGAATCCCTCAGCTAGCTAGCGGTGGGCCTCCCAACGACCTCTCGAACACTATCACAACAGGTTCTGGAAGAGCCTTCAACACCTCTGTCATGGCTTCTCGAGGTCCTCCTGGTGCTCGTGGCATGGGCAACAGATTTGCGCAGTTCAAGCTGGTCTTGCTTGGTATGTCATTATTGCGCACGATGGTTACAGACAGACAGAGACACAGAAATGCCGTTTGCTAACCGTCCTGCAGGAGAGTCTGCTGTCGGCAAGGTATCAACTCCACATCATCCCTTCCATCTCTGCTACCTACGCTGACGTGCGATTCCAGAGCTCAATAGTGTTGCGTTTTGTAAAGGTGCGCCAGATCCCGATCCCATCCTTTCCGGTGCTGAGCACCATGAGCTGACCGGAAGCGCAGGACCAATTCGACTCGTACAGAGAATCTACCATTGGCGCCGCCTTCCTCACACAGACCATCTCCCTCGATGAAAACACCACCGTCAAGTTCGAGATCTGGGATACTGCCGGACAAGAGAGATACAAGTCCCTGGCGCCTATGTACTACAGGAATGCAAACTGCGCCGTAGTTGTCTACGATATCACACAAGCCGTACGTATACTGATGAGGACGACTGACTGGATATGTGTGTTGTGGGGAGGAGGGGGCGGGGGGCGTTCGCGCGATTGGAAATAAGGCTGACCTGCCGAGATAGTCATCATTGGACAAGGCGAAGGCGTGGGTCAAGGAGCTCCAGCGCCAGGCCAACGAGAACATCATCATTGCCCTTGCTGGAAACAAGCTCGATCTCGTCACCGAGCAGCCCGACAAGAGGGCCATCCAGACATCCGAGGCCGAGGCGTATGCACGCGAGAGCGGCCTCCTGTTCTTCGAAACCTCAGCCAAGACGGCCGAGAACGTCAGGGAACTGTTTACGGCGATCGCCAAGAAGTTGCCGCTTGACCAGGCCGGACCACGACACTCACGGACAGGCCAACGGCCGGGGGTCAGCCTCGGCGCGCCGGAGAATGCCAGCACCAACAGCAACGGCCCGTGTGCCTGCTAAACCCCGGGCTTCTGTGATGTGTCAAGAAATTTCGAGTGGCGAGGAGGCTTGCGTGTCACTATACGGCTCACTCGCCTTCCAGACAGAGAGTTGACACGACCCGCGGTGTACACCTGGGATCGAAATATCGTCACGGAGCATGCAAGGTCGTTGGTTGCGTCGAATTATAGGCCCCTTCGGAACGAGTAACATGTCCGTGAAAGTCGGCTCATTCTCTGGTGTCGAATGCTCGTACGACGGGAACGGCATCAGTCCTTATTTAATACCTTTATTATGATGTGTCCTCCCGGCATTTCAATCTAAAGAACTTTTCGATCGTTTGGCTTGGTCCAGGGAAGAGGCAGGATTCACTGGCGTCGGGGTGGGGATTCGAGTTGATGAAGATTGCTTTTTTTCTCTCTTTCTCTCTCTCTCTCTTCTTTTTGGGTCTTTACTCTCTGTGTTTACGGTCTTGCGTGCAGACAAGACAAGAGACGCATCTGTACCGAGAGAATTTCAAATACAATACCACATTGCAACAGATTTTCCCAGTCCTGCCCTGTTATTGAAATTCAAATATTGATATAGTATACTCACTCTGATTTCTGACATTGTTCCAGCAAGATGATAATGAAGAGGCACCTGCAGGCACGAAAAAATCATAGAACTGTTACTCATGTGCGAAATTTTGCTCAGATTTTCCCTTGTTTGTTTGGTTGATAATTTCCTTTTTTTTTTTTATAAAAAAAAAAATCGAGACGAACAAGAAGAACAATAATAAGAAGAAAAAGACGAGTTCATGATACAATAAGATAACCACCCTCAAATGCTTTCGTAGGCGCGCGCGAGCAGTGGACAAATTAGGTATGTTCTTACTGCACACAGTATGACAGTATGACGTTACTGCTCCTGAACTTTTGATAGGCAGGCACTCGGGAGCCTAGAGTAACTTACTGTACATAGTACTTATGGTAGTATATGCCGTAGGGATCCCTGTCACTTTACTGTAGCCATGCGCCAGAGCTTCTCGGCAAAACCAGGTCGAGTCGCGAATTTTCCCGCAAAGCAGCACTGTGATAAATCCAGGTCGTGAACTTTCCTCCCCCCCTCCTCCATCCCTCACAACCCAATTCGATACCCGCGACGGGCCATTGCATTCCCTCATGTTGCGGACATCGCTTCGATCCGTGAGGGGTCTGAGCAGCAGGTCTGTTGCCGCTGCTCCTGGCCGCCAATGGCAAGCAGCAGCAGCAGCTCGGCCTGCTGGCCTCCTCGTGACGAAAGTGAGTGCTATCCATTTTCCCTTCCCTTAATCGTGTGAGAGCGGCAGTGCTCGAGCGCAGCAGTCTACTGATGGCTGACTGACCAATTTATGACGTGTATAGAGAGGCTACGCCGATGAGAAGCCCCAAGTTCCCAAACCACCGGCTGGAGAGACGAATACTGCTCCATCCACACCACCACCTCCGCCAGCGAACGAGTCGAGCGTCCAAGCCAGCACCATCGCTCCCGAGAATGTGCCCCTGACACCTCCCGCCCCAGAAGACCTCGGGAACGTCTCGAAGAAGGAAGGTCCTGCAGTTTCCACACCGCCGCCTCCACCTCCGGGCAAGGGCTTCCTCAGGAGACTGCGCAATTATGTCCTGACCCTCGTGATCCTCGGTGCCGTCACCTTCGGCGGTGGTGTCTACTACTCGCGGATCAACGACAGGTTCCACGACTTATTCACCGAGTACATCCCTTATGGCGAGCAGGCCGTGCTCTACCTGGAGGAGATGGAGTTCCGGAAGCGTTTCCCTAACATCTCGAACCGTGGTGGCCAGCGCCCACGCGACACGGGCGAGGCGGTGCGCATTCCGGCACAACACGGTGTGGCCTGGAGGGTAGCAGACGCCGGTGAGCCGGCCGGGCGCCAGTCGAGCGCTGTGGAGAAGACGACCACGGCGAAGAAGGAAGCCGCCAAGAAGACACCCGCGCCTGAGGCCCCCAAGCCAAAGGAGCCTCCTGCTCCCGCTCCCAAGGCGGAGCCCAAGAAGGATACCCCCGCCCCAGCTGCTGCTGCTGCTGCTGCTCCTGCCGCGACATCTGGCTTCAGGGCTCCCGAGGTCAACGAGCCGTCGCGCCTCCCTCCTTCCTCACCAATTGAGCCTGTCTACTTCCCTGATGCCGACGAGCCCGTGGTCCAGAATTTGGCGCATATGCTGAACGACATCATTGCCGTCATCAACGCTGATGGTGCGCACGGCAAGTATGGTTCGTCCGTTGAGAAGGCCAAGAACGAGCTCAAGAAGGTCTTTGGGGAGATCGATCACATCAAGGCGGCTGCGGAGGCGGAGGCTGCTGCCAAGGTGAAGGCCCGTGTCGCGGACTTTGACAAGGCTGCGAACGACCTGCTGAACCGCGTGGAGAAGACCATGGCGGCACAGGAAGCCGGCTGGCAGCGGGAGTTCGACGAGGAGATGAAGAAGCTCAAGGAGACGTATGACGAGCGCATCAAGGTTATGTCGGAGCGGGAGCGGCAGCTCCACGAGGACAAGCTGAACAACAAGCTCCTCGAACAAGCCATTGCGCTCAAGCGGCACTTCAAGGATCAGATCAGGAGGCAGGTCGAGACAGAGCGGGACAGCAGACTCGGCAAGCTGGAAGAGCTCTCCAAGTCCGTCTCGGATCTGGAGAGTCTGGCTACCGGCTGGAACGAAGTGATCGACCTGAACCTGCGTACACAACAGCTCCACGTCGCCGTGGAGGCGGTCCGCGCGAGCCTTGAGGATGCGGCGCACCCGCGACCTTTTATCAAGGAGCTTGTGGCGCTCAAAGAGATTGCGGCGGACGATGCTGTCGTCAACGCGGCCATCGCCTCGATCAATCCTTCGGCGTACCAGCGCGGCGTGTCGAACTCGGCAGAGCTGATCGACAGGTTCCGACGGGTAGCCAACGAGGTGCGCAAGGCCTCGCTGCTGCCCGAGGATGCGGGCGTCGCCAGCCACGCTTCCAGCTTCGTCCTGAGCAAGGTGCTATTCAAGAAGCAGGGGATTGCCGCGGGCGACGACGTCGAGAGCATCCTCACGCGCACCCAGACGTTCCTTGAAGAGGGCAACTTGGATGCTGCAGCGCGGGAGATGAACGGGCTGACAGGCTGGGCAAAGACCCTGAGCCGGGACTGGCTGGGCGAGGTGAGGAAGGTATTGGAGGTCAAACAGGCTCTAGAGGTAAGGCCATCACGGCTACTGCACTGCTACCTATCCATGAATAAGTCGTTGTGACCAAAGTATACTGACGTTTTCTTCTTGCTACAGGTGATTCAGACAGAGGCGAGGCTGCAGAGCCTCAAGGTCGAGTAGAGATGCAGCGTCCAAGAGTTCAAGACGTCGAATTGCTCCCTTTTCAATTCTAACTACCCTAACCTGACTTTGTATATTGCATGGAAAGAATTGATCAACCTGACCTGAGTGAGGAGGTGGTGGAGGAGGAGGTAAGGAGGGAGGGGCTACTGGCCCTTGTGTACCAAGATATCAAGTACTATAGAAGTGGACGAGCCAACAAAAAAGCAAAAGGAATATGACATTCATTAGGTCCTTCAGAATCGAGTGAACTGTGTACCATGCGCCTTTGATCACTGCCAGCAAAAAAGGACTGTCTCTTCCTTTTTTTTTTTTTCTTCTTTTTTTTTCTTTCTCTTCCTACATTTGACAACCTCAACTCACAGCCGAACGTTGCCAAGTAAGAAAGATACTCCCGCACTCTCCGTAATCTAACCTCAACGGTTACCACACCCCACAGAATGCATCGAGATAACGCGACAATAGTATCTCGCCATTTTATTCGTTAGAAAAATAGGAAGAGGCCCAACCAATAGTCTTCTTTTGCTGGTCAGAAGTATCCATCGACCCTATCAAATCTACGTCCGAAGATGCCGAAGCGGAGCCTTCAGGTACCGGGCCAAGGTCCGTCCAGCTCCTGCCGTAGCTAAAACCGCCCGGAGCGGGGCCATCGTCATTTTCCTCCCGGCTGTCGTGCTACTTGCAGCAACTTGCTCCCCCTCCTCTCCAAGAAAAAAAAGAAAAAAGAGGTACCGACCAGCCGAGACAGATACACCCACCCACACCCATTCTCATTGTCCAGTAATCATTCTTAATAAGTGCTTACTGTCTTATTTTTACGAGAGAAAGAAAAGGGACCAGCGAGCGGCGCCATGATTGAATAGTCAGTGTCGAGGTTCTGTGCAAGATTTCCGTTGGGCAGAGAGAGACAGAGCTCATATCGACGTTCAAACCTCGAAACGGTCTTCGAAACCATTTCTCCGTCTCGGCGCATTTTCCCCCTCTAGACAATGTCGCAACAGCTCAGCAGAACAACGACCCTGCTGAAGGGCCTGCGAGCTCCCTGCACAGCAGTCTCACAGTCCTCTACGGGAGGGGCAACAGCGGCGCGCAGGATACCAGGCGCATTGCTGCGCCAACAGACAAGATGGGCTTCGTCGTCGGAGAGAGGAGGGTCCAAGAGCAGTCGTGAGTCGACTTTCAAGGGCCAAATGCTAGAGAGTATCACGCAGCGCATGGCGAGGGAGAAGGAAGAGCTGAGGCAAGCGGCGATCGAGAGAGAGGCGAGGAGTGGTGGTGGGAGGAACCTCGCGACTACGGTGGGTGAGTAGGAAAGAGGCCGTCCCGTTCCCCTCAAATTCCTTCTCGCCTGTCGAGGAATAAGTGTGTCCAGGGAAAAATCTTGTGCAGCTGACCGTCTATCTTCTCTCCTCCTCTTTTGCGAACTCTAGTCGTCGTCCTCGCCTCCCTTATGGCCTTCTACTGCGGCACCAAGCTTCCTCGCGACCCAGAACCGACCTCAACCCTTCCTCTGTCCGTAACGCGACCCCCCAGGCACAATGTCTCGCCCGCCGAGCTCGAGGCTGCCTGGACCGACTTTGTCGAGATCGTCGGCAAGGAAAACGTCTCGACCCTGCAGGACGTGCTCCTCTCGCACGCACAGTCCGAGTGGTCCACCCACAACCGCCCGGCCTCGGAGCCCATGCCCTTCTGCGTCGTATACCCGGCCACCACGGATGAGGTCTCGCGCATTATGAAGGTGTGCCACAAGCGCAGGATCCCCGTGACGGGTTACAGCGGCGGCACGAGCCTCGAGGGCCACTTCGCTCCCACTCGGGGCGGCATCTGCGTCGACTTTGGCCGCATGGACCAGGTCCTCGCGCTGCACAAGGAAGATCTCGACGTCGTGGTCCAGCCCGCCGTGGGCTGGGAGTACCTCAACGAGCAGCTGGCCGACGAGGGCCTGTTCTTCCCGCCCGACCCGGGCCCCGGCGCCATGATCGGCGGCATGATCGGTACTGGCTGCAGCGGGACCAATGCGTACCGCTACGGCACCATGAGAGAGTGGGTGCTGAGCCTGACGGTCGTGCTCGCCGACGGCACCGTCATCAAGACGCGCCAGCGGCCGCGCAAGAGCTCGGCGGGCTACGACCTGACCAAGCTCTTCATCGGCAGCGAGGGCACCCTGGGCCTGGTCACCGAGGCCACCCTCAAGGTCACCGTGCGCCCTGCCACCACCAGCGTCGCCGTGTGCTCCTTTGGCTCCATCCGGCAGGCCGCCGACTGCGTGGGCCGCGTCGTTGGGTCCGGCGTGCCCGTTGCCGCCGTCGAGATTCTCGACGACGAGATGATGAAGTGTATTAACAAGGCCGGCCACACCGCCCGCGCCTGGCAGGAGGCCCCGACTCTGTTCTTCAAGTTCGCGGGCACAGACAAGGGCGTCAAGGAGCAGATCGAAATCGTCCGGCAGATGGCCAAGAAGGCAGGCAGCACCGGGTTCGACTTTGCCAAGAGCCAAGAGGAGCAGCTGGAGCTGTGGTCGGCGCGCAAAGAGGCTCTCTGGAGCACCATGGCCGTCAAGAGGGACGGCGACAAGGTGTGGACTGGTGACGTCGCCGTGCCCATCTCGAGACTGCCGGATATCATCGAAGAGACCAAGAAGGATGTGCAGGAGAGTGGGCTCTACGGCACCATCGTGGGACATGTTGGGGACGGGAACTTTCACAGTATGTTATGTCATGTCACCTACACACTCACACACACACACACACACCAGACACGCATTGCAGAAGATGAAGAAGAAAGCTAACGTCCTTACCCTCGCAGCAATATTACTCTACAGTGACGCCGAGAGAAAGGTCGCAGAAGAGGTCGTCCACAGGATGGTCAAGCGAGCTGTCGAGATGGAGGGCACAGTGACGGTGAGCGGCCACCCCCCCCCCCTTTTTTTTTTTTCCCCTCTCTCTCTTTTTCTCCCCCTCTCTTCCCCTACCAGGAATCCATCGTTGAGATGATCGAATCTCGCTGACGAAATGAACATCCAGGGCGAGCATGGAGTCGGCCTGGTCAAGCGCGACTACCTCCCACACGAGCTAGGCGCCAGCACAGTAGATGTCATGAGAAAGGTGTGTCTCTCTCTTTCTCTCTTCTCTTCTCCGATTTTCTTGACTTTAAGACTAATGTTATCCTCTGCAGATGAAGCAATCCTTTGACCCTCTGTGCCTGCTCAACTGCGACAAGGTCGTGAGGATGCAGAAGCCCGCGGCGGGTGAGATTGCCGAGTGGTAAAAGTAGTGAGAGGGGTGTGAGGGAGACTAGGTAGCCTGGCGTGTGGGCTTGGCACGTCGCTTGTATATAGGCCGACGTTGCCCTCTTGAGTCGGTGGATAATCGATAGAGACCTTGTCTTGGTTGAGAGACGCTTGGCGACGATATGTGTACACAGTTGCTGCCCAAGAAGAGGGCGAGTCTAGTCAGTGAGCCGAAAGAGGTCGATATCGGAACAACCACGTATCCCTCACTTCGACACAAACTCTTCCCAAAGTCACGGTCCTTGTGTGTTCTGTAGTCGGATGTTATGCACATGATTACCCAATGCATTCTTCTCTCGTTTCGACCACTAAAGACCTCTCTCCAAGACCTCGACCCTCATGCAATGATGCACGAGGCCATCACAAAGAGCTCGTTTTGGACACACTTTTCCTATACACCACCCCTCTCTCTCAGTTGAACGTCTTGCCTTCCTTCGCCAGCCCGATCACATCAACCCATGCCTCAGGCCTGACCCGACCGCCCTCAAGCCCCTCCCTCAGGTACTTCTCTCCGTCCGCCGCCCACCCGAGCACGTTCTCCTCCTCGCCCCACATTCCCATCGCCAGCATGCCGACGGGCAGCTTTCCGTGGCCCTTCTCGGGCGGTACATAGCCGACGGGCACCGTGGCAGACGGGCACCCGGTCATATTGCTCAGCCACACAAACAGCATGCTCCGCATGGTTCGGTCGCCATCTGTGAACCCGCGCGCCTCGTCACCAGGGGACACGGCGTATCCTGCATCAGGCAGCGTGGGCGATACGATCAGCAACCGCGCCCCGTACCGCTCAAAAAGAAATGCCAGGTGCCGCATGAGCGCCGAGCGCACCTGGGCGAAGCGCAGGTAGTCCCCAGCTGTGGTCTGTGCGCCCACACAGCAGGTAATGGCGTTGGCCGGTGACAGCAGGTCCGTCCATCTCGCGGCTGCGGCGGCACCGTCTGCTGCCGGGGACACACGCGCGCGGGCCTTATCCGCAGCCTCGGCGAGGTTGATAGCGCCGTGCGCGGTCCGGCCTTCAGCTATGAGCGGAATGTCAATGTCGATAACCTCGTAGCCTAGCTCCTGTTCGTACCATGCGACGGCCTTGTCGAACAGCGCGCGCACCTCGGGGGTGGCACGGTTGACCCATGGCCGGCACAGACCCAGATACCTCTTCCCGCCCGCGCCTGCCTGCGCCGCCGGCTTCTCGCTCGGTGCAAACAGTCCGCTCACGGGGTCCGAGGTGTCGGGCTGGGCCATAATGCGGTACGCGACGGTGAGGTCGGTGACGTTGGCACACATGGGACCTACGATGCACATGCTACTGGTCATGACGCAGGTGCGGTTATGGCTCGTCTTGAGGGAGACGCACCCCGCTGTGGCAGCAGGCACACGAATGGAGCCGCCAGCATCGGTACCGACACACAAGGGTACGAGGCCCGCGCCCAGCGCCGAACCAGCGCCCGATGAGGACCCTCCTGGGTAGTACGCTGGGTTGCAAAAGTTGACGGGGGTTCCGGTCACGGGGTTGCAGCCCGTCGTGTCCATACCGATTTCGTGTTGGTTCATCTTGCCAAGCATGATGGCACCGGCCTCCTCGAGCTTCTGGACGGGCCAGAGCGTATCGGTCTCGGGGGTGCGGAAGAAGGACAGCGACGGGTCGACGCGCATGCCGTAGGTGCTGAGGTAGCCCCTGACGGGGAGGTCAGCCTTGACGCCGAAGGGGATACCATCAAGCACGCCCAGGGGCTTGCCAGAGGCGTAACGCTCGGCAGAAGCCCGGGCGGCGGCGAGGACGTCGTCGACATGGATGTCGAGCCACGCCTTGGAGTATGGCGTGGGCGAGGGGACATCACGCCGGATGAGGGGGAGGAGAGCCTCCACCACCTGTACCGGCGTGGCTGCGCCCGAGAGGTAGACGTTGTGATAATCTGCAAAGGACGCGTAGCGCCCTGGTGTGTCTGCAGGCAGGCCCTTGAGCAGCTCTGGCTCGAATGTTGGCTCTGAGATGCTGGCTGTCGAGGGATCTCTGAGGGGGATGACAGTGGGCTGAAGAACAAGATTGTCAGTGCATCCACCACCACAACCACACGGACTCTACTTGGAGACTGGTCCTGTAGTGTATCCTCCTCGGCGTCCTATGGATAGACATCATCTCACATCGAATCGCCACGGCTCGTCGTTCAGACTCTCGACAGCACTCAGCTTGTCGAACCCAGCATTGCCGTACAGGAACCGCTGCACGACTATACTCCTCGTTACACTACATGTATGGATGGCAAAGTCAGAAAGAAACAGAAGATAAACAGGAGGACACTTTTTGCAAGACAGCAGTGCTCTCTTGGTACTCACATGGCGGCGCCAATGGCCAGAGGGAGGCCGCGCAACACGGGGTTCTTTGCCTGGTCGGCCAGGTCGTAGCTGATATCCGTCGCCTCTCTCGCGCCTGGGTAGTTGGCAAACAATCTCGGAGACGCCATTGCTGCGGCTTCCCTGTTTACAGATCCCGTTCCTTGCAGTTTGGGGTCTTTGTTTGTTTATATTGTATGTAGAAACTGCTAGAAGGGACAGCACTGACCAAGAAAAGGAATTGATTGGTAGTTGCGATCTTCAAGGTGAGGGAAGGTGAGAATGGGTGATTTTGTGAGTTGAGCAGGAACGAATGAGTGCTGAACTCGGCGTCCCGCACGGGTCGAAACAAGAGCTAGAATCTGAAATAATCACTGATTACTTCACTGAACCAATCCCCTCAACACATCCTAACGAAACTCTCTTTCAAGAAATGCAAAGAATTCAGTTCATCCTTTACAACAAAGTTTCCCTCAAATCAAAATCATCTTCATCTTCGCCCTGCCCATAGGACAAAGAATTCACTCTGACCTCAACGTGGGAAACTACACCACCCAACAGCTAGAAGAGACCTGTAAAAGTACTAAGTGAACCTGGCTACAACACTGCAATTACAGCCTCAGTGGGGCGAGGGCCCTGAAGCCACTAACCCACTACTACGTGTATGCAGTCTGTTGTCGCCCTCCCAGCCTCCTTGATGGAACGCATCATAATAGTTCGAAATCCATCCCTCGGCTGCTGCTGAAGGAGCGATCAGGAGTGGGGCTCGCTCGGATAGAGGAGGAGAGGGGGGGGGGGATGAAATTTCACATGCCAAAAAAAGGGGCCAGGGAGGGGGGGGGGGGGTTCAGCACATAGTACACAGGCTATTATCGCTTGCTTGGTCTACGATACACCGGAATAGTTACTGAAAATCAATGCTGATCTGTCACTGCTCCCATTTCCCTCACCAGAGGCCACCGTCAGTGGTATCTGAAGGGATTGAGAATATAAATAAAATGAAACAAGAGACAGAACAATGCTATCTCCTTCCACAGGCAAAAGCTTGATGAGGATCCAGAGATTCAAACTGGAATCCATCCGTCCATCCAGATAAACACGAAATGCAATGCTCTGCTACCAAACTGAGCAGAAACGATGATGAGTGTCTGCGGATTTTGATGCCTCCCTTCCCGACAGAACGCCCAGAAAGCACGAAAATCAGGATATTTGCCTTTCAAAGCCTAGCCAAACACCTCGCGAATGGGGGAATAAAAAGAAGAGAGCAATGAAAAGAGAAAAAAGCGAGCCATCAAGTGCTTTGCCTGACGCTTCCAAGTTGCAATCACACACCGTCTACCTCTAGTACTTTCCATCTGCATGCTTTGAACCCTGTTGTGTTGCGGTGATGTTGTGATGGGGTCGAAGTGTGCACAAGGCTGGATATGGAGGCTGTAGAAAAACAAACAGGAACACCCAATGCTTGGCTCTCAATTTGATTCCCATGAATGCCAATCTTGTGTCGAGATATCTTTAGTGACAGGATCGCTGTGCTGTGATGCAAAACGTATGCTAATTCCTTGATGAGTTGATTGATCACCGACTGGGGTGTGGAGGTATAGAGAGGGCATGCATGGTGCTTGGGACCCTCTTTGCGTCGAGGCATCTACCCATATGCTTGGTACGAGAGAGGAGATCCCCAGCACAAGCTTTGTTGTAAACGAGCACGATCGTGAGGTGGCAGGGCATTGAAAAATGCCTGTCTACCGACGACCCAGCTTTAACAGGCGGGTGCGGAACCAGAGAACGAACGAGGTCCAGTAGCCCTGCGTCTTCCTCTTGGCGGTGGTGGTCCGCTTAGGCGTCTCGAAGCGGACGTCCATGACGTCCTGTCCGAAGCTGGGCGCAGCGCCGTCCGCCGTGCTGTCGTAGTTGCTGCTGAGGAAGCCCGTGCTCGTGCCCTCGGCCTTCTCGTTGATGGTGGTGGTGGCGATGGCACTGCCGTGGCGATGGTGGTGGTGGTGGTGCTGATGGATAGCAGATTCGCCAGACCGAGTACGGCGGGTGCCCGAGGCATTGCTGACCGTCGAGCTGAGGGGTGGCGAGCGCCTCCGCGAGAAGGACGAGCGCCCGATAATGGGCGAGTTCTCGCCGCCGCCACCACCCGCGATCTTCCGCGCGGCGGCAGCTCTCTCCTTCTCCTGTCTGCGCTCCTGCTTCCGCCGCTGCTCGGCCTCGTATTTCTCCTGTTTTATGCGCTCGTTCTCCTCGAACTTGCGACGCGCCTCGCGAATATCCTGGCGAGCGCCCATATCCACCTCGCTGCGGGAGCGCAGGCGGAATGCTCCCTCCATGCTGGAGCGGAGGGGTGACATGGCGGTCACACTGGAGTTGGTGGGGCTGGCGAGGTGGAGGGACGGTCGTGGTGAGTCGGTGGGGCTTAGGTTGAGGTGTAGGTCAGAGACTGAATTGGAATTCGAGTTCGCCGTACTGAGAGATCCATGTGTTGCCAGCCTCGAGGAAGTCAGGACGGAGCGTGGAAAGCTGGGGGCCGTATTGACGCGTAAAGGTGGGTTGAAGTTATGGGTATTGTTGTTGTTGTTGTTGTTGTTGTTGTTGTTGCTGTGGCTGCGAATGTCTGACAGTGAAGACGTGCGCTGGCTGGCAAGCGAGGGACGCCTGAGGCTGGTGGTAGAGTGGCTATTGCTGGGCTGACCCCTGTGCAGGTGAGAGGAGGCGGCGAGTGACTGGGAGAGGGAGGCAGATCCAGCACGGTGGTGGTGATGGTGGTGCTCCTCGTCGTCGTCGTCGTCGTTTTCGGTGATGATAGTGGGGGAGTAGTCCCTGGCGGGGTTGTTCTCACGCTCGAATGAGGTGAATGAATTGGCATAGGTCAGTGGCGGGGTATGCGTACGAGGCGTCTGCTGGAAGGGGTGCACAAAGGAGCCCCCGCCTGGTCGGTGGTTGCTTCCGTTGGTTCCTATCGAGACGTGCGACGTCGCTGAGGTCGACCTTGCGTGTTGGTACCTGCCACGACTGAGATTTCTTGCGCTGGACGTCACGCCTACGTGTATCGACGACGACGTTGCTTCCAGCCCCGCCGGCCCGACTGGTGTCGTCGCGCCTGAGCCCGTCGCTGACCCTCCTCCGCCTACCCCACCAACACCAACACCAACGCCGCCGCCGCCGCCGCCGCCGCCATAGCCTGTCGGCTCCCACGAGGGAGGGAACTGGAAGTTCACGTCGCGGATGGAGGGCGACATGCTCGGACGCCCTGAGGACTCGTACGTGCTGTTGTTGTTGTTCATGTTGCCGCCGCCATAGCCAAGGTCCACCGTCTGGTCCTCCCAGCCCCTGTCCAAATCGAGCGAATTTTTAGGCGACGATGATGAGGCCAGTCTCTTCAGAATGGGCTTGACCATCTTACCCCCTCGGGGTGTCTTTGTGATCTTGTTGGAATGGTGGTGGTGATGATGGCTTGCCAGATCCGAGAGGCTAGCCATCTTTAGGGAGATCTCTTGTACCATGAAGGGCTCCTGAGTGCCCCCGGAAGAGAGAGGGGCTGCCTTATTGTTCTATGGTCTGTGTCCTATGTCCTGTCTGGGAGGAAGAGGAAACAGAGACGTCGAGAGCCACACGAAGAGGGGAGGGGTTTGACCTCTGTGGCGGTTGCAACCCGCCTGGCCAGCTCAGAAGAGGTTGGTAGCAGACTGGGACATGACGAGGGATTATTGCCAGTAATTTTGATCTTGGGTAGAGGCGATAAATTGGGTGTGAGAAGAAGAGGTCCGTCCGTTCTGGTCCTCGTCGCTATGACGCGGTGTTCGGAACCAAAATGAAAAGCACAGATCAATGCAGATATAAATTGCGTCCCATGTCAAAAGGAAACGCGGAATAGAAAGGACAACCCTGAGAGGGAAAAAAGAGGGGGAAATCAAAACCAATACGCTGTCTAAACGTTGCAGAATATAGAGAAGATCGCTAACAAGGCACAGCACAAAGAGGCATACATAAATGAAACCAGGAGAAGTGAGCACCAGGAGGAGGGGGGAAGGATTGATTGGATTGCGTGAGGGGAGTTATCGAACGCTCAAGAAAAGAGGAGATGAATTTGCCGCGATGATCGACCAGCGAGAAGGGAGAGAGAGGCACACACACACAGACAAGAGAGGTGCTGACGACCAAACCCTGATCCTGTATCCTGATCCTGCCCTGCCCGCACTAGGCGGACGGCAAGCCGAGTCGGTGTGTCAGCCCCAGACCAAGCCCAGGCCGGTAATAGTCCGGCCAGAGGCAGAGAAGGAAGGAAGGGGGTGAGAGAGCAGGCAAAACCGAGGAAAGGATACTAAGACGGTGCTACTACAACAACAAAACACTAAGCCAAGTAGTACTTCATCATTTCTGCCCTTGTTGTCGTCGTACTAAATGTAAGTAGCTTATCCCTCAGCAACTCAACTGTGACATGTACGCTGTTCTTGTTTTCTCAAGATTGCGGCAGCACGGCGTCGTCGGATCAGGCAGAGAGAAACACAAACACACACACACACACACACACACACACACACACACACACACATGCACACACATACACACATAGATGGAGAGATAGGAATTGTCCAAGACTCTCTGGTGTTTCTTGTCAAGGGAATCTCACAAGGTCTGGTTGTTCTCCTGAGGTTTGCAGCACACCCGTTGTTCCATCCCCCTCACCCTGTCCTCCTGCTCCTCCTGTCCTGACTTTTCCCTTGTTGAGGTTCTGCCTCGAAAGGCGGTGTCACCGATACTCACAACACAGAACTATCCTCACGTCGTGCTTTGCTCTCGCCTGTCCTATCCTGTCCTCCTGCGCATTCGGCTCCTTTTGTGCCAATGTGAACCAACGCCTGGGTAAGGTTCACAGCCTCCCCCTCCACAACTCCACAGTGGGAGCCACAGGTTCGCAGGGCTCAGTCCACACCACCCCTCCACAATCTCAAAACTCTTCAGGAGCGGTGTCTGACCGCCTTCCGCTGGCTTGAGAGGGAGAGGGAAACAAAGAAAGGAAAACTTCACAAAAGTCACGGCGCCAGCGTGGGGGAGACTTGCAGCATCTTGATTGGACCTCCGACCTCCCCTCGGAATCTGCAGGGGGTTTTCCTCCAATCGCCAGGGCCTCGGGTCCGGGAGCCCGTGGGCCGATGTCCATAGTACGCCTTTTTCTAGTGTTCGAACTGTGGGTGCTCGCCTCTCTCCCCTCCCTCCCCCCTTTGGCTTGCAGTTTCTATTGTGTCTGGGCACACAACTACTGTGTACCATAGCATGTAATGTTGGTTTTGGTTTCGATCGACCTCGGTTCTCCTGCTCAAATGGCTTCTCCAATCTAGTCTGGGGAAAGAGGAAGACGGAAGCACCGACCAGGGGGAAAGGGAAGGGCCAAAAATGCCTCTCCCTCTCTCTATGCCCCCCTCTTCTCGCCAGATCTCGAATCGAACAGGGGCTTCATCTCGTCAAAGGCACTATTGAACTGGTCATTGACTTTTGGTTTAGATCGCCTGGGCTGCCGGGACCCGTTATCTTACGGCGCCCCATCGATAGCTTCAAGTATATACCTATGAACCCAGTTCTGAACCGCAAACTTGATAATTCGTCTTTGCATCTTGCGTCGTTGGCAATCATGAAGAGCATGGCAGGGCCATAGTGTTACTTTTCTCCTCTCTCTTCAACGGCTTTTTATATTTCGCGTAATGTCTCCTCCCTTTCCCAGCCGCGGGCCTTCCTTCGTTTCGACCCCAGAATATGGGCCAGAAAATACCCTCGGAACCTTGCCTGCCCCTGTCCATCAGTGGACCCCTTCTGAACGCCTCAGGTGTTTCTCCCCCGCCAATTTACCGCTCCAGGCGTGTGTGTGTGTGTGTGTGTGTGCGTGCCGTAAGCCAACCGCCCGCCCGCCCCCTTTGTACCCAAAACCGTCGTACAAGGTCAAAGGGAAACGGCAAACCAACATATCTTTACCGAATTGTTTCAGAAAATTAGATGCCACTGCCACCCTCATTTACATCTGACGCGGCTCTCAATCCGTTTCTCTTCCACTTTCTGGGTGTCGATCCCTCACTACCATCACATATGTGCTTGCCTCCTTTGGTGTGGGTGTTTGCTGCTTCACCAGCTGCTGCGCCGCTCAGCTGATAGCAGGAACAGCAACCCGCAGGAGTCCAGAACGAGCCCATCAACCCCTCCCACACCCTTTCCCCCCTCTTCCAATCTGCAGTACTACTGCACCGGCCAGGCCGCGCCGCATGCATGAGATGCCTTGCTTGCTTGTACCAGTGCCAATGACAGTTGCTTGTCTCTCCTTTCTGGCTTGTTTGCCTCGCTCGCTCTGCTCTTGGCCCTACCTCTTCGCCCCCACGGTCCGTCTCGAACAGGGCTGGCTTCCTCAACGCCGCGGTCCATGCGGGTCTCTCGTATACTGGTGGCGTTGTGATACTGGCTGCTCATAGGCGGCGTCAGCAAAGTGGTTGGGATCTCTCCACTACGAGCCCACCGTCAACCAACATGCGTGTGCCTACTTTCTGGAGCACAATCCTGCTTGCTTGCTTGCTTGCTTGCTGCCGATGCTGCTGCTGCTCGCCGGCGCTGGCCTGGTGATGCTACTATTCTTCCCTCCATCCACCTTTTCCCAATCGGCCCGGCTGCAGCTGCACTTCGTCTAGTTGGACGGAACAGGCGGGGGCCCCCGGTGTCCTGCCGTAAACATCTCACCATCGCCCCTGTGTGACGGTTTATACCCCCCCCTTCCTGAAGTGGTGCCTTTTAACCGTTCGTATTGCTATCAGCCTATCACTGTTGGCTGCTTTGCTGTTGAATGATGGTGCGCCATAGCAATAATTAGTGCAAGCTGAAGTAGTTCTAAACTCAGACCTCCTTAGTCTGCACTGTGTACCAGATTATAAAACTACTATAGTCCGCTTGAGAGGAAAGCATGTCTCACACTCCGATATACATCTTGCTCGAGCGCGAGGGATGTGTCAAGAGAGAGAAAGAAAAAAAAATATTAGTATGTACAACTTTGGGGAACTCGAATAGCAAATCCTCTGTAAAGAAAGACCTGTGACATAATTTGTAGAGGATTGCCTGACAATACGGCCCAGCTTTGACGACGAGGGCCCTTCCAGGTTCGTACCGGGCAGTCAACGAGCAGTAGAGCATAGTGTCTCAAATCGCTACCTCTTGTTCATAATGGGACAAAGTCTCTTGTGAATCTTAAGACTCCAACTTCAGTCGTGAGCTTTATTGTCACAGTGATGACATCCCCCAGGAGGTGTTCCTCAGGAGGTGTTGTTGAAAAGAAACAGCAGCGACTGTAGAGGGCATAGTCTTTCAAACTTGGGCAAAAATGGGCACCAAGAAGAAAGCATGCAGGAGAGTATCATGCGCCATGTTTGCGAGCCTGTGCTCTATCGTAGGCTTTTAGGAAGAGGGGCGGAATGTTTGTGTTTTTGCCCGATATCGACCGCCTGGTATGCCAAAGCTTCGTGACCGTCTCGCTGACCTTGAGCCTGGCACGACATCCAGTTCTCACAAGAGACTTGCGTCTTGTAGGCAGGTCGTTCGAGATCCCAGTCCAGTGTACAGGCCAAGGCGCTCCGCAGATCATGTAGCAAAGACTTTATAGAAGAGTCGATGCTTATGAGACGGAGAGAGCGCGCCTGGGGTGGTAGCATCGTGTCATGGTTTACGAAACCAGCTGCTGAACTTGGTAACGAACTCGTCCCTTCCTCCACGGGATACGCCGCTCCATCTTCTCGTCGACACATCTCTGGACCAGTCCACCTGCCCAAGAGAGCAGCTTGATCATCTGAGTAGGCTGTGGCTGGTAGATTTTCAAGAAAGTCTGAAGACAGTCTGTGTATTCCAACAAGACCTTCCGAAAAGTTTTTCTATCCGAGGCGTTCACGGATCGTGCCATTATATGGCACGACATCACCCATGTTATCGGTTCTTTCCGTCGTGAATTGTCTCTGGAGGGGAGAAAAGGCGAGGGAGATCTTCTCTACAACTACTTGTACGTCAATCGCACTGCCAACACATTACTCAATCAAGTAACAGATGTATGTTCTCGAGGAAAAGGAACCGCGGAACATCATCGTGTCCATCAGATTGAATCTAACTAACGTGTTCTCTGCTGAGAAATACTCCTGACACTAGCACGGGCACAGCTCGAGTACCGGGTTTTGTATAACCCCCCAGGCTCTCTGGCAATAATTGATTGATTGGAGATGCCGACACGTATCAGCACAGCCACTTCCTTCCACCAGAGCACCACAGTTTAAGGAGGAAATTGCTGCTACGCTGCTGGACAGCGACATTAGCTGGAGTTGACCCACAAACAGCACGCGTATCCCTTGGTTGAGGGACAGAGACCCAGCTGGGTCTTTGGGAGGTGATCCTTCGTCCGAACTTGTCTTTCGGTGAGGCTGCATGAGACAGACTTTACGGGACATCAATTTCGCCGTGCGTTTTCCTTGGTTGACCGGTTGAGGCTGCAGGGTGATCCCTTTCACCAACAGCGCCAGAGTTGGTTGCTGCCAAAAGATATCCAGGGCATCTTTGGCCGAACCCCGGCACCAGGCATCAGGGTTGACCTCCATAAACCCCAGTTTATACGGCAACAGCTCTGGCGATCCATAGCGGGCAGAGCGGCCTGGCCAGCATGGGTGGATTTCATCTGTTGGCCGTGAGGAACTGCCACACGATGAGTTCACCGGCGCCCATGTGGAGTCGGGAGCCACGACATCATCCACCACGTTGGGCTGCATGAAGCCCTCGAGGGATGACAGCGAGTTCAGGCCGCCGGCGTCAGGATTGTTGAGAGGCACCACCAATCGCATCCCAGGGAGTAGCTGAGAAGGAAAATCGGTACAATGACAGATGACAAGCGTGTCTTCATGCTGGACGCCGTTGTTCGCCTCGCTATGCCCTCAACACAATTGAAGGCCAGGTGGACTGAGCATTGACTCCTCAAAGGGGAGCATGATGGGAAGTATATAGGCTCTGTTCACGCAAGTCGAAACGGTATATGATGCCTTTCTCGGCCGCTCATCATTGGAGGTGTTTGTTCGATGCGTCAGCTCAGACACCATCAGTTGGTCTGGGGACTTGCCGCACATATCTACGGAGATCAGGAGTCCTCGTTTGATAAAATCTTGATAAGGGCTCATGAATAGGAGAGTGCCATTCACAACGCAAGAACTTGCGATGGTGCCAGTGCAATAATGCATTCAGAATCGGAGCCCCACGTGGCTATGGACAAACATCAACTCATGAAACTTGAGATCTGGCGAGGTTTTTATTTGTTTTGTTAAGATGTTAGGTCTTGCTCAAGAAAGACTTGTAGTATGATGAGATATCTCTGACGGTCTCAGCTAGACAAAGAGCCCCAAAAAGGTGTGTTGATAGACTTTTACTCAAGCTGGTCGGGCAAGGCTGTAAGAGTATAGGCAAGATACAGCCTCCAGACAAGGGGCGACGATCCTTGCCTTTGCGATGGGATGTTATGCATGTTGGCGGTTTTCTCCGCCTTTCATGAGGCAAGTACCTATACTCAGCAGGTCATCAAACAGTTCTGATGACATCAAGATCGCTGGTACCGTCAAGTCAACGGAACATTGGTCCGAATTGACATCATATTGGGAGTCACGTTGATGATTCTGCAGAAAAGGAAACAAGTCCAAATGCCGATCAATGGGTTTCATGGCAGAGCTCGTAATGATTCAATGTAACAGGTCGTCATATCCCCGAACCATGTCGTCCGAGCCCTAGGTCCAGACTCGGTTCCGAAGAGGAAGGAGAGGGTTCCAGACCACGGTGACCAGAAGACACGGTGAAGATTTACCTCTCGTGAAAGCAGATGGGAGGAGCCCCGTGTGTTAAGATGATGCGAGAGATGCCGATTCTTGCACGAATGATGTTGATCGGACGGAGGAGCGGTGTCCGAGCGGGCCAGTGACGAGGCGAGGACTCACCGGGACTTTTTATTCCTGTGACAAAAAAAAAAATCGAATACGTTCGGAAACGGGCCTGGAAGACTAGGTGAGAAAGGATGTGCATTAGAAACCGTAATGGTGTCCAGCGTGCTCTGGCAGCACTGGCCAATGCGTTGATGAGGAACCGGATGGAGCCTCGCTGCTATTGTGGGACGGTGCCTTGTCTGCGCAATTCGCCTTCGCCCACCTGCCACGTATAGAGCCCAGGATGTGAAATTGGTGACAGTGTCACATATCACATCCAAGCGCCAAAGACGTTTTTTCCCCCAAGAACCTCCAGTTTCGTGTTGGGATGCGAGGGGCAAGGTACTCGCACTGGTGAGGCCCGAGCCCGCATGTACCATCGGCCCAGGAGGCCGGATCCTACGGCCGGATGCCCTGAACCGGGGTGAGGTAGCCTGAAGTATACAACAATGCAGTTTGAGGGCTGCAGCTGCAGCCGGCAAGGTCGTCCGGTCCATCCCACCCTCCCTGGAGGCCATCCAGGAGCCCATGCTCCTGACTTTGGGTGGACATACAAGCGAGGGATTCGAAGGGCACAATACGTGCTTTTCGAAGACGTGTCGCTCGGCAGCCGAATGTTAAATCGTGAGGACCCCTCCCCGTTACTCCGTACCATTGTCCTCTATACATGGGTGAGTGGCTGATCAGCTCCTGTCACCGGCTAAGCGACCCATAGTAGGATTTTGAACCGTATGTTGTAATGCGCAGCCCCTAGTAAGGTTCTGAGAAGGATTTGGGGACCTGCATGTGTATATGTCATCGCGAAAAGCTTCGGGCTTCGACTTAGAGAAGCCTTAGCCATGGTAATCAAGGACAGGATGGGCCGATGCCACTCGATACACAAACGACGCGACCTGTGGGCTTGCATCAGGGGGGGAGGAGGATGGATGATTGCACCACTCGTATAACATGCGCTCGAATGGAGGGAGCAGGTCATCATGTTGGAGAAGGCTGGAAGGCGTGCGCGAAAGCCGTTCGGTTGATAAATTTGGGAAGGTCGTCGCGGTCCGAGAGAAATTAAGCTGCACCATTTCTGCAGGCTCCGGAGGATCTCCATGTGTGGATTCTGGTTCGTTGAAATGGTGGAGGGCCGGATATGCATCTCCCTTGCTCCCCGTTCCTTACTCCCGCTCGACGATGTGCCCTCCCCAGGCTTTATGTTCCACCACAGCTTGACAGTGCATATGCTGTCGAAGGGAGAAGGGGGGTGTGGGAGGGGGGCAGGAAGAACTTTCTGTTGCGACTTGCCATGGGCAGCTTGTGCTCCACGTCGACCACGGCGCTCCATAGAGACGAGACACGTCGTCCACGCTTGAGGTGATAAAAGCAACGGAACCGCGAAACAAGCTGCTTTATCATCCCCAACCATCTAATTGTCCGTATGATCCGTACCTGTTCCAAAAACGTTGTAACACAGTGTCTTTTGAACGTCGCTTATGAACTGTTCGGAAGAGATACTTTGGTACATGTGCAGCACTTACAGTCCCTCTTGGGGGGGGGGGGGGGTCAAATTTTTCTCATGCATGCATGCATGGTGGGGATCAACAACTGCGACCGACGACTGGGGTCGCATCGCCCAAACAGACATCGATGATTGATGAGGATGGGGAGGAAGGCCAGATGGCAAGGTGCTCGGTCGAAAGGTATGTTGTTGAGCAGCAGGATCTCAAAGCCAGGTACTGAACATAGTATCCAGGAGCAGGCGCGCTTGTTCTGCCGCCCGTGATCTGACGCGCTTCGCAGTGATGACTACCCCGCATTAGTCTCATCGGAAATGCACTCTTGTCGACCCCACGGCGTTTGTGATGTCGTTGCCGCGGCTGTGTTTCTGCATCCTGCCGTTGACACCTGCAAGTGGGATTAGAAGAAAAAGCAATTTCACCTCGAAAAGTGTCGATCGTGACGACGGGGTATGCACAGGCCTTGAGGACCCTGGACCGTCCCCAGTCGACTAAGATCAGATCCCGACTAGGATGACGGCATCTCCCGGTCCGCCAACAGAGAAAGTCCACAGGAGGTAGCAATCAGTCAATCTTGCCCCCCCCCCCTTTTCAAGGTGGGGGTTGTCAAGCTGGCTCGCGGTCTTGAACATAAAGACCTTGACAAAGTTCAATCTTGGAGATTCATGGCGACGCATGTCTGACAAACGAACTGACTGATGTAATACGCAACTGATCGGAGCTGTTTTTGGGACGGACTGACACCTTCTGTAGGGACCATCGAGGTTTCCAACCATGACTGGTCGAGGTCTGTGCTAAGCTACCTACTAGTAGGTACATATAAGAGAGTCCAAGGATGGAACCTTGGGCCCTAAACCACGAACTATACTAAGCTATATAGTCAGGCGCGTGACTCGCTTCGAGTAATGAAGTGAGCGAGGCATAGGCCATACACCTTCTTTGATGACTCGACTCGTCGTCCTCGATGGCGAGCATCTCAATACCTGAAACCCTCGCGACTCAAGGTGACCAGGTTCCTCGTTCGCCTCCCATTTTCTATTCGACGGTCATGATATACCTACGTTATGTGGCGAGATATTCTTGGGATACGAGTCGTTGTCTGTATTGCAAGTCAGGGTATCATGTACATAGTACTACATAGCAAAGTTCTGAGGAGGGAAGGGGGGGGGGCGGTGATGGAAAAAGCGAGGAAGGCTGAGATAGTAGACGAATGCCTGCCGAAGAACACAGTAATTAGCACATAGGTAGTAGTAGTAGGAATAATAATAATAGTAGTAGCAAGTACTGCGGTACCCAAGGAAGGTACTGCGGAAGAATACGTACCGCGCAGCTTCTTCAGCTGCGGGACCCCCTCAGTGTTCAAGGCAGGCGCAGCGTAGGCAGCACAGAGCTTAAAATCGGTCTGGACTTCCAAGGTTGTGTTCTGTGCTCTTTCTTCCCACCCGACAGAGTTGACATGCGCTTAAATTCTCGACTACATCTCTTCTGCCACCAACCAAAAATTCTCATGATCATATTTCTTGTTTTGGACCGCACGATCTGCTGGTGAAAGGGCGCGCTCGAGTAGCCACAGAGATCATCAATGAGCACATCGACGCATTGCCGAGTCAAGACATTACACTACCACGGCTCCCTTGTGGCTGGTTACGCCTGTACAGTACGACTTACAGTGAGAAATTATACAAGAACGCCATGGGGTTTCCCGCCGCAGCAAAAGTCGCTTCGTCCGTAAGGATGGTCCCTGGAGAAGCTGATTCTCCCAGTTTCCGAATCGGTACAGCTGCATTTCGAGCTTCTAACTAGCTGGACGGACTGCACATCTGCTGATGAATCCATCTGTCGTTTAGCATTGGCGAGCAGGACGAACCACCCGACCAAGATAGACCGACCACGCGCTATCGTCGACGGACCTACGAGCTATCAAGGAACAGAAGAGCAAAACAACAGCCAAGGCAGCCATCTTCCCATGGGTCAGGGAGGTCTCTCAGACCAGCCCTGGCATGGGCAGCGTCCAGATGGGCGGGGCTGGGCTTACGCACGATGGATTCATTTCAGAATAGACATGCAGCAGGCAGGAAGCGCGACGCCCGCACAGACTTATTGAAGAAACAGGTGATAGCTGAGAGCAACACAGCTTGGGTGTTCGTTTGTTTTTAAGCATCGTTGACATTTTCCCTGCTTGCGGCTGATACCAATCGATATCGCCTGTGCAGTCGCTGCACGTCATGCTTCCTCATCTAGGCGCTCATGTCTGTGCGCTGCTCAGCATCTTGATTTAGGAGCCTCATCAGACTACACTTTGTTGTGGCCTGCGGATTTCGGCAGGTCTCCTTCCCTCGGCCAGCGATGCTCTCGCCTCGACGACGAATCAGGACGTCCCGTCATGCTCAAGAAGGGCGCCTCAATTCCTTGCCCGCTCCCCCCCCCCCCACCTTGACGACCAAAGTGAAGCAAGCTGTGGTGACCGGCATGCGATGACCAGTGTCGTTTACAACAATCGCATTCGCATAGCAAAGACTTGGCCAGGCCGCGCACTCGAATTCTTCTTGTTGCGTTGCAATACCTGCCTGCGCGACTGATCTGCAAACGACGGCGAGCGTCTTTCATGAGGAGCTGCCGTCAGGACTAGTATTCGCCTGGGGTCCTCGGAGTATTGAACTACGTATTTTCCAAAGCAGCAGACCGAGTGGGTGCTGACGCTTACAATACCACTCATGAGGACAACGGTCCGGACCCAGGCACGTACGGCGGCAACGATGTACCTCTCGAGTACCTCCCCAGTCTCGTCGATCTCTAATCGGGATCAGGAGCTGGGACCAGGTGCTTCCCGAGGGGCAGGCCTGCTATTCTCGGGCAAAAGTTGGATACAACCGTTGACCCCACGCCGCCGAGAGACTCTCGCAACCTTCTTGTCAATGCACACGACATGGTTGGTACCCTACAGTGTTGCTCACTACAGTTTTGAAAGACGCGGTTCCTCTTCCCTCCGATTGCCCCCGACTGCGGCATGTTGCGTGGGTCACATATCTTTTGTGAACCATGCAGATGCGAGGCTACAATAAACCCTGACATCATTTAAGCGGGAACGAGCCCATCCCACGGTCTGCATTTTTCTTTCCTTCTTTTCTTGATGCTTTTTCCCTCGAAGGGTCTTTTTGTACGTCCTGTTTCGCGCATGCCACTAGTCATCTCTCGTGATGCCGCATTCTTCCATGCCTTGCTGTTTTGATTAGCCAGTTTCGACACTACCGCCGGCTGGGTATTGCGTACTATTAACATGTACATTCTTCCGTGATCGAGCTTGACTAAGTCGAGAAGGTGGGTTTCTGCTACAGAGGTCGACTTCAGATTCATCACGACATGTTGCAACACGCCGGGCCCCAACATCATTGTACCAAAGGCCGTTCATCCTCTTGCTGTACTCGGCCCCCAGGTCATTGGCCCGACTTTACCTCGCCAGGTTCAATGTGTACCAACACCTGAGTTACCTCTTCAATACAGTCTTACCACCCGTCCCGGGTTTATGAGATCTGCCTCCCTATTTTGCGCAGAGGAGCCGACAGTCAGCCCAGCACAGGGTAGCGGAACAATCCCAACGATCACGAGCCTCTTACTCATCAGTTACTATGGTACATAGTGTGCTGTCGCTCTTCATCGTCCGAGAATGCAGTTGTCTGGGCCTTTCCAAGTGGACCCTCGACTCCGCATCTCGCTGAGCGAGCGAAGTGGGCGTGGTGGGTAGTCAAGGATTCAGGAAGCGCCAGGCCAGGGAGCTGGTCATCGCCCCCGATTGAGAGCAGACCATATCCTTGTTGGGTCTTCTTCGGGGTCTCCACGTTCTTCAGAGATCCATCACCAGTCTCGACGTATCCTGGCCGCTACTTTTCCCGAAGACACGCCCCCCCCCCTCCTCTTACTATATTGATAGCCAACGGGATTGAGGCTACGGCCGCGCTCCACTGGAGCTCTCCTTTCTCTCCCTCTTGTCTCTCTCTCTCCTCCTCTGAGCCAAGACCCGGTGGAGGCTAGGTGACAGCCCTTCTGCCCCCCCCCCTGGTAAAGCCCACACGAGGACCTCCAGATCCTGAATGGGTGTAGGGTCGCAACTCCATGCAGCATGCATTAACAGATCAGCACTGTACTATGGTACGTACCGTAGCACTCTCTGCATACCCCTACCATCAATCCCTACTCGTACCCTCCACTTGAATTCCCGCGCCTTTTTTTTTTTATCCTGCAGTTTAAACGTGCAATCGACAAATTGTACTGCGTACATTGCCCCAGAAGTGGGCTTGTCAACCCTCGTAAACACATTGTTCCAATTACTTCCTTGTTATTGCGTCTCTCCTCACTGCACGACCGGAGCAACTCAGACCATCTTCCTTGTAAAGTATCCGCCCAAATCACAATAACCCCAGACAGCCTCTTCGGCCGTCCATCTCCCGTCCACCCTGCCTATATATGTCTCTAGTCCCCATCGTTTCCATATCACATAGCTCGCCTTGCTCTTCACAATCGGTCTTCTTCTTCTATTCTCATATTTGTCGCCCCGGGGCCTCATGGTCGGAACAATGGATTTGTTATAAGGCTTTGCTTTTTGCTTTTCTGTCTCTCAATTGTATAAAGATCCTACTATCCTCAGTTGCCGTGAGAGAACCCCAGTTGGTGCTCGATGCCCTGCCCTTCGATACAAGTCGCTCGTTGTACGCCTACCATTTTTCCACCACCACGAAGAAAACGGATTCGAACTTATCCAGTTGAACCTGTGACTGCCTGCTGAGCTAGGGGAGACACTATCAATCTGTTCCTGGAACCGCACCCTCCCTTGTACTCAGCGCGCTTGCTGTTCAGGTTGCCTCCGGCGCCACCAACCACCCTCTTCCGCCACACCCCTTTCTTGAAGAAGAAGGAAGAGCGGGAAAAGACACCATAAGTGTCAGATTCTAGGGCTTGTGACAACAAGTCTAGAACGTGACGTGCAAGTCAATTCCTGTCCGAAAAAGTGGAAAGACGACCCAGATTCCAGCGTACTCAGACATCGTGACCCAAAGTCACGAGTCTTATGCTCCCAAACTGCTCACCAGCAAGTTGATATCACCGCGGCCCCTCCGACCAGGCCTGGTTGGAACAACCCCTGAACCATACATACATCCGCCCTGATTCTTGACCTGTCACATTTACGGTCCACTGCACACATTCCACGTCGCGACGTGACTATTTATTATAAAATCCGGAGGCAGGATGCCGAACGCAACATCCGTGCAAGCTGGTCCGCCTGAGGACATCATGTATTCCCTCACAGACTTGTTTGCCGCCTTTACGATTTTCTTCTCTTCATACTGGGACTCGGTCATTACCTGGACTTGCATTTTTGTCATTACCTGGTGAGTTTCTTTCTTCATGTCCTTTCTTTCTCTCCATAGCCCATCGTTTATAAATGTATTTTACTGATCCCATGGGCTAGGTTACACCGATATGTCCGGTTGATCGTCCATAGTATTAGTCACTGGGCCTACAGGTCCAAGCCGATCCCAGAAAAGCCAAAGTTCACGTCGAAAGATGTGACGGTTGTGATTCCTACCATCCATGATAAGATGGAGGAACTCCGGGATTCGCTAAACAGCATTCTGGCCTGCGAGCCGCACGAGCTCATTCTGGTCACGACGGCCGAGAAGCATGAAGCCCTGCAAAACCTGGCTCAAACGCTCAACTACCCTCGAATCCGGGTCCTCTTCACGGGGATTGCCAACAAGCGCCTCCAGGTCTGCGCGGCACTGCCAGAGGTCCGCACTGCCATCACCATCATGGCGGATGATGATGTTACCTGGCCAAGGACCCTGATGCCCTGGATCTTGGCTCCCTTTGAGGACCCCAGGATGGGCGGCGTGGGAACCTGCCAGAGAGTCCGCCGGGAATGGGCAGCCTCCTTTGCCACCCGGTGCTGGAACTGGCTCGGAGCTGCCTACATTGAGCGGCGGAACTTTGAGATCTCTGCCACACACAACATTGACGGCGGCACCTCATGCATGTCTGGACGCACGGGTGCGTACAGGACAGAGATTCTCAACAACGGTGAGTTTCTAGATGGCTTCAAGAACGAGCGGTGGCGAAAGTACATCCTCAATGCCGACGACGACAACTTTGTCACTCGGTGGCTCGTCAGTCACCAGTGGAAGACATGGATCCAGTATGAGCGGGAGTGTGAGCTCGAGACCACCCTGGAAAACGGCAAGAAGTTCCTCTACCAGTGCTCCCGATGGGCACGAAGCAATTGGAGGAGTAACTTCACGAGTCTTGTCGTCGAGCGTCACGTGTGGAGGTAAGCTCGAATATACACCTTGGATACGTGCCGCAGTCATGCTAATTTAATACCTCTCCCCCAATACAGCCAACAGCCGTGGTGCACTTATGCGCTGCATATTGCGACCTTCACATCACTTGCGTTTGTCATGGATCCTTTTATTATTTTTGCGCTGTGGAAGGCAACAGCGAGCTGGGATCCCACGTACCGCTCGATGGCAATCTGGGCACAGATCATCTTCGTCTTTGGATTCTCCAAAACAGTGAAGCTCTGGGGTCTCTTCAGGCGCAACCCAAGCGACATTGCATACCTACCGCTCTCGATCGTGTTCGGCTGGTTCCATGGCCTCATCAAGCTCTGGGCCCTGCTGACGCTTAATATGGTGAGTCTCGCTGCTCGCCCTCAAGATCTAAGCGTATAGAACCACAAACTAATAGCTCAATGCTGTTAGACTTCTTGGGGCAGCCGAGCGGATGGTGATCTTCACGATAAGGCGCGTCTTAAGCGTCCACAGCGAAGCATGAGCATGAGCACCCCTAAAGAGAAAGGAGAACTCGTCCGCTACAACGTGCAGCGTCGCATGACCCTGCCGTCGGGGTCCGAGAAACCCAATTTACTATAAGCGTTCAGGATCCGAAACAGCGATGAGAGAAAAACACACACACACACACACACAGAGCGAGAGAGAGAGAGAGAGATAGGCGGTGTTTCAAACTCAGCCTCTACAAGAACAACACGAACGAACTTTCTGGACCCTCTCACTTCCCGTCCACAGAAGAGAGGTCGGAATGACTTAATGAATTCATGGTCATGGGAGCAAGTTTACGGCGTCCGGGTTTGAGATTTAACAGCACTCTGTGGCCAAGAGTAACAGTCCGGCCAAAAGAAGAGCCAGCGATGATGCCTGGGTTGTCCAGGCCATATGAACTGCGTTTGATGGATATTTGTTACGGAAGCGCTTTTCTTTTTCTTCATTTTTTCTCCCCTCGTCTCTCGTCTTCCTGCCTTTTGTCCCTTTTTCCCTTTGATTTCTTAGCCCTTGTCTGTGAGAAGTTGTTCCTCTCTTAACTGTCTCCACTTTGTTTCTGGAGGGTTTCCCCCCTCCCCCAATGTCCTGGCCAGAATGAATCGCGGCATACAAGGCAACCGAAAAGTTCTTTTCTACGGTCGGCAATTTTTATTATTATTAATGTGGTGGACTTCGGACTCTACATCGACTCGCGGCAAAAACCATTTTCTGGGCGTGCCATACAGGTCTCTCACACCGGACAAAAAAATATTACAAGCCAAGGGGCCTGGCCTGGGACAGGCACAAAATTCTCGGGAAAGGGGATATATATATTTTTTTCTTGTTTTTCCCGTCTGGGTTATTGGGACCTGCTCCCCCAAGGAAGAAAAGCGAGGAGGGTGTTGGGACGGCGTTGTCCTTTCCTCTACTGGATGGCCATAGAGAGATGCATTCCTCATAGGCATAACATGCCTTTTGGGTTGGCAGAAGATAGACTTCTGAGACGAAAAAAAGAATGCTACATGCGCAGGCTTTGTTTCCCCCTCTAATCAATCAATCGATCCTCCCTCACTCTTGCTCCCGCTCTACTACCACCACCTTTGTCGTCAAACCTGATGTATCACCAAAAAAAAAACCAAACCCGTGAGGTCCAGAACCACGCCACTACTCTAGCGTACCTCATATGTTTCTCGTCTTCGGAATAAAGGCGTCCCTCCACGCGTCTTCATTCGTCAGGTCTCGGTGCATTTGAGGATGACTGGGCGGAGACAAAGATCCCGTTCTTTGTCGTGTGTGCCTCGTATCAATCTGGCGGTCTGCTAGCTAATTACTACCCACGCGCACGCTTGTAATCAATTAATTTTTTTTTTGGTCCTTTTAATTTTTCTTTTGGTAACCGAGCGAGTCAACAAAACCTTAGGATGGAGGTCATGTTCCAGACGTGTCACATCTCACAGGGCTGACTACAAGCCTTCCTCCAACGAATGAGAGGCTCAAGGTTAGCCGGAGTTGCACGATAGCCTACCAAGTGTGCCGCGCAAGCCATGGGCGTTCCCCCAAAATCCCACCCTCCTCCCTCCACTTTCTTCTCTCCTTTCCCACACACACACATACGTACACACACAAGAAAGTGTGCTATCGTCGTCAGACCAAGAAGGGAAAAAAAACAGAAAGAAGAAATTTGGGGGGGGAAGGGGAAAGCAGGGGCCTGGAGAGGGTGTGTCTCCATTGGCTCACGACCGGTGCTCGGATCACAAGCCAGCCCACCCACGAGCAGCCACCCAATTGATTTAGTTCGTCACGAACCTGCATCGACACACCACCAGATGGTGGTCTTTAGAACGAACCAGGCCCTCGGCAGCTCAGGCAGCTCAGGCAGGTGAGGTGTGGTAGGTGGTAGGTGGTTGGTGGCTTTTTGGGCCGGGGGGGGGGGTCAGAAGTGGACTTGGGCTTTTAGCAAGGAGGGAGAAAAAAAAAAGGGAGAAAAAAAAAGACAAGGTTTTGGGTTGCAGGAGGTTGACTCTCGACTCGCATGAACCCTTCACGGCTGCCGAGCCTTATCTGCTGGGAATGAGATGATCGTCGGAAGACCCAGTTAGACCAACCAGGCCGCTCTACTTTTCTTCCTCTTTTCCCCAGTGCTCCCCAACCCGATTACTACTATCCAATAGTTTCTGCCAATTCAGTATCTGACCCGGGACGACGGCAGGCTGGGCGCACTCACTCGCCCCCTCTCTGGAGCAATCTATCGACTTATCATAGCCAGGGATCTATCATTTCGCTTGACGGGAGCAACCTTCTCGCCTTCAGGGACCGAGCCTGTAGGAGAGAACGCAGTGTCGTCAATTCGTGTCATGTCATTTACTCTTCGCCTTTTTCTCCAATCTCTTGGTTTCTCAGTGTCAATTGGACAAAAGGGACTGTCCCAAATTTTCTCAGTGCCCTTTTCTTCTTCTTTTCTTCTTCTCTCCCCTTCTCCTTCCTTCTAAAAAGACAGCTGCAACAATTCTGCAATGCTACCTACATACAAACAAAGGTGGGCGTCAATGTCAGCGGAGATCCACTGCTGCACAGTTGGTGGACGACCGTTGTGTTTTTTCTTCTTCTTTCATTCTCTCTTCTATTTCTTTTGCTTTGCTGTCTGCGGCCGGCGGATGCATTCTAAGACATTGGTATGACGTCTCCCCGCAGTAGGGGACACCCTCCTTTCCACACTCCTTGTTGCTAAGGGAGGATCGTTGGCATATGAAAGTGGACTTGTGCATTAAGTTACTTCCTTACTATCCCTAGGGCCTGTACCGGGGATGCAGTCTCACAGTAGCCTATGCCGTCCTTGCGTCAGATCTAGAAGCTCGAGCAACCACCCCTCCCCCACCCAACCAGTTTTCCCGCACCTTGCTCCCTTCCTTCTGCATCCTGTGAGAAGTCATCACAAAAACACCACACGACATGAGGGTGTGTTCGTAAATGTATATGCAGGTAACTTCAGACGGGGCACACAAAACGAGAGGAGAGAGCAGAAGACATGGTGGGGGCGGAGGCACACACATACACGCGGGCGCGGGCGTGCGGGCGGCTGGGCAGCTCGTCAGTGCTACATCTGTATCGGTTCCCAGCCTTGCCTGGTGTGGGTGTTCTGTGTGTTGGTTGTTGGTTTTGCGGCACGTCGAGTCTCGCGTGTGTGTGTGGGAATGTCTGGGGACCAAGATGCATAATTCCGATGCTCAGATTGGCGAAGTCTGCGACTTCGCAGGGCCCTGCTCTGGGACCCCCCCCCCCGGCGTCCACACATCCACCCATCCATCTTCACCAATGCTCATGCAAGAGCGCACGTCTTGTAAACCTCTTTTGGTCACGTCGTCGTCCCTTTTTTCTTCTTCTTCTTCTCTCTCTCTCTCGTGCGTTCTCCGAGGCTATGCCGAATAATAACCCTGTCGACGTAGCAACGATGACCGCAACGAGGGGTTGATTTTTACTCTGTGACGACATGCAGGTGAGACAAGCTTGCCGTGCAGATGCCATATGCAATGTATATGCAGCGTGCGTGACCAGAAAATTTCTTTTAGCAGCCATCGTACTTGGCTTCGAGGTGTGCCCCCCCCCCTTTTTTTCCAGTATAGGTCCATGAGCAGTACCCAAGTAGTACCGTAAGTAAGCATGCAAGGCCCGGTAGCCGTGCTAGCTTCTGTAGCATGTGTGCTTCATGCGGGTTGTGGTGTCGCAGGTCATGTCATAGGGACAGGAAGGGCTTTCAACCCCCCCTCACACACTATTCCCCTTGCTGCCACGAGGCCTGCGAAGGTGGTGTTGTCGTGCGCCCAGTCGGCCGGACTAGTCATCAAGTCATCGTCACCATAGACGGCACAAAATAAGAGTTGTGCGTGTGGAGAAAATGCGGACCCTGCGGTGTTCTTGGTGGTTCGTTGAGGAAACAAGGAGGAGGAGGGGGGATGAGGAGGAGGACCTAGTAGCCATCACATAAGCCGGGAAGAGAGGAGGGTTAGAATGGCATGTACTCTGGAGTACCTTGATGGTACTGCTGCTGTGTACTATGCAATGTATGTATGGGCAGTATGATATGGTACCCAAAAGCTGTATAGTTCTGGAAGGGTTGGGTGGATGGCAGGATACCGGGGCAATACTACTATGGCTGTGTCTTACCTATTCTCTTGGCGCGTTTTCCCTTCCCCTCGGTATCTCTCGCCGCACACCACAACGCCCTTGCTGTAATGAAACCTTTCCTCGTCTCCTCTGTATGCCCATCGCGTCTTGTTCTTCCCTTGTGAATTTACAACAATTAGTAGTTAGTCGACGTTGGACCTGTCGCATTCGTCCCAGCATGGTCGACTTCACTAAAAACCCCTCCTCATTGAGAACCCGCAAAGAGGTCGTCGCAACCCGCGCTTAAGCTGATAATAAACGAGGCTGGGGGATCGTTGCAAGATCTGGTCGATCTTGAGATTGGTCTTTGCAAGGGTTAGGGGAGGGGGGTCTTGATTGATCAACTGCGTTGTTCCCGGGAAACGTTGAAGGAGGGGGGGGGGGGGAAGAAGTACCATACTAAGTAGTGAGAGCTGAGGAAAAGAGAAAAAGGCCACACGCCCCCTCCTCCTTTCTTTTCCCCCCTTCTCTTCCCTTTGGACGATCTGCCGTAGCATGATCTGCAAGGACATTTCTCTCCGAAGGCCTCTTTTGGGGTTCAACAGAAACGGGAATAATCCACAAAGAAGGAGACCAGAAAGAGGGGAGGAGGCAAAGAGCCAGCCCCCCCCCCCTCCCAGAGCGTCCCTCGTTCGCTCAGCTGCAACAAACGAGTCCCGGTGCGCTCTCCTCATAGTGCATGTTCTGGCGTGATCAGCAAGGAAAACACCATGGGAGCAAACGCACGAGGGAGGGTCGTCAGATTTTTGAAGAGCCCACCTTCTCCACGATGTCGTGCTGTTGTATCCGCCGGGATGTCTCCGTACGAACCACTACCATAGTACCACAGTTCACTGACCATGTACTATAGTATTCTGCATGTAGTATGCAGCTAGCATACTCTTGTACCCTGAGTGTATTTTCGAGACTTTTCAAGGTCTAGCCTCGACTCGATCGGCTCACCCCCCTCCCCC